CCGCTCCCCCGGCGGCTCATCGCCACACTGCGCTCCGACTGAGGGCATGATGAGGGTTGCCACCGCCTTGGCCGTGCGATCCGGCTTCACAGGAGGCAGGAGGACAGGGGGGTTGGGGGGGGACCACGGGGGAGCTGGGTTAACCTCACCCCCGCCCCTCGTCGCCGCACGTTCACACTCATTACTCCTCGGCGCCGCGTGCGACGCCACTCACTCTGCCTTCGATTTGCCGCACGCGCTCGGAGCTTAATGCGATGTGACAGCCGACTCTGAATGCACAATTAGCCGCTTTACTTACACCACTTGTCTAATTTACAGTGTTTTTGTATCAGTGTTTCCAGTATTAATTTGGTGTTTAATCTTTCTCGTATTTTTCTCACAATTCCATTCCATTTGCGATGTGTGCGCCACGCTCGTTCCCGTCAGAAACCCAGCAGGTGTAGGAATTGTGGGTGGACACGGCCGTGTCGTGAGATGATGGATCTATGCCAATATCCTCGCTGTAGGCCGCACGTCTCGCGCCCTGTGTGTTAGAGCATGTCCCGTGGAAGGTGATGTCACAGAAACGAATTCTGAGGCACTAATTTCACACATTCACTACGGGATAGAAATGTTCACCCGATGGAAATCGTACTGATATTTTGATAAAATTAACTTCAAATTATAATTATTGTGAAACACTCTCTGTTTCAACCATTGGTTGACTGGGCTTAGGCCAGGGGACAGGCAACCAAAATAACAAGCAGAGCAATTTTCTTGGAATTCGCTACGAAAAAAAAAACTTTATTTTAATAACCGCAATACGCATGGTGAATACGAGACGCCGTCCATTAATAAATAACGTCACGAAGTGGTCCTTGAAGAGCCACATGGGGGGGGCGAGGGCCCTCCGGAGCGGCAGGTTGCTGACCCCTGACCTAGGCCATCAAGTCACTCCACTTGAGAACCAGGCACGGGATTTCGCAATGCTCTGACCTCTGAGCCACCCAGCCACCTCCACCCGCCTGGACGTGTGATGTTTCGTTTTGTTGAATCGTTCTTGAATTGTTCAATCACGCGGAGCAGTACGTAGTGCATCATGCCTGAGCAACGCGCGGGACAACCCGAAAGCCCTTTGGAGAATCAACGCGAATTATTGTCTTTTATTTCCTATTTGTTCCCGCTGTTTACTTGGCAAAGGCCTCGTCGAGTCTCGCGACTCTCTTTCAGGAGGGTACTACCAAGTGTTTGCAGTAGGCGGTGGCGATGGTCGCTATGTAGATTCCAATTGAGTCATTTTTGCGGGTAACGACTTAAAAATTCGGGTAAATTCTGACCGTGACGCCGTCCACTTTGAAGCGGACGGCGTAGATATCTACGCGTAATACGCCCCGCGGCATTAATCGGGGCGGCTGCTGGATTCGAACCATGGCCCTCTGCTACTAAGGCCGCGTCACCACCCCATCCACGCGTCCAACCGGTCAAGTGCCCTCTGCTGGAGTTGATGAGTCCTTTGCGAATGGAAAGCTGGTGGGTGAGGGGGGGGGTGGGTATTGTCACTGGAGAATAGATCCCGGCTTTTATTCGTGAGTGATCGGGGGCTCGCTGCTGAATCGCGCACTCTGAGATGTCACTGACTCAGCGTCATTAAAGTGCATTTTTAAATCCTTTATATTAAGTTCGCTTGCTTGCTTGCGCGCTTACGACCGTACAAATCTTTCGGTCGTTTTTTAACCCACTTCCCGTGATCCAATCGAGCTGACATTTTGCACACAGACTCGTTGTGCGTGACAATTTATTTTCCACTTTTTAGGAAAAAAAAAATTTCACTAACACAATCATATATTTTTCCTTAACACAGAAAATTATTCAAGAAAACAACAAAAATGTACAATATAAACAATCATATAAAAACTGAAAACCTTATAATCCTTATATACGACTTTCCTTATATTTAATTTAAAATACCAATGTGATAAAAATGCAACTCTTACTCAAGAAAAACAGAAAAGAATAATAAAATAAAACCGATGCCACACATATAAAGGATTTATAGTGAAAAACTTTGTTTTTACGGGTTAATTTTTTCAATTGTGTTTTTTTTCTCTCGTATCCTCTTTGGTAAACGCCGCGAATGAAAAATTAGTTGTTAAGCAATTTTAATAAGTTTGTTGAAAGCAGCCTGTGCGGTAAAACGACGCGGGAGTCATTTTGTCGTTTTCCAAATGCGATTAAGCGGGCGTTCTTACGTGCCCAGCAAAACATTAGCTGCACTTTGTCGCAATAAAACGCGTGACTGTGCGCAACAGCAAGGAGCGGAGCAATCCGCGCGAGTTGTGAAGGCTTTGTGTCGGATGTGCCTGCGCAACTCGCGCCGTCCCGTCATTATGACGTGGCCGGGAGATGGCAGTACAGCTGTGGATGCTTGAAGAAATCTGCGTGGAGTTCTTGAGTGTTATCGCCTTGCATGTGTGTTCGATTTTCTTCCTCCCACATGAAGCCAATCACTCATTGTCTTTGAAAGACACCCAGCCCTTGGGCTTAAACCTGGACTTCAAAGGTGCTAGTCCAATATGCCAATAGAAATACAAGCTTCTTGAAATAGGGACCTGGGGCTTGAACTCAGATTGAAGACGGTCAGTGGCAGTGCCCCAGCATTGTCGTCAATTCCATAGAACACACCATCACCTTGGTCTCAACCTCGAACCCAGACCATGCGTCCTGGGAGAGCGAGAGACACACAGGGGGCCGCCACGCTCGTGCGTCTCCTAAACGGGCCCCGTGGTAGGACACACGGAGCTGAGCGGCGCGTCGTTTAAGACGGCGACACGGAGCCTCCCCCGTCGGGGGAGCGCGTGACATTTAGCCGGGGTCCGTGCCCTCCTTGCCCCCACCGCCGTCGCGCCTGCGGTGACTGCTGCTGATGATGAACGGCCGTCGCCGCGTTCATTCCGGCGCATGCTCAGCTCGTTTTCTCGTATTTTATTTAACAGCGTTGTCTCTCCCCCCCCCCCCCAGGCACAGTCGCGACGCCCCAATGCTCGTTTAACGACTGGCAGGGGCAGTGTACGTGCGTGTGTGCATTAACGGTCTGTTACGGTGGTTATATTGGGGGTTGGGGGAGGTGGGGAGCGTTAGCGTGGAGGTGTGGACCGATGCCTCGGGCTGGGACGATCGTTAAAATTAGAGTTGCTACGGTTACTCGAATAAGTCGGATGAATCGATTAGACACGGTAATCGACTTGGTCGTCGATTACTCGGGGCCCCTTTACCACTGGCCCCAACATCCTGCCTAACGAAGGCGGGAAACCTCTACAAGACACACCCAGCGTGATGCTGCTGATGGCGTTGCCTAACCACCGCCCGGCATTTCCCCTTTTCAGGAGCACACATGGGGAACGGGGGTGAGGATTTAATTTTTTCCAACTATTTTCGTGGCATCTGATTAGTCGAGCAATTGATGACTTACATAATCGTAGAGCCCAGCTCAAAGGTTCGCGTAAACATCAGGCATGGAGGTGGCCCGGTGGCTCAGAAGGCAGATCAGTGGCCGAGCTATCGAGTGTGCAGGCGGTGCAACTGCACCGCCGATGCGGCCCAGACACCGGGCTATGACCCGCAGAATATTCATTTAAACTGGAGGAATCCGATAAGCTATGAAGCTCTTTTTCACAGATGTTCGTTCCCCCCCCCCCCACGTACATAATTGTATGAAAAGCCACTCTCCGTCTTGAAAACATGCGTCTCTGGGGTTGTACGGCATTTAAAAAGGGAAACCACTTCAACTCATAAACTGCAAGTTAACTTTTGCGATAATAATTAGAAATTATTTTCTAACTGTTGTATGGGTGTCGTTTGACCATACTTCACCATGTTCAGTGCGGGTTGGCGAAGGGTTCTCCAGGGGGATGGCGAGGGGGTGTGTGCGGAAGGAATGGGGGCAGGGCCTAGAATCGGTTTGGGTATCACTCTCCACCGATGTTAGCCGTGGACTCGGATCACCGGGCTCACGCTGCACTCGCTGGAATGAGCCCCGCTGAGCTTAATGCACAACGAGAATCGATGCGTGGAGCTCCAGGTCGAATGTTCGTTTTGGTAAACATGCACGTAAATAGTTTGAGTCATAAACCCAACACGGAGCAAATACGGGCCGTTAACATTTCATAGTTTTGGCTTAATAATTCATCATTGTCCTCCCCGCTCGATGGCACATAAAGATTTTGTTTATTATGCAAGCAAACTCTTTCTTTCAAAGGAGTGAATCTCTTCGTTGTTTATTTGTTTGTGTTTGGCCGTGGCCTCCTGCGGCGAGCGGTCATCCTTGACTCGTCTTGGTGTCCATCCTCTTCAACTTCGTCGTTAATTGCGCAAAATATTCCGTCACGGTAAACCGATTTGAAAACCCGATTTAAACTCGGGCCTCGGCTAGGGACCTCCAGGCTTTGTTTAACGGGCTCCGCTCGCGCGCACGCACGCGCACGCATTCAACTTCCAGTGGAGGCAGCAGCAGCGGCAGCAATATTATTACTGGTTTTAAAAATATATAAATGCTCAATTTAGGACATTTTTGCTAAGCTCCACGGGCCTTATGGTGCCAATTAAAACTGGCTCAAAGCTGGGCGGCCAGGGCGGCAGCTGCAGCTGCATTATTTATTTGCCTGTGCGACTGTGTGCGCTTCTGTGTGTGTCTCCGCGCGTGTGTCTCTGTGTGTCTGTCTTTGTACGATTGAATGTGTGCGTGTGTAGCGGTAGCGCAGTGGTTAGCGCACTGCGCTGCTAACTCGGCAAACCGACTTCGATTCCTGCTCACGACCGTTCACAAAGGCGAATATTTTAATCGTTGTCCCTCCCCTAGGGCGACTCAGCCTTAAAGGAGTACCTAGTGTGGTTGTGTAAATATCAGCACTGGGGAGACAACGGTGGCTGGGCATGGTGCTGACCATCCACCCTCGCGTGCGCGTCCCTGTGTGTATGACTGCGCATGTGTGTACAACTGCGCTTCTCTGTGTGCATCTTTGCAGAGAGGCATCGCCATTGGCCCGTTCTGCAAGAACTTCAACGAAGCAACCAAGGACATCAAGGAGGGAATTCCCCTGCCCATCCGCATCCACATCAAGGTGACGCACCGTCTTCACCATCGTCGGCATCATCATCGCTCTCATCATCATCATCATTGCTGTGTCATCATCATCGTCATCCATGTCATCGCTCCCATCGTCATCATCACTATCATCATCGCTCCCATCAACATTCTCATTATCACCATCGTCATCATCTTCGCCAATATCATCACCATACATTACATAATGAGCCTAAGTGTTAAACTGACCAGAATTAAAATCATTATCATCAACATCTCTGCACTACTAACTCACCTCTTTGAAGACGACGTTTAGTGGGTCTCGTACATTTTTACATAAAACTTCCCAAACACGCTGCGCTACGAGGATGGCCAGAAGATGGAAGCACAGTGAGTTGCTTACACGAACCAGGCTGTGCAGGCCCTGTGAATGTCACTTCCAAGATTTCTGAGCAAGGTTTATTTTGCGTTCACGCCGGAAAAAGTGCTCGTTCTTAAACACGTTCTTGTTAGTTTTAATGCTCCGCTAGAAACATCTACGTCTGTGCTCTCCAGTTGCCCGCGTGAAAAGTGTTTTTGCCCAGTCGTGGCCCAGTTGGCTCAAACATTAAATAATCGAAATCGGTGGGGCACATTTCTCCACGCACCTCCGATTAGCGCGGTTGGCTACATACGGTGCGAAAGAAGTTCGACATACATACGTAGGACGATACGGAAATAAAAGGCTTTGTTGACTAAACAGACCGAATTTATGAAATGTAATTACTGCTTTGATTATTATTTATTATTAATCACCATTGTCACCATCATCTCAAGTCATAATTTTAATTTCGCGATTTTGACAGAGATGGCATCACCACGGTTACTGTGGTCACTGTCATCGTATAATTTACGATTTTGCTGCACCCAATTCAAATCTTTTTCCTAAAGTGCATCGTGACATCCGGGTGAGCGAGCTGTCCAGTAATCGGTTGCCACCAATTTGTCTGTGGGTTGAAACGGGTTATCCGATACGCAGCACACAGTCGTCTGTTCTTGCGAGTTACATCACAGGGTCGCTCACATCCCCTTCATAATAATAACTCGCTCAGCTCTCGATCATCCGTGGTAGTGGTGGGATATGTGGCCCCGATATTACAACAACAACAAAAACACGGATAATACAAAATTCGAATTAGACTATAACCCCATTTTTATTGTTGCCCTAAGATGCAGAATGTGCTGTTTGTCTTCATTGCTGATTGAAGTAACCGGTTTACTTGGCGTCGTGCTTGCGGTCACGTGGGCAATGTGATTCGCTTAACCATCGACGAGTGAGGAGCAGCTGGCAATTAAAACGGCAGTCGCATGTAAAAGGCGCGAATGAGCGCGCGGTTAATTCGCAGTTTAACACGTAGGCTTTCGCAACCAATATCATCCATAATATAGTTTTTTGTAGTTAGATCTGGCTGTCGCCTGATGAAGCTAGTTGTAATTACTGGCGAAACGTCGTACTCGGATTGTAAATGTTGTGGATTTGCTCTCCAACACATCGGTGTGCTGTACTAGTAACGAATTGACCACGTTCTGTTTACGTGACAAACTTTACTAATTGGCTGTTCTGAGCAGTGGCGGGTTAAACGACACATTTATATTTACGCGATATAACCCAAAAAACCTATATTATGGTCAATCCGCAACCCGGATAATCTGCCCTCGGATAAAGCGAGAGTTCCCTGTACGGCTTAGCAATAATGAATATTATTATAATCACGTTAACAACGTCCCCAGGGAATTCCTGCTCCGGGGTGCTCTGGCGGTGGTCGAACCGGCGAACCGCAACTGCCCTGGTGGCGGCCGCATGGTAGCGATTGCGCTTCGACTGTCAGCGCTGTACACGGGAGGCCAAGCTGCCGCTTATAAATCAGACGCTTAGGAAATGAGTCGTTAGACCGATAACCATGGGGGCGAGGAGGTGGCTTTGGGAGGGGGAAGGGGAGTGGGGAATGGGGAGGGGGGAGGGGGAGATCGGTCGAGGAGGGAGAACAAGGAGGGAACACAGATGCATGAATGCAAATCTGTTGTTTCTGCACGCACATCACAATTCATTATCATCATCATCATTGCCACCATCAGCCACCATCAGCCTCGATCAACCCACTGCTGGGTGCTGGCTTCCGCCATCTCTCACGGTCCCGCAGTGTAGTAGTTCACCTAGCGCCTGCGCACAAGCTGATTTCATCACTCCATCTCCGAGGTGGTCCTTCTCTCGGGTGTGTTCATTGCCTTGGCCCTCGCTCCGCCTTTAGCAACGGTCCTGGAGTCGCACACATCAAGCTGCGTTGTCTCGCCATATTCCAGGCATGTCCCCGACTGGACATCTGTGAAAAAGAGCTTCATAGCTTGTTGGATTCCTCCAATATAACTTAATCTTCTTCTGATTCTGATCTGATTCCCAACAGCGGATATTTCCGGTTGGCCGACGAACCTGTTGTATTTTACTATTTATGCTCCAAACTTTGCAGCCTTCTGCTATGTAAAGTGTTTTTTTATTCATTCATTCCCATTGGATTGCATCGAAGACTGCGGTAAAGCAACTCTGGGGTGATTAATGCGTTCTCCATTTCGTGTTAATGTACTTTTTGTGTTTCGCCAGTCCAGTCCGCAGAAGACATAATTTGATGTCGCTCCCAATGTCCTTGGAGAGAAGCCCGTCACTCTCTCCGACTCCCCTTGCCGTACGCAACGTCGAGATCGCTAACGTCACAATGTACGCCAGTGGGCACACCGATTTTAGACCGACTCTTAGCAGCAGCTTCAATGAAACGATTACATCGATTGTCACCACCACTGTCAATAATAATAATGCGTTAACTGGCATAACAATGGATCGTGCATTGAAATCGGGGCGCGGTTAGGAGGGAAGGTTCATATTGCAAGCCCGAGAACACATTTTATCAAAGCACACAAGGCGGTGCTCATGAAAGTGGAGAGGATATAGCAGGAGACGGCGATGCCACACAAACATTTCGAATGCACATTAAGCTGCAAAACAAGTCGGGAAAGAATGAGAAACGTCATTGGGAAATGCAGCACAGACACAACGACGTCAATGAGCAGACGATACATTTAACATGTCTATCTTGCCACGTCGTAAACAAAAAAATATTCGTGAAAAAAATTATCACCAACACAGCCTTATGGGATTGAATGTTAGCAACCTTGAGCAAACTCTGGACCGGTTTCAATGTTCAGTCTCTCATCGGCAGAGTCGGGCTTGCTTGATGCACTGCCCGTGAGCTACCGATCAGACAGGTGAGGACCCTCTTTCTTCACGCGTCTTTACGCGATGGGGGTTCCTAGTTCGACGGAATATTATACTGTGATGCACAGCTCGAAACAACCGACGAAAATAAAAGTTTTTGTTCCAGTTGTACCGCCTTCTTGGAGTGCAATAAATTCCAGCAGCATTGTTTCAAGACAAGCAAAGCTCTGGACCCCGTTTGAACATACAGTGTTGCAGATATGATTGAATGCATCACAGCGAAAGAATGGGAGCATGAAGGCAGCACAAAGTAGGCCTGAGGGAGAAATACTGAGCCATAACTCACGACGGAGACAGGCTCTAAAATGAGTGTAGGAATTGTATGCAGATCTCCACAGCAAACAAAATCCATATATCCCAGCCATCGGACCATCTCTCAGATGTAGAGGAGGAGATTCCAGATGTCTCACGTTTGATAAAGTCAACTCTGCCCCTCGCAACCGGCACACACCACGGCCCATGCTCGAGCTAATGGTGAAATATTTTTACACCGCGGTGAATGGAGACCTGGGAGAGGTGGGGGCGTGGTGGGGGAGGCGAGGGGAGGCGGCGCACGGCGGTTGAGTAAGTGTCCATGCACGTGCACGGCAACGTAGCGAGGTTATTTTGTCACCGCGGATGCCAAGAAGCGCTGCGGGCATTGGGGCGTGGGACAGGGCGGTTGCCGCGGGGCAGTTGGTGCATTGGTGATTGGTGCGATGTGGAGAGGTTGGTGGGTGGGTGAGTATTCTGGGTTGGGTGAGTGATTGAGGTGGGCGAGCGAGTGGGGTGGGTGAGCGAGTGGAGCGGTAGTGTGGTGGTTAGCGCACTGCGCAACAAATCTGGTGACCCGAGTTCGATTCCCACTCACAGCCAACACCAGTGGCAATTATCTGGTTGACTCAGCCTCAAATGAGTACCGAGTGCATTGTGCAAACACCGCCACTGGGGAAACAATGTAGTGAGTGAGTGAGTAGGGTGGGTGGGTGGGTGAGTGGGGTAGATGGATGGCTGTTAGGGACGGGGGCGTTCAGGCACTGGCGGTGGGAGGAGGGGTTGGGGGGGATCACAGAGACAATACCATTTGCTCCGCATTGTCCCCAGCTGATCCCCGTGACACCCCCCCCGCCCCCCCGAAGACGCCGGCGGGCGCGAGATGCCCCTCCCCCCCCCCGTTATTTGCAGTGCGCACACACGCGGATTCGCTAAAATGTCATCATCGGTCACGGCGAGAGAGCCGCCCGCCAGGAGGGAGGGAGGGAGGGACGCGGAGAATAATCCTGACGGTAACAACCCACGACCGCCACCCCGAGCCATCATTATTACCGTGCGCGTGCTTCAGTGGCGCTAGATCCTCCCGCGTGAATGTGGAATTTCCAATTACGCCTGTCAATTTCAGGAGTTTGCGTTGTTGATAACGGAATGCCAAACCCCCCCCCCCACCCCCCCCCCCGCAATAAAAAAATACGTATCGGTTTTTGCCGCAGTCTTAACGACGAAAATAAAAGTCCAGCCCTGTGCCGCGTGCCCTCTGCGTCAGTCGGGACGCACACCGCGGCCACCGCTGAGGCATGTCGCCGGCGCCTTACGGTAGAAGTCGCAACCGGGTACCCGATACCCGTACCCTACCCGATACCCGGCTACCCGTACCCAGCCAGGTACGGGTACGGGTAGCCGTTTGCGACCCTGGTGCGGCCGGGTATGGGTACGGGTAGGCCGTGAGTCACTGGTGAGTAACCGTTTTTCACTCATTTCGGGTAGGGTACGGGTAGGGAACGGAAACCCGTACCTGGCCGGGTACGGGTATCGGGTACCCATTTGTGACCCTGGTGCGGCCGGGTACGGGTAAGGAATCAAAACCCGTTTGCGACCTCTGCCTTACGGTGGCCACCGCTGACCAATCGCACCCGCACTGGCGCCGCGCTGTTGGAACGTTCGCGCGTGCCAATCGGTTTGATGGCTACTAAAGTATGAACTGGATTCGGTCATCGATTCCACGACTTTTGGAATCGATATTTGGTTCTTAAAAAGAAAAAGAAATTATTATTGATTAACAACTCCTGGTTTCCATCGCTGGCTGAGGCTTTTTGTTTGAGCGCCGAGATGGTTTGACATTCGCCGGTATTGAATTATTAAATGCCTTTATAATTAATACTATATAACAAATGAAAGGACACAATACTTTATTTATTCATATTATGGCCCATGTTGATGACCAGTCTGTTGCGCAAGTGAGGCTTAGGACATGATTATTTAATAACAATTAAAATAATTTACAGCTCGTTTGTCAACCCATTGCTGAAAGAAGGCCTCTCAGTGACCGGTCTGTCATGGAGAATATTTGATCATACTTCACCAGGCTGGTCTATGCACGTTGGTGGCTTTTTGGGAAGGGGGATGGGGGGGGGCAGGGGGTTGGTGGGGGGTGGAGGAGCAGAGCCGTTTGAGATATCACTCGACCTAGACGCGATTATTGCTGTAGGAGACTTATGCAATCATCTTCAAGCCACAGCATCGCCGCCACTTGCTGCACTCCCTGTGTCCTCTTTAACCGTGAGCACCGCCCCACGGCTACAAAACCCATCATCGTCATCGTCATCATCCCGACAATCAAGCGAGTGTGCTGCACGCTCTGCCTACCAGCGGTGTCGCGAAGCCTGTGGCCTCAAGTGTGAGGAGTTGTGCCACGAGAATGGGTGACTTTTCCGTTGCACGTACATGATTTTTTGTGTGTTTAGTTTTGTTGTCCTTCTGCCGCACTTCTAATTACCACGGTTGGCTATGTACTGTGCGAACGAAGTTCAACATACCTACTTATTTAAAGCTTATTTAAAGCTTTCTCAATTTTACAGCAATAATGATTTGCAAGGCGGCGAAGCGGTGGTGGGTGCGGTGGTTAGCACACTGTACTGTGAACCGCACAATCTGCGTTCAATTCTGGGCCATGGCTAACATCAGTGGCTGACCTGGTCTGGGACCACCCCTCAGGTTCCCCTTCACCAACACGGTGCGACCAGTGCGGTAATGTATGGTTATACAGTACCTACGGCTGACGCATACAGTACCTACGACTGACGCATGGAGAGGCCTTCATCCAGCAGTGGAGTGACAAAGGGCTGATGTATTACTTATTACATTTTTCACAGGTGTTTGAAATCATCTTGTTTGTACATTAACTAGGAAAAGGGGGGGGGGGGGGGGAATCTGAACTGTCTGGAAAAAAATCTGACAACATCTGAGAAATCTGTACAAAATTCATTCTCGCCAAACAACGGTGGTCCAGTGCCCTCCCCGTGTCTCGTCGGCGAGAGATTCAATTTGTTGAATGACAACAAGAGGTTACAGGAGCGAGACAAAAGAGTTATTTCGTGCAGGGATTAAGCCTTTGAGGAATCGATTATGATGATCATCATCATGAACCTAGTTCACTGCACATTAAGGGGATCATGTAGAGAAATAACTCTGACTCATCAAGGCCACGTGTGGCTCTCTGTGTGTTATCGATCGCCGCGCTCATTTGGCCATGCCCACGTCCAATGCTCAAATGTTTTGTCACTGCGCGCACGCCATCATTGTACAATCATAAAACGTTGTGTCGCAAGGTGCACGACACCTGTCGTATTAAATAAAATGTTACAAATTGCGTCGCTGTTTTTTTTTCTCTAGGCGGTGGTAAGGCTATTACGGTAAAAATAATACGAATAATGTTTGAAAGAAATAATTTAAAACATCCCCTGCTTATACATAGTGAATGAACGGCTTGACGCTCAACACGTATCATGCTCTGAATGCCTTAAACTGGGTCGACTGGTGCCCTTTGTTCTTTATTTCATATTACATATTTTCTATTCCCCCCCCCCCCCCCCCGCCAAATCTGGATCCGGCATCACATCACAAGATGGAGAATCCATGCAGATCTCACGGAAGCGCAAAAACAGCGGCAAACGCAGCAACCCGGCGGTAGCCACGCTCGCCACTCGTTGCAGAGGGTTCACGGTATGGGGTGGGGGAAGCACTTTCCTACCCAGCCTGCTACTAACAGTAATACTCATCATATGACAGTCAAACCAATATAATTAGTTTTCAGAGATGGAATTTTGCCAGATCAAAGCCTAACACGGACAGTAAGTGGCCGGACGTGTACGTCGGTGCGTTGTTGCGTGCTTGGCAATGTTGGATGTGCTAGGGTTTGTCAATCATACGTGGGTCGTTGCGTGTTGGAGACTCCAGCTCTGCTCATCTGTAGGGTTGCTAGGAGATGGCAGCACAGCAAGTGCACTTCTAATTTCTCGTAGAACTACTAAAAACTATTTTGTATTATACTAGGTAAAGCCCACTGAGCTATATAGCCATTTTTTTAGAAGCGACCTGGCCACAAATGATAGCTCAATGAAGCGGCTTATGTCGAAATTTATCGCAGCCAAATACTCTAAAAGCATGTTTCAAAATGTGGAGGGAAAACCCGGAGGGCCTGGGGAAAAAAACACACGACCACCGGCAGAACACACAAACTCCAAATACGCAGGCGTCAGGGTCGGGATTGAACCCACGACTTCCTGTATACCGGGCGAGGTAGTTAACATCTCGTCACCGTGGCGGCAGAATTTTGAGTGCTGTCTCCTCATATGTGTGATTTTGCTTGGGTACTCCCACGATTTCCCCCCCTGCTCGCACATAATGCGCATCACACCAAATGGGCCAAACGCGAATGCAGGGCCCTCCTGAAAGTGAGCCTTGAGACTCGGGTGAGGCTTCCCTGCAATTAATGAATGAGCGAATACTATTGTTGTTGTGCGCGTTATCCATTCATCGATTTTAAATCGATGCGTGTACAATGTGTGCGTATCAAATTGTGCATCTAGGAATCGGTCAGTTACGATCCATTAAGATTAAATGCCAAAGTCATGTCGAGACAAATTGGAATGAATAAGGCAAAACAAATGAGATGGAACCTAGGACGCGATGTTACCCCAAATTGTGAGAATGCGTTGTACTGTACTGTGGTGGTGTGGGTGGAGGTGGGAAGGGGAGTGTATTGCTCCGTGCCTAATCATCAGGGGTGTATCGATGCATTAGAATTATCGGGCCGTTGCCGTTTTCAAGGCTCGCAGTGCATGCATCAAGTTGCGTGTGCACGAATCAATGTTTGTTTGATGCAAATGAAATGCTAATGTTTCATTTTGGCCAATGGAGCAAACAAAACTGGACGAACAGCACAGAAATGACGAGAAACGACACGGAAGAAAAAGACGGTGAAAACGCAACAAAAAAACGAATTGATTGTTGAATCGAATCGCAGCCCTGGATTGTGGAAATTCATCGAATTTGCCCGGGGTTGAATTGTTACACCTCGGGTATTCGCTTGAAACGTTATTTGAGATTACCACTGGGGTGGAGCCGGGTGACCTGGGTTCAATGCCAGGGCCCGTCTCACGTCAGTGGCGAGCGATGTCTGCACAGACCCTGGTCCCTGTTTTCCTTCATCAATCCGCACTGACCAGCATGGTGAAGTACGGTCAAACTACCCTCGCGGTAGAGTTAGCTAATACGTTTATTTTCAATGAACACCAATACACGTATCTGTATGCTATGCAGAAACCCCCTCGTCGTCCTCTCCGCGCCTCCCCCACCTCATTTTCCTCGTCCTCCCCTGCCACCTCGTGCGTACGTGCATAAATATTTCCCGTGATAAAAAAAAAAAACTAGAATAGCTGAACACGGTGTCGCTGATAGATTTCCGCTCTCGAGATTGTGCCGTAATTGCTTTTCACCCTCTATTCCCAGGCACGATTGTGTCGTGAAATGGCGAAAAAGTCCAACAAAATGTTTCTTTCTTTATTCCTCATTTCTTCAGCAGTGCCCGCTGCGCTATCTTCCATGGACATTCTTCTTTTTATCTTTTTCACAAAGCTGCCGAGAGATTAAACTCTTTTTTGAATTGCTTCGCGCGGTCAGATTGTAATATAAGTGGATCACGGCACTTCACGCGATGATCCCAATAATCTCCCCGTTCAATTTCTACCGACGCACAACATCGGTGGCGAGCGATATCCGAACCTGTGCCTGGTGGCCTTCCCTAATCTGTCTCAACCTTCCAACGAGTCCTTTCCACACGGTATATATAAGGCTGCTGTGTGCGTGTGTCCCACACACGCTAGCCGACGGCACTGGCCCAATCGGTCCGTTTGGCCACAGTAATCGCTGGCGCCTTGAGATTGATCCCGACGACCAGGGCGTGCGCATCACTTAAGCCCGTGTCATTTACACTGCGCCATGCAGCCCAGAGCAGCCATGCTTCGCGCTCGCGCTCATAACCGTGGACGCATCGCTCCGATCCCCAACTTCCCCTCCGTTGCCTCCGCATCGAATTGGGGATTAGCTCAGAGATGGCTCGCACAAGTGTTTTAGAATCCTTCACTGGCCTGCTTTCACCTGCCTCTGTCTTCTCCTGCCCTTGCATAATTCGCTTTTGCCGGCGATTTCAAGGTGTTGGGACCACTCCAAGTGTTGCCATCTCACGCGGTGCTCACAAGGAGGAGAATCGCTCTTAGCCCATGGACGAGATCCGTTCGCGTTGGATCATCTTCACGAGAGTTCTTGTCGTCCCCAGAGTTGACGCGTCAACTCTGTCGGACGGAGTTGGAAAGCGTTAGGAACTGGCCGTGGTTTGTAAAATGCGTTTATCTCCCCCCACCCACCCCCCCCCCCGGCCCCTCCTGTGTAGCCCGATCGCACGTACGACCTGGAGCTTCGTCAGCCGACAACGTCTTACTTCCTCAAGGCAGCCGCCGGGATCAAGAAGGGAGCGCGACAGACGGGTGAGGGGACCTGAAGTGGAGGTGGGGGGGGGGAAGACAAATAGGGGTCACGACCAGTCACGTCGTGTTGAGTATACGGCCACGTCGCGATGAACGCGTCCAATATCGTCGGATCTCGGAAGCTGAAGCAAGGGGGGTCGAGTCTGCCTCGTACCTGGACGGGCGCCCATCAGCAGGGCTCACCCCCCCCCCCCCCCCCCCCGAGGCTGCATTGGGGCTACTCGTGTCACCCCGTGGTTTCGCTCGGTTTGGGCAAAGTGCCAATGCAGGTCCTTCGTGAAAATGATTCTTGAGACTCGGAGAGGCTTTTTGTTACAAACAAATGACACGACTATTATTAAATGTGTTTATCATTGAGGTTATTATTGTCATGTTGTAAAGGCCTGGGTGTCCCTTGCGTTCTTTTTACGATGAACAATGCATTTTGGATTTACACAGCTACTAAAAGCGACTGCATCTCAAGACGCTGCAGAGAAGAAGTTGGCACCGTTAATTTTTATAGGGGTCGTCACTCATGGATCTTAACGTGATTTAACAACACACGAAGGTGTGCTACTCACATACAGCACGAAGGCACAACTCCTCCCATCATGCCTTGTATACATGTCACGTGACCGCGACGTTGCGTGGGCAATGCTCGCAGCCTTATCTTCATCTCTGTGTGAGTCTGTGGGTCCCTGTGTGAGTCCACAGAATGCAATGTGTATTTGTATGGCATCGTCTCGGTGAAACTGCATCTCGAAACGTGGTACTGAAACACGGCACGTGTTTATAGACCGGCTCTCACCGGGTCCTGTGTCTGGGCTCATGGCGCTCTCTGCTGGTCACATGGTGAATAGAAGACCGTGTTAATGTTTCAGTAACCCTGGATAACAACACGGAGTCTCGAGCCCTCTTTACACGAGGGGTTCCCCACCCACTCACCAACCCACATCTACCCAGGGCTTCATTTCTGACCAAATTATTTTCCTTGCAAATAGGCCGGAGTAGGCACGTGAACTACCAGTAGCTACATCCATCGCAGGTATACAGGATGTGGTGTGCCGGGCACCAGCAATATTTTTCCCAGGATGTCGACCCAGACTCCACTAAAACTGAGCCCCCCCCGCCCCTACCCACCAGTATCTCCTTACCCCCCCCCCCACATGCCACGCTCACCCCCACTCACCCCCCGCGTCTCTGTCGCGGTCACCTCCTCCTCGCCCAGGCCACGAGGTGGCCGGGAAACTGACGCTGAAGCACATCTACGAGATCGCGTGCATCAAGGCGAAGGACGAGCCGTTCCGAGTGCGCGACACCTCTGTGCTCAACGTGTGCAAGTCGCTCATCGGCACGGCTCGCTCGCTCGGCCTGCAGGTCGTCCCCTTGTGAGTCGTCGCTCGCCCTGGCTCGCCAAGGGCTCACGGCTCACTCATTCTTGGCTCACAGCTCTCGACTCACTTAGGAGTCAATCGTGGCTCACTTTGTAACTCACAGCTCGCTCGCTGCTCACTGATGAATCATTCATGTCTCGCTTAGGGCTTACTCATGGCTCGTTTAGAGATCACTCACGGCTCACTCAGGGCTCACCTTTTGTCTCGCAGCTCACTCAGGCTCACTTAGGGCTTACTCATGGCTCACTCGCAGCTAACTCATGGCTCACTCACAGCTCATTCATGGCTCACGGCTCACTCACAACTCGCTTAGGACTCACGGCTCACTCACGGCTCACAGCTCATTCACGGTTCATCCAGGACACACTTAAGGCTCACTCAAGGCTCACTCAAGACTTACTCAAGGCTCACTCACATCATACGGCTCACAGCTCACTCATGGTTCACGGTTCATGGCTGGCTCACAGCTCGCTCACAGCTCGCTCACAGCTCACTAACGGTTCACTCAGGACACACTTAAGGCTGACTCGGCTCACACACTGCTCTCATGGCTCACTCACGGCTCACTAACTGGAGGCCCTCGTGAATATCGCACAGGGAACCCCACAGAAGGTGTGCATCGGCACGCACCTACGTACATGCGTGCGTGTGTATCTGTTTGTGCATGCGTGCATGTGCAAATGCGTGTGTGGCGTGCGTTGTGTTCGTGCTCTGCGTTCGTGCGCTGCGTGCAGCCTCTCTGCTGAAGAGTACCGCGTGTTCCTGGAGGAGCGAGAAGTGTTCATCAAGAAGAGGGAGGAGGAGGACCAGGCGGCAGCTGCTGAGGCTCTGCAGAACTTGCGCAAAAAGTAGTCCCATGTGGACACGAACTGACGAGATCCCACCCAACCCAACCTAAACTGACTTGACCAATGTTCCAAACTGACCCTCCCTGACCTGATCTTTGAGGCATCCTTCCACTGACCTGATTTCAACTGAACTTAGCTGACCTTAGCTAACCTCAGCTGAATCCACCAGACCTGTGCTCACACTGACCTGATACAAAGACACCTAGAGCTGACCTTTCACTCCCTGACCTGTGTCCTGACCTGACTTTGCTCCAACCTGACCTGACCCAAATAAACCTGGACTAAAATCGAACCAGGACAAATTCATTTTCCCGACCTCAACCAAAGTGCGCCCGACCGGAAGCTGCCCGCGGACCTGGCCTAACCCACCTCGCCTAGCAGGGGCCGCGTTGCGTTCGGTGGGAATGGGTGCCGTGGCGTTTCTGCAGTCGTCGTCGTCGTCCTCACTACGGATGTAGAATCATTCCTGCCCCCCCCCCCCATGGTGTGTTGGTCGTGGAGTTTGTTCAACCGTGCTTCTTCACTTCGGTTAGTGCGGGTTGTTGAAGGGTTATTGGGGTGGGGGGGGGGCCCAGGAGCGATTCAGATATCGCTCGCAGCCAGCGCACTGCCGTCCGCCCCCCCCACAGTCCCCTCCACTGCCCCCTCCACAGTCTCCCCAGTGGATGTTGCAGCCGCGTGTGTGTGTGTGTGTGCGCGCTATCAGCGGTAGTGTAGCGGTCAGCGCGCCACGCTACGAACCCTGGCGACTCGAATTCGATTCCCGCTCACGGACAACACCGGTGGCGATTATCTAAACCGGTCCTGGGCATCCCCTAGGTCGAACTCGGCATCAAATGAGTACCTGGTGCAGTGTGTATACATCGCCACTGGGGAGACAAAGGCGGCCGGGCGTGGTACTGGCCACCCACCCCCTCGTGTGCCCTGCCTGTCTTCATATGTGCTACACGTCAACAGCGCATGCCCCAACAGTCTGTTAAGGCTACGCATGGGGGGGATCTTTGTCTATCAGCACCCAGGTCATCTTGTACGTAAGCAGTTGCGCTCCCGCGGTGGCGGAGTTGGTCGTGACGTTTTGAAGCGGATGTGAACGTTCATCGCAAAACCCAGAACAAATAAACGTTGTAGACGCCTACGCACGGCGGTGGGCGGGTGGCTCCGGGTGGCCGGCACCGCGGGCAGCGGACGCTGAGCCGGCACTGCTGGGGGCATGGGGTCAAAGCCAGGTGCTCTCGTCGCCCGATCACTAAACTCGGTCGTCGAGCGGAGTAGGGAGTTGATGAGGGTCCTCAACTCGGTCACCACCAATGACTGCACACACACACACACACAAAATAAACAAGTGTGAGTTTTTCACTTCATTTGGCAAACTTTCAGCGCTGAGAATTCGACATTTTGGTTTCATTTACACGAAGCACTGTTTGCAGAGCATGCAAATGTGAGTGAAGGCCTGCGTCGTACGAATAAAGAGGCCAACTTAATGGAATTTAGTAATTAGGTGACATCAACGTTCAAGAGCCCTTGTCCGACACGAGGTGATATAGTGCTTGCTTGCTTGCTTACTGCCAAAGTTCTATATATAATTGTCTTCGACTCATGGCTTGACACAAATGGCACAAGTGAAATAAACTGGTGAAAAAACTTAATCAAAACAAGTAAATTGACGAATGGAAGGGCACAGGGAATTGCAGGAATGTCGGGACGAGGCTTAGAGGAGGAGTGGCGCGGACTTCACCCACCTCTCACACAGCCGCAGCACCACTCGTGTCACACCCCCGTTACATCGAAAAAAAAGATTCTCCCCCCCCCCCCCCCCCGTATAACCGTAACAGACTGTTGGGGCAGTGCTGTGAGCGAGCAACTATGAAGGGCCTGCACGGCAACATGAGGTTGGTGGGTGGCAGCATCACACGAGGTTTTCATTTTAAGGCCGAGTCGACCTTGGAGAGGCCCAAGACCGGTTCAGGTATTCGCCACTGTTATTGGCCGTGAGCAGGAATTGGTCGTCACCCACACACATTACCCCCACCCGCCCCACTCACATCAATCACCCCCACCACATCACACATTCACCAGCCATTACTCTCACTCCCCCAAGCCACACACTCGCATCACCCACCCCACCATACCCTCACCAGCCCATCCCACTCACCTCTCTCACCCTCACCAGCCCATCCCACTCACCTCTCTCACCACACCCTCACCAGCCCATCCCACTCACCTCTCTCACCCTCACCACACCACACTTTCACCAGCTCACATCACTCATCTCTCACCACATCACACTATCACTCACCAGCCCATCCCACATCACTCACCTCTCACCACACTCACACCAGCCCACCCCACTCACCGCATCACACTCACCAGCCCACTCACCACGTCACACTCACCCTCACCATATCACCCTCACCACGTCACTCATCTCACCACGTCACACTCACCCCTCTCACCCTCACCACGTCACACTCACCTCTCTCACCCTCACCACGTCACACTCACCTCTCACCCTCACCAACCATTACTCGCACTTCCATAGCGCACACAAAGCACTCGCATTCCACTCTGCGGCAATATGAAACATTTTTTTTTCAAATCTGGTGTTAGTTAAAAAAAAAGACTCGCTTATTGGTTAAAGCTTCCGTTGGGCAGACATTTGACAAAAAAACCCTGCCCCTATTTCCCTTCAAAAATGCTGTGTGCCAAAGTACTGCGTGGCAAATCGCCAAGGTAATTCGAGGTGAATCTTGACTCTACATTTGGGTCTCAGCGACACAGTTTTGCTGTACCAGCCAACGGAGCAAAAGTCGCGGGTGCGAATTCTTTTCAATAGAGGCCAAAAATGGATGCGCGCGTGTGTGTGTCGTGGTCGGGGTAGTGAGAGGGTGGGCGAGTGTGTGGGGAGTGAGAGGATTGGTGAATGGGTGTGTGTGTGGGGAGTGAGAAGGTGGGGGGTGGGGTGATAGGGTGGATACGTTGTTGGGGATCGAGTGAGCCGGTGGGTGGGGAGCGAGAGGGCCGGTGGGTGAGCCGAGCGGGTGGCCGGGGGGAGAGGGCCTTGAACGATGACTCTCACCGTCTGGAGTGTATACAGGGAGGAGCGAGAGATGGGGTGGGGGGGTGCTGTTGAATTTGCGATAGTGGCGCGTTAGCGAGGGGCAGGGGCTGGGTCGGGCGCCTTGGCTCGAGATCTCGAACGCGCCCGTGACATCCACACGTACAGTCGATGGTGCCTTCCTAAAAATAAAGTTGAGTGCCAACGGCTCCCCATGCCCTCCTCCTGCGCTCCTCCCAGTGGACTCGGGTGCATGGGAATTCCCTTTCACAGGCAGCTCTGCGTGCAGTCCCCGGCACTCCCGAAGACCCACACTTGCCCTGGCACCAGCTGGTCCGGCACCAGCCACAACCCCCCCGGGTCGCTGCTCGCATCGTTCAGCATCTCGGAGCCCGCGGGGCAGCTTCCAACTTTTGCTCTGGGCAGAGCGGGCGCATCGCGGTCGGGGATGAGAGGCGTAAACAGACGTGATGTGGGTGTAACAGATAGTCATAGCTAGTGCCGACGTCTATAGGTGTAACAGATAGTGCAGATAGATAACACAGATGTAGGTACTTGCATGTCCGTACCGGTGTGTATTGGTTTGTTACGGTGACCGACACGAAATGAGGGGCGTCTTCGTAGTTTGTTGATTTCAGCGTAGTTCGTACGGTGTTGAGGTGTGATGATAATGGTGATAGGTTCCAGGCGCACACTGAGGATCGGACGCACACAGACACTTTCAGACACAAACGTGCACAGTGCGACAGCAACACGAGAGAGAGATGCACAATATTGACGCATGCAAATTGACATACGCAGGTACAAATACGCAGGGACGCAGACCAACACAAACATCGTCCAGATCAACTCGCGAAAAGATAAAGATCCCCCGTATTACTGTATAGCCTCTTAATAAACTTGTGTAGCCAAGTGCTGTTAAGCAAGGACTCGCTAAAACAGACAGAAAAAATACACACAACACAGACACACACAGCAGCGCACGCACACACACACAGGGCACCACCACCCCTCGTCCACGGCAATGTTATCCCGACTCAGGGGCTCATCAGCGAGCCGCAGAGAAACCCAACAGCAGCAGCAGGAGGATGAGGCCGAGCGGCTGCCTGCTGCCCGTGCTCTGGCTCGGCTCTACCGCCAGCACGTGCTGCCCATCGAGCGCCGCTACGGCTTCCACGCCGCCCATCGCGCCGCCGAGCTGCGCGACGCAGAGTTCGACTCCCCTCCCACGGTGCTGCTCCTGGGCGCACCGGCCGCGGGCAAGACCAGTCTGCTACGATACCTGCTGGGCGGCCCCAGCTCCCAGCAGCAGCAGCAACTGCTTCAGCTGCAGCAGGGAGTGTTGCAGCCGGGCAGCGCCACGACCTTCGTGACGATCGTGCAGCACGGGGAGGCACCGGGATGCGTGACCCCTGGGCACGCCTTGGTGCTGGAGGCGAACTCGGCATTCGCGGGATTGGCGGCGTTCGGCAGCGCGGCTATGTCCAGGTGAGTTGCGGCTGTCGCCTGTCCCCCGGTGTTTGAATTGAGTTCGTGCCGAGATGCGCTGAGATTTGATGGAGCCGAGTGCCGACTGTAAAAATGCCCCAAGCTTTGGTATGCGGAATGGGTGGCAACCCAAAAAGGTGACTTTTTGAGTGTAGGTTACCGGTAACCGCGTAAAAACACTGGTATAAAAACCGGTTTACCGCACGTTTGGAAACGTCTCGAGCCAGGGGTCGGCAACCAAAACAACAAGAAGAGCCATTTTTTTCGAATTCGTTACAAAAACTCGATAATTTCGAGAGCCGTCAATGCACGTGCGCACACAACATTACATCACGAAGCAGTCCGCAAAGACCCCCATGCTGCCCTACCGACCCCTGCTCGAGATGAATGGGCATCACGCGTGTGACTCTGAGCGGAGGAACCAAGGGAGCTGCTTGATGTAAATGGTTTCCACGCTGCACGTGGTAGCAATAGTGCACGTGTATTAAATCACCCCCCCTCCCTTTAGTCATATGATCGAGGTACGTCACGATTAGTAAGTCGCGTGTGGTGGGGTAAAGCGTGCGGACGTCCACACGTCTGATCAGCGTGGGAAGAGTAGACCAAATACACCCTATAGCTCCCTCTAGTGGAGGCCCTTCTGGCGGCAGTGGCGCGAGTGAGCAATTGAAGGTCTGCGCCTTTACATGTTAACCGAACCGATGGGAAAGTGTTACCACGCGGTGACTTAGGCCGCCGTGCCGTTTGTCCGTGCGCGTGTGCCAATCGGAGCATTCTTTTTCAAAATTCCACTGAGAACGATAACCGGTTCCTGAATTTCAGAAACTGGTAATCGAGTTTGATAACGATGAACGCTTTTCCGGTTGTCGTTTTACCAACCCTCGTGTGTAGGTGTGGATGTAACACATTCCTGCGGAGGGAGCTGGTAGGAACGTTGGGTTGCTCGGTCAATGGCCAGGGTCAACGGCGGCGTGGTGTATTCCGCAAATATGCCCGACTGTGAGGGCGGACACAAGCCGGCGTGAGTAGGTTAAACGTTGAGTTTTATAAGGGCACCACGGGGTGACCAGCCCCTCCCCACCCAGCCCCACCCCTCCCCACCCAGCCCCTCCCCACCCTCCCCTCCCTCCCCATCCAGCCCCTCCCCACCCTCCCCTCCCTCCCCATCCAGCCCCTCCCTGCACGACGGACGGACGGACACAATAATCCCCTGTGGGCTGCTGTAACCAGAGGTTCCTACCAGTATAAGGGGTGTGTGTATTATGTCTGCAGCGGTAGTGGGAGCGGTTAGCGCGCTGCGCTACCAACCCGACGACCCGAGTTCGAATCCCGCTCACGACCAACAACCAGTGTCGATTATATCTGAACTGATCCCGGGCCTTCCCTAGGTCGACTTAGCCTAAAATGAGTATCTTGTGCAGTTTGTGGTGCTAGCCACACCAACCCCTCGTTGCACTTGCCCCAACAGTCTGTGTCGACTACACGGTGGATGTTTGTGTGTGTGTGTGCAGGGTGGTGCGTGTGCAGTTGCCGTGTCCCATTCTGGAGAGCGTCACCTTTGTGGACACACCGGGCATTCCCAACGATGAGATCGCCGCAGGGCAGCACGGTACAAAACACCACCATTGACATCACAGTTATTATCACCACAAACACATTCCTGCGGAGGGAGCTGGTAGGAACGTTGGGTTGCTCGGTCAATGGCCAGGGTCAACGGCGGCGTGGTGTATTCCGCAAATATGCCCGACTGTGAGGGCGGGCACAAGCCGGCGTGAGTAGGTTAAACGTTGAGTTTTATAAGGGCACCACGGGGTGACCAGCCCCACCCTCCCCACCCAGCCCTACCCCTCCCCACCCAGCCCTACCCCTCCAATTTTTGAATGCAGGACGGACGGACGGACAAAATAATCCCCTGTGCATGGGCTGTTGTAACCAGGAGGTTCCTACCAGTATAAACGTCGTCACAATCAATACCAAGAATACCATCAACATCATCATCATCATCCTGACCATCACATCTGCTGTCATTTTCATCATCTTCATTGTAACCATCACAACCACTGTTATTGTAATCAGCGCGATAATTACCATGATCATAACCATCATCCTAAGCATATGAAATATAATCAAAGTAATCAACGGGTGGTTACGTACGGTGCGAAAAAAGTTCAACATACATTCGTTTTCATCACAATATTCAATACACATCATCACCAAGATGAAAATCACAAATTTTCATCATCAATATCACAACCATCGTCATCTTAATATAAATAATATTTCTTGTCACTGAGATAAAACATCATTATCGATAATAGTTGCTGCTACGGCTTCCGCAGATTTCTACCGTTTTGAGCTCGGTGGAATGTGACCTCCACTGATTTATTTCGTGTTGACCCAGAATGTTAACGAAACACTCAACACATTTAACAATACGTAACTGTCCCAAACGAAAAACATACACAAGCGACATATCGGGCAATGGTCCTTCTTAACAGCACATACCTTCTTCACATACAATATTTGAAAAAGAGCCATTTTCCGAAACGTCGCCTGTTACAGTATGTATTTATTTTTCCTTTTGGAGTAGGGTCATTGCCGAATGTGTTGAGTTTTACTGGTAGGAACCTCCTGGTTACACCAGCCCACGGGATTATTGTGTCCGTCCGTCCGTCGTGCATCCACAAATTGGAGGGGTGGGGCTGGGTGGAGAGAGGAGGGTGGGGAGGGGCTGGGTGGGGCTGGGTGGGGAGGGGCTGGTCACCCCGTGGTGCCCTCATAAAACTCAACGTTTAACCTACTCACGCCGGCTTGTGCCCGCCCTCACAGTCGGCCATATTTGCGGAATACACCACGCCGCCGTTGACCCTGGCCATTGACCGAACAACCCAACGTTCCTACCAGCTCCCTCCGCAGGAATGTGTTCCTGTGGTGAATTGTGCTTGTGCACCACTACCAACTGCAGCAGTAGCTACACCAAACAGAAGTGATCGGATTCATTGGATTTCCCCTACATTACGCAATGTCCGTCGTCAAGCGTGTAGATTGGTAACGGATGTTGTAGTTTCTGCGGATTTCTTCTCGTGTTTACTTCGGCAGACTGCTCGTCGAGTTTGTAGCTTCCAAGGATTTCGAAAGTCCCGTGTTTTCACATTGTACGGATGCTATATTTTAATGGAGTGAACTTGCTAATAACATCTGGTATTTCTGCAAACATTTGTTCCACAAGCTTGGTTCTGCCACAAATCATTGTTGAAACCGGTCCAGTGTTTTGTGGCTTGAAAAAAAAAACCTGTATAACGTTTGTCCGGACAGCTAGTAGATTCACTACAATATCTCTGTAGAGTATGTGGCGAGACATAATTGAGTTCTGCGTATACAAGTGTACGCTTTTACAATGCAGTAATCGATCGATTATTAAGTGCACAATGCTTGCGTGCGATTTTTATACGTAATGTATCATATGCAATGGGTTCGTGTTAAATCTGCAGCCACTAGTGACCGCTACATTCACCGCAATCTTTCATTATTGTTATTAAATTCACACAAAGCCGGGGGAGGACAGGATACTGGTTATGTTGTACCGGGCTGTGGTATTATATTCCGAGCCGCTGGTAAATGGAATAATAGCCACAACTGACGTGCTTGTGTACGGGGATGGAATTCCTTTCCAGCTAGAGCCCCGCCTGCTTGCCCTTGGCCGACATATAGAACTTCTAGTTGCAGTAACAGCTCTCTCGCTGTGTTCTTCTTGGTTCAGCAGTTCCACTGCTGGATTATTTTTTGCACCTGAGGACGACCGCTTGTGTTGCGATCGAAACGTCGTGATATATTGTTTTTCATGTTTATTTTCCTACCGACGTGATTTTACCGAAAGCTTAAAATCAAGATGGAATAATAGCCACACAAGCCATATACTGGATATGGTGTACCGGGTGCGGAAATAATTTATCGGAGTCGCCGACCCCGGACAGATAGATCCCGGCTGGAAAGTAAGCCCTGATGATGTTGCTGGCTGGCTGGCTGGCTTCCGCGGATTTCTTCCGTGTTGACTCCTTGCGGCAAGCGGTTGGGACGCGCGCGTGACAGCGTGAACCGCTCTGATTATTGCGATGGCATTCTCTAGCCCGCTTCATAATTAAACGCCGCTGCGTGGTGGGGCAAACGCAGGGGTTATACCACGTGCTTCCGTGTGAGCGATGGGCAGTGCTCGTGTTTATTGTTGTTCCAGAGCCACTGGTGGAAATTCCACATTCTTATGACAAAAAGCCAGGATGACATTTTGGCGAGTTGACCGAACTTGTAATTATAGTAAAGCAGCGTGCTTAAACAAAGATGTTAACACTTGTGAGAATTTGCAACAACACCACAGAAAATGTGCGCCTCTGGCGTCTGAAGACCACCTGGAGAAGATTCCAGGCACGTGTTGACAATGATGGCGAACAAGTGGAGACTCTTTGACTTTTTGAAGCTATTAACATACATTTGTAATCATGTTACAGTGTATTATCCGTTCTTTTTTTTTATTAAAAACGATAGCCCCATATAAGTGTTAACATTTTGTTGAAGCACGCTGTAATGATATCAACTTGTAACGTGCTACCGCATCGTATTCGCTCACTCTCAAGGAGAAAGACTCTGTGGCGTGTGGAACCACAGTCGACCAGGATGCTATCGCCGCGGTGAGCTAGCGCCAACAATTTTCAAGCTCTGTGGTCCTCTATACATGAGGATGTTTTCAGCCCATTCACAAGTGTTTATACGTGTGGGAGGAAACCTGAGCACCCAAAGAAAGCCCACGCGTGCGAGGGGACGAGACTCCATCCCTTAGAGATGTCGACATATGGAGGCCACATCTGCCGTACCGCTTTCTCCTGGCGAACCAGGGTACTTGCACCTCCTCGACTTCCACGGGGAGTTCACATTTGTGTGATCCACCAATCCAAGCCTCCACAGTGCTGGATTACAGGCCATGTGCATAGCCACCACGGCCACTATGAGTCACAATGAGCCACTAAGCCAAATAAACATCTCGTCGATAAAGTTAAAACATGGCTAATCCCACCCACCGCCATCATCATCATCATCATCCCTTCGGGGTTGATAAACTCTCTTTGTGGGAAGTCAACCAGGGTTCTATGGTTCCACAAGCTCCTGCCATAGAAATGTGGATTACTCCCACTCGCTTGAGCAGGCAGACACATAGGCTATTTCACTTTGAGGATACCGCAAATTGATGTCAGTCACTTACCAAGGAGGGCATCGGTGAGTCTCAAGACTCCGTTTCAAGAGGGTGCTGTCATCTTGGGATATTAGGCCAATTTATTAATATCAAGAGTCGCCGGAGAAAACCCACCGACGGTTGTAATACTCAAATTTTCACACAGATGGATTTCATACATTGATGTCCTGCCATCGTCTGGCCACCTCACAGCTTAAGACCTACAACAAACAGCTGGTATTTAACTTTTGTGGAAAGTAAACAAAAAATAGTATATTCTTCAGATACACTCTTCCCTGCCATAGTAAGGTGGAATTGTGACCATTGTCTCAGGGCTGTAAACAGAGACGAGCTGTTCAGAAAGCAGAAACGGCGTTGGCTCGGCCTGCGACTGCCCCCTGCCGGCACGTGGCTGTCGCTGAGACACTGGGCATCTCGCGCGCGTCACCTTTGTCAGCAACACTGCCTTCGTGAATCCAGTGTAATAGGAGACGTTTCGGGTAATGGCCCTTCTTCATAGCACATAGAGGGGCCAGAGAGGTGGAGTGTTGTGAAGAAGGTCCATTGCCCGTGAAGTCGCCTATTGTGTTATTGGCGAATGTGTCGAGTCGTGTGTTTGCTAGATTACTCAACTGGGATTACACATGGCAGCAATGCCCGGCGCCCCATTGTCAAAACTAATGCCCATTCGCAGGCAAGTTGCTTCGTTTCCTTGCACCACAGAGGGACAGCTGCTGCTGGGGGTGCCCTTTTAAACGACGTTGAGCTGAGATATGACGTTATCACGTGTAGAGCGCTTGGTGAGAAACTCCCGGCATGAAGGAGGGAGGAGATGAGCGGCTCTATCAAAACAATTCCACGTTCCACGAGTCAGCTCGGCGTGCACGTGGGGGAAACTGATCATGATCCAGCCAGCGGACCTCCCAAATCCCGCTCTCAGACGCACGCGCCGAACGAACGAACTAATGACCGTGCACTTGACCCGCCCGACAGGCTCGACGCCCCTGCCTGGCGGCTACGGCGGGCTCCTGGCGTGGCTTTGCGAGCGCGCGGACCGCGTGGCGCTCGTGTGCGACGCCCCGCGTCCCTCGGTGTCGGAGCGCGGCGCCCTGGCCACGGCGCTGCGCTCGCTGCGCCGCCACCTGCACCCGCACAAGCTTCGCGTTCTGCTGCTGCGCGCCGACGAGCTGGGCGAGCCGGGCTCCCTGCTCCGCGCTCACGGGGCCCTCTGCTGGAGCCTGGGTCGTCTCCTCGGCAGAGGTCATCCGCAGCACCAGCAGCAGCAGCAGAAGACGAGAGAGGGCCATCAGATGACGCTGGTGTCGCCACCGCGCGTGTACGCGGCTGCGTTCCGGGACGGGCCCCTGCGCTGGGACTGGAACCGGGACCTGCTGGAGGTGAACGAGAGGGACTTCATGAACGACCTGCGGAGCCTGCCGCGGCTCGCGCCCCTGCGCCGGCTCAACGACGTCATCGCCAGGGCGCGCCTCGCCAGGGTGAGCCGCGGCGCGGGTTGTTGTTGATGTTGTTGTTGATGTTGTAGTTATTGACATCCGTGGTGTTGTCAAGTCCATAATCGTTGTTGTTGTTAAGTCCGTTATTGTATTGGGCCCTTCTTCAGTTCAAGTCACGGTCTGTTTAAGGCAAACTTGTAATTTAATGGTGCTGTGTGTAAACATCAGCACTGGGGGAGACAAAGGCGGGTATGACCATGGGGCTGGCCATACCAGCCCTGCCTTAATAGGTGCTCGCTGAGAGCTGGATTGGAGGAGGATGTGTGTCCTCGTGTGCCACAGGCCCACGCGTGCATCGTGAGCGCCCTGCACTCCCAGCTGCCCCTGTTTGGTCGCCGGGCGGCCCTGACGGAGCTGGTGGCGCAGGGAGGCCTGGCACCCGTGCTGGAGGTGGCGCATCAGCGGTGGGGGTTGCCAGTGGGAGACAGGCCTGAGATGGAGCCTATGCAGGTGCCTCTCAGCCCCCCCCCCCCCCCCACCTGCTGAACCTTCCACTCCCCCTCCCCCATCAAAATCCTTGACCCCCCTGCGCTGCACCTTAGCCCCCATTCGTAACGATTTAATGCTCCCCGCCCCCACCCCTTCTGAATTCTGCAGCCGAGATTCTTGCAGTGGCGGATACATATAATGTGTAGGCCGGTGTGAAATGAAGCCACGGGGCGTAGGTTCCTCACCCCTGCGCTCACGGAAGCGTAAAAGTGGAGCGGTGAACGCACTCTGCTAAGAACCTGGCTACCTGCTCGTGGCCAATATCAGTGACGAATATCTGAAATCGGTCCTGGGTCTCCCCTCGGTCAACTCACCCTTCAACGAGTATCTGGCGCGGTGCGTAAACATCATAACTGGGGAAACAAAGACAGCCTGGCATGGTGCAGGCCACCCACCCCCTTGAGTGCCGTATCGGCCTTCATAGGTGCTCGCCCACAGCACTTGCCGTGTGTGCGTGAGAGCGTGTCTCGTGCGTGGTTGTGTGTGTGCACGCAGGAGTGGCTCATGCACTGCGACATGAGCTTCATCCGCCCCATGGAGCGCCGTCTGCTGGCCGCCGTCGACACTCTCCTCCAGCGCGACGCTCCGGCGCTGCTCTCCCGCTTCCGCAATGAAGCCTCCTCCTGCACCTCCTCATCGTCGTCGCCGTCGTCATTCCAGACGTCCTCGCCCTTCCCTCCTGCTGCTGCCAGGCGGCCAAGCCCTGCCCGCGTCGTCCCTGGGACCATTCGCCGAGGACCTGGGATTCGCGTCTGCGACGTCTCCCACCTGCGGCGACGACGACGGCGGCGACGACGACGCCTCGTCGCCTGCGCCGTGGGCGCTCTCGGAGGAGAAGGCGCTGTACGAAGAGCTGTTCCGCTCGCTGTCACCCGTGCGGGGCCGCGTGTCGGGAGCGAGCGCGCGACTCGTGCTGCTGCGCTCGCGGTTGCCCGCGTGCGCGCTGCGCCGCGTGTGGCGCCTGTCCGACGTGGACGCCGACGGCATGCTCGACTCGGACGAGTTCACCGTCGCCAACCACCTGGTGGCGGCGGCGCTGCGAGGGCGCGAGCTGCCCCGCGAGCTGCCCCCGCACCTCGTGCCGCCCTCCAAGCGCGATCGCGGCCGGGGGCATCGGGCGGCGGCGGCGGCGGCGGCGGGGGCCGGCGAGCTGGGGGACTCGGGAGCCCCCGCCGATTGCGGCGTCGGGCAGAGCGAGCGGCCGGCGGAGTGATCGGCGGCCGCTGGCGTTTGTGCCATGCGTGTGCGCGCCGCGTTACGGGACGATGTGACGCTGGACGCGGCGGCGGCAGCGGTCGGCGCGGAGGTCAAAACACCGAGTCGGCACCGCTGAGAGCCTGGGTTTGAATTCGCGTTTCAGCCGGGTCACCGATGAATCGCAGAGAGACCTGTATGCTCGCATAGAGACCCCGACAGTTACATAGACTGAGTAGTGGTTGGAGGTCTAAGCTCGGTCACCAACAACTCTACAATATTTCACGAGAAATTTAGCTCTGCACTTAATGTGGCTAATTTCCAACTGTGAGAAATAAAATACTGTATCGGTTTGGGTGTCGACTATCATGCGTAGAACATTACTCTGCTGCCCTCTACATTGAGGAATACAGATATCACAGCAGTACCTCTGTGATATCCACTTCCCTTGGCCGTTCTGTAACGCAGGGGGGTTGCACTGCGTTGAAACAAATTCAAATGTATAATTCGTCCAATGATGCCATCGGCACGTGTGTCATCAGCCATGGTTATCCACTGCTGGATGAAGGTCTCCACATGCTGTTGCCATCCCACATGTTCATTCGCAGGAACAACATCCCCCTGAATATTATTCCTTCTTTAAAGGTCTACTTTTTAATGATTTTCTTATCAAGCCTGTCTGGACAGGGAGCTCTGTTGTCAGAGCGCTCGACTCGCAATAAAAAGTTTCCGAATTCAAATCCTAGCATCAACATCATTATCACCATCAATATCATCAATATCATCAATATAAAAAGAGAGAACACCATTTTGTAGGAAGTCATCTGAGTCTTATGGAAAAAACTGCAATCATCAACTGAAGTGACCATCGCCAACGAGGACACTGTGAGATGATTAAACACAAACTTGTCACCTTCAGCAACGGCAGTATAGACGCTTTACAGATCTGTATCGTGCGTGTATACCATCACCAGAGTAGCTGCATAACTCTTACTGTGACCTCTACGTGTGCAATATATAACAAGTGTAAATGTCTGCTTCTGTGAGTGTAATAAACACAAAACGAAATGAAATAAACATCTCTCAAGATTTATCATGTCTCAGCCTCCTGCCGCAATCTCTCACACCCACACATCTCTCCCCAGTGATCGCTCATCCTCGTGTTTTCCTCCTGACCTACAAATCAACACACGTAAGTTGGCTCCTCTGGCAGGCAAGAATGTGTTGGGTTATGTAGAGCAATTCGCTGCCACTAGAGGGTGGGCGCGCCACGTGAAATGTCATGCCAAATCATCGCTCGAGTCTCCTTCCTTTTACTCCCCCCTCTGCACTTCCCCATCACACCAAAACACAGAGCTTACTGCCACCTGTACCTAACTGCTTTTGGCACGTGTGTGCTTTTTTTCGATTTACGCGTATTTATGTTACTGTTAGACTAAAATATAGAGCTTACCTGCTGCGCATGTACCTAACTCCTTTTTTAAGTTACACTTGCACCGTTTTTGACTTGCGTGTTTCCTTTACGACCGTCAAATGCCTCGTTTGTTCGTTGTGCAATATTCCTTAAGGGCCCTGTACTCGTTCTCTGCAATACTGACGTTTTTAACGTGTCGTTGTACTCACGCAACACTGATCTCCCTCGTAAAAAATCCGGGAAACTGGCTAAACAGGATCATGCGTGCGAATCAAAATCAACGTACACACTTAGCACGGGCTTTAGAGTTGTCCCACGTGATATCGGGCTCTGATGCAAATGAATGAGCACTTTCTGAGTCACCTGGGGACATGCGTGTATATATATATACAATCATCAGGTTCATCCAGCCTGTAACGACGTAATTTGTATTCGTGCGGGGAATATCCGGAAGGTGGATTCGTTGAGCAACCGGATTTGCGATGTCATTGTCTTCATTGGCGCTTTGTGACGTCGACACACTCAGGCTCACATCTGAGACACATACGACTCACCATAGACTTCTACTGGTAGGAACCTCCTGGTTACACCAGCCCACAGGGGATTATTGTGTCCGTCGTGCAGGGAGGGGCTGGGTGGGGAGGGAGGGGCTGGGTGGGGAGGGGAAGGTGGAGAAGGGCTGGGTGGGGAGGGTGGGGCTGGGTGGGGGGTGAGCGGGGTGGGGCTGGGTGGGGGGTGGGAGGGGTGGGGCTGGGTGGGGAGGGGCTGGTCACCCCGTGGTGCCCTTATAAAACTCAACGTTTAACCTACTCACACCGACTTGTGTCCGCCCTCACAGTCGGGCCTTTTTGCGGAATACACCACGCCGCCGTTGACCCTGGCCATTGACCGAGCAACCCAACGTTCCTACCAGCTCCCTCCGCAGGAATGTGTTAACCCATAGACCCCCACCCCCCCATCGACTCGTACACAAAAAAACCCCACTGAGAAACTGGAATGCGTTGGCAGTGACTTCCCACCATCCGCAGAGCTTTCTCTTGTTCTCTTGCTCACGTCCCACGTGGCTTCCCAGGAGAAACTGGTCTGGTGGCATGTCCTGGTAACCGGGGCATCATTCACCATCATCACATGTCGCATTCGTGTTCCGATGATAAATTAGTTCTGCACCCAGGCAATGGAAATCCCGAGGTGAACTTGAGTTGGGCTTCGATTTAAAGCTTTCGTGACTGCAGGGATTCATATTCTTGGATCTTTCGGTAAAGTCACGTAGAAGGGAAATAATAACATAATGAAAATAAAACATAAAATTCTCACGACGTTTCGGCCACAACACAAGCAGCCGTTCTTAGGTGAATAACAGAGTTGTTTTATTATTTTATTATTTCCCTGCTACGTGACTTTACCGAAAGATCCAAGAATTTGAGTTGGGCTCCCTCAACACGAGCAGCGGCGCGTGGTGGCGATGATTGGGATTTTGCAAATCCCTCCACTTTGAGGCTTCATTTGTTGAACGCAACTACGCACGCCAAAAAGCAGGGATTTCAGAAGAGTCGCTTGCAATAGCCACTCGTTCGCGCATGCATTTGAAGAGGGATGTTTAATCTTTTTTGTGCAGATAACTTTGCGCGACTCAAAGAAGTGCACGTCGTCTTTATTGCCGGCAGAAAAAAATAAACCAGTTTGTTTAGGTCGAGGAGAAGGAGGCTTTCCCGTGGGGGGTGCTCCCCGCGAAGATGAAACACGGAACGTCCCCTCCGTCCACTTTACTGGCAGTGGAAAATCTCCAAACGCGATCCCTCGTGGCGTAAATCCGGCCTCTCCCCTCCATCCATCGACATGACTTTCCCGAAAGAACCAAAGAATATAAGATGACTCACTTGCAGCAAAAATAATCTGTATTGATGAGTGAATGACATTATGAAATGAAAACAAACGCAAAAAAATATATATTTCTAGCCCTTTGTCAAACCACGACTGGATGAATCTCTCCCACCCCCACCTTCTCTATGCCGTGTTGGCCATGGGGAGTGGGGGGGGGGGTGTTTGACCATACTTCACCACGCTGGTCAATGCGGGTTGTTGAAGGGTGGGGGGTGGGGGGAGTTGGGGGGGTGTTTGATCATACTTCACCACGCTGGTCAATGTGGGTTGTTGAAGGGTGGGGAGTGGGGGGAGTTGGGGGGGTGTTTGACCATACTTCACCACGCTGGTCAATGTGGGTTGTTGAAGGGTGGGGAGTGGGGGGAGTTGGGGGGGGGTGTTTGACCATACTTCACCACGCTGGTCAATGCGGGTTGTTGAAGGGTGGGGAGTGGGGGGAGTTGGGGGGGTGTTTGACCATACTTCACCACGCTGGTCAATGCGGGTTGTTGAAGGGTGTGGAGTGGGGGGAGTTGGGGGGGGTGTTTGACCATACTTCACCACGCTGGTCAATGCGGGTTGTTGAAGGGTGGGGAGTGGGGGGAGTTGGGGGGGTGTTTGACCATACTTCACCACGCTGGTCAATGAGGGTTGTTGAAGGGTGTGCAGTGGGGGGAGTGGGGGGAGTTGGAGGGGGGTGTTTGATCATACTTCACCACGCTGGTCAATGCGGGTTGTTGAAGGGTGGGGAGTTGGGGGAGTTGGGGGGGGGGTGATCATACTTCACCACGCTGGTCAATGCGGGTTGTTGAAGGGTGGAGAGTGGGGAGAGTTGGAGGGGAAGGGCTGTTCCTGTATCACAAACAGCTGATGTTGAGAGTCGTGGGGTGGCAACTCAAAAGTCGCGTTGGCCGGATTTGATGGGGCAATTTGCTCGCTCGTCTGTTCAACACGGCCCCGTGATGGTAGGTTGTTGTTGTAAAAAAACACGTGGCACACGGTTAAAAAACAGCTGTGTAGAGTTATATTATATATATATTTACATATGTATCTAAATAAGGGTTATTATAATACAACACGTTGTTTCGGGGATGTCGCGACGCCAGGTGCTTGTGAATAGTTTTCAAGTTTGATTCGTAGTTTTTCTACTCCCGTTTCCATACTTTGTGATAAGCTAAGCGCGTTTTTAAGCCCGGACACTGCTCGGTGGAGAGATGACCGGCCTGCGATCCCAGTTCTTTATCATCATGACCGGCGTGGTGAAGTATGGTCATTGAATTCCGACGACTCTCATCCAGCAGTGGATTGACAAAAAATGACCCTACGGGTGTAAGAGTGGAGAAAGAGAGAGGGAGGGAGTCGTTCTCTTCGTATCTATCGTCGATGGTGACGACTGTGTGCGGTGCCTTACAAGTTGAACGTACATTAAAAAGAGAAAAAGAGAAATGTTAAACGAGGGGGGTGTGTTGGTGCCGTTGGATAATTCCATGGAGCAGCGTTGCGTTCAGTTCCCACTGAAATTCAAACTTTGATTTAGACCAGCCGAGGTCCCATTAGCGAACAGGGACCCAGGGCCACCAATTGTCACCACGATGGCAATAACCACCCCTCCTCAATAACCACCCCTCCTCAATAACCACCCCTCCTCAATAACACCCCAACACAACGACGATACACGGCGGAAGCCCTTTCACAAATTAAACCCCGCAGAATTTGTTTTATAATACCGTACAATTGAACGGCAATTTATATTAATCCCTATCGACATTTCCTCCCAGATGTTATTATTATTTAAATAAATATAATTCTACATTTGAAGTTTCCGTGACTGTAAGGATTATGTTTTTTCGGCAAAGTCACGTAGGTAAAAAGAAAAAAGAAAATAATAATAATACTAATAGATGAAAATAAATCTATTAAATCACGAATTAAATTAAATGTGTTATTATTATTTAAATAAATATAATTCTAGATTTGAAACTTTCGTGACTGCAAGGATTCATACTCAGGTTTTTTCGGTAAAGTCACGTAGGTAAAAATAAAATAATAATAAATGAAAATAAATAAATTAAATCACGAATTAAATTAAATGTGTTATTATTATTTAAATTAAAAAAATTCTAGATTTGAAGCTTTCGTGACTGCAAGGATTCATACTCAGGTTTTTTCGGTAAAGTCACGTAGGTAAAAATAAAATAATAATAATAAATGAAAATAAATCAATTAAATCACGAATTAAATAAAATGTGTTATTATTATTTAAATAAATATTGTTCGTATTCTAATTACCTCCCCGTCTCGGGCTCCCATTGGTCCTCTGGCGGGAGGCGGCGCCGCGGCTCGGCCCGCCCCCTCGGGCAGCAGCAGCAGCCGCCGCCGCCGCTTCCAACGCGACCACCACAGCCGTCGTCGCGATTGCCTCCGTCCGCTTTCGTCTGCCGCGACCGCCTCGCTCGACCACGAACATGGCCAGGAGACGACCACGGCGATGAGCGTCGTCGTGTCGAGCTGCCAGCTCGCTCCCATCGGCTGACTCCCCCCCCCACCCCGCATTGCATGTCCAGCGAGACGCGGACGCGCGGCCTAACAAAACACCGGCCTCGGATAGAAGCGCTGCCGGGGGAAGTGAGGGGTACCCCGGCACGTGTTGGTGGAGGAGGTGCCATCCCTCCCCAACCCCACCCCCAGCTCTCCACCCCCCACGACTATCTCCGTACAAGTGGTCTCGAGTGGCAAAGACGAGGGCGGCTATCCCGTGGCGGCAGTGTCACTTCGTGGCAGTGTTTGTTGAGCTCGGGGTGAGGAGGAGACGAGGCTTGCTTGTAAGTTCAATATCGCGGTCGTTGTAGCCATGGCTGACGGTAGTGCCATCACAACGAGGATCCGGCGTCTGCTTCGCTCTCCGTCGCTGTCCCTCAAGAAGACGAAGCCCACGCCTCTCACCGAGCGGGTAAGCAAGGGTTTAGTTGTTGTTGTTGTACAAGCGTGGGACTTTAACTGGTTACACAGGGATGGCAGGGGAGCTGAACGCATGTTTTCAGCTTGGAGCTATATAATAAGCGCTTGCTCCATAGGTCATCGTTGGGGTTGATGGCTAAGCTAGTCAATGATCCGCGGCAGAAATTGGTACCACGGAAGGTAGCAGAACTTTATAAAGTAACGATTCACTTACATGGCTAATGAGTGAATTATTGTATAGACCACTCATTTAAAATGGTTAACGCACAATTCACTGTCATTGGCCACATAAACAAAGTAGAACCGCTAAAGTTATTCTGCCTTGGGTGGTACCGACGAGTGAAATGTCTGGTCTGTGCTCGTGAATAATATTTCCTGTCAGTTGCGACATCTTAATGATTCATGCGAAGGTTGTTTGCTAATAGTGGGGTGGCTGTGATAATGCGAGCCCAAGCGGATGAGGGTTTAGGACGAGGCTGAAGTGAGGGTAGATTGTTGGGGTTAGGCTTAAACTTGGGTAGAGTTTGCTCATGATGTTGAGGGTCATTACGAAGTCTGGTGTAAGGCGCTTATAACTAGGCGGATTGTGATGATCACGGCCAGGCGTTATGGACATTATAGTTGCCCAAAGTGAGTCGAGCAAAGCAAAGCCATCGTGTGGCCGTTTCTAAAACGTCGGTGTATTTGAGATGTTCCAAGTTCGTGTTGTGGCTATACTTACATGAGGGATGAGTTAGCCCAGGTGAGTGGGATACGCCTAAATGAGGGGAAGGTATAGTTAGCCCATGTCTGGATTGTTGCTATGGTTGGGGAAGGGTGTAAAGCTAACCCAATTGAGTTTTGGGGCCATGCTAAAGTGAAATGGAGAGCTTGCCCAAGTGTGTTGTGGTGAGGGCGAGGCTTACATGAGGACAGAGCTCACCAAAGTGATGGTTGTTGCTTAACCCAAATGAGAATAGAGCTCACGCAAATGAGGGCGAGGGGCGATCAACATCTAGCTGTATGCCCTCGTTTATGTTTAAAAACGGTAAGTTTCGCTCCAGCTAAATATATTGTATCTGCGTTATATTATAACGTGGAATAATAATCCATTATACGAGCCATGTACAAGATCTTAGTCTGACAATGGAATATTTTGGATCTCGTGACAAATTAAGAAGCTGGCATCGTGAGGTGCTCATCTAGCAGCGGGCTGACATGGACAGTGCATGGTAAAACCAAAGTACGAAAGGAGTTTATTCCTGTGGGCTTTTTCTACACCCGGTCACCACTACTAACAAGATGCCTCTCGCCCTCTCTCATGCGGATCATTTTACATCTGCAAGAGACCATGGTGGCGCGTGTGTGTGTTGAGCACTCCGGACGCGGTTGTTATTAAACAACAACACAAAGTGGAAAAATAATTACGGTAACTGGCCGAGGCAGGGTGGAATAACGCCGCAAGCATTGCTGCTGCCGCAATGTTAATCTTTATCCTTTAAGCTGCTTAGAGGCACTTGGTGCATAGCAGCAGTGGGTTCATTTCCATGTGAAGTTTTGGACCATCATATGACGTTACCGTGCCTCCTGTGACTCCCCCAGCACACGAATAACTCGTGTTTTGGAACTTTGGAAGGTGCTGTAGATTCATAATAGATGGGTTTTTTGGGGGGATTAGATGGCGTAAATATATAAATGTGTCGTTAAAACCCGCCACCATCCGACAATCTGTAAATGTTGTGGCTTGGCTCTCCAACACACCGGTGTGCTGTACTAGTGACGAATTGCATGTTCTGTTTACGTGACAACCCTTACTAAGTTGGCTGTGTCGGGTGGTAGTAGGTTTTAACGACACATTTATATATTTACGTGATCTCACTCAAAAAAACCTCTGCGAAAGTCTCCGTGTTAAACTGTGCTGTAGATTGTTGTTTAGTTGGTTTCGATTCGTGGAAAGATGGAAGTAGGGCTCTTGGGTATCTTGTCTTTCTTTATAAGCCATCCATCACACGAACCGTTTTTTTACGGGGAAATTCTACGAATATAGGCTGGCCCCCAACTTCTCTGGGATCAAAACAAACTGCTTCACTACTCACATTGATCCCATCCAAGAAATCCATTTAATAAATGCATTGTGTGCTCGAAGCAGGCCCGCTTTTATGTCGAACTACGGGCATTTCTTTTAAAGAATCAAATTCGTTTGCAATTCCCTTAATGGCTGTGGCTTAACTGAACGTTTGACCTCACTTTGGGGTACAAGTTTTAATTTAGATGAGACGTTTGTTTCTTGCTGAATGTGCATTTTTGTTTGCGGGTTTTGTATTTCATTGACACAGTGATACTCTTACTGCACGTACTGTTCCGTCCTCTCTTGGCGCAAGCTTAATGTGTTCTGCCCCATTTGTAACATTTTTCCCCGCATGGCATGTCTGGGTTCTAAACATTTCAATGTATCTGTTGAAAACTGCCGAGGAAAATAATGTACAAACATTCCTCTCTCTTCTGCTTCAAAACCCCAATGCCTAGTGATGTGTTAATGTAAACAAAATAATGATCCAGTGTCTCTAATTGTTGGTTGTGTTCTAAAGTTTACTCTGGACAATTACAACAGAGCTTTGTTTGTGAGGTACAGTCATTTAAAAATATCCAACTTGACGCGACTACTGTACCAGTCGGATTGCATGAGCAACTAAACGATTTAAAGGTCGTTTTTCACACTTTTCAAATATAAATAGGAAATGTTAATGCTGCAGTTTTAATGTAGGCGTATTTGTCTAACATTTGCGGTGCTGGTGGAGTGCATTTTTACGATTTAGAATGACGAGTGAGTCATTGTGTGTATTAACACGAGGTGTGTATTGCGAAGGCTGCCCCCTGATATTGGCACGCACCATTTATCTTGCCTCTACAGTTGTGATGACTTTTTCGGCAGCGAAACCATGGGGACCCTCACCGCTTATTCCCATTCCGGCCGTATCGTCTTCAATTTCAGACAAATGGCAGCAGGCCTGGGTTTATTGGTGCCCGCGCAGATTTACAGCAGGCAACGGAGATGCTCCCTAAAAACAACTGCTTACCCTGCCAGTTGGGCCCTGTTTTGTATTTCTCAGCAATAAAACAACGTAAGCCCTGGTGAACGAAGCGGAGCATTGTGAGCGATGTGCATCGCGCAGTCTGGATTAACACTGCACCACCCACAACACCGGTCAGCACAATTTGGCCAGTCGTTGTACGAAAGAACGTGTGGGAGACGCCGAGGTGTCGGCCAAAAGGGCAGAAAGTTCAGTCTGAAAATAGCGAGGTGAGACTGCTGCAAGGCCACACTGTCAGCCAGCGGGAGGCAGTGGCCCAATTATCATCGCAGATTACCATGTTTGGCAAAGTTGAGCTTAGGAAAACAGCAATTACCGTAAGTGTGCAGAGAAATTGAAGAGTGGGGCAGTGCCTTTTACAGTCTGGTGGATATTTGGGTAAACGTTTGAAGAGGTGTCCTTCAACGGGGGGGGAAGTTTTAAACTAGAAATTCGAGATGGTTCAAATGATTCAGTGACACTTTACCAAAAGTGCACTCAGCTCAGAGAAGCTGCCTCTGCCTCCAGGCACAGGTGCGCGGTTGTTCTGGTTGTCGCAAGCGTTTTTTGACGAGGAGTGCAGCTGTCGTGATAGTCGGCCTGTGCAGCGCGAGCCCTTTGAGCGGTGATGATGGTTTTCGCTGTTTGCCAAGATGCCTGCGGCCTGCGATGTGACTTTTTGGTGTGCGCTGCACATAATTGAACAGCCCATCGCGATGCTGTTGCTGCGTTGCGTGACTGTGGCATTGCGTTATGCAAACCACAGTGGGCTCGTATACCGCTCGACTGCAGTGTGAAATGTGCCCGATTAAACAACTGCACTCTTTTAACTTGTTGTCAGCAAGGGGGCTGGCTGGCTCAGAGATCAAAGCGTCGTGGAGAACCTGGGTTCGAATATGTTGCTTTAGCCATCCTGTGATTTAAATTGCCTTCTCAAGTTTAGCGAGTTGATAGGCTGAGCAGGGACACTAATGACGGTACAAAAAAAACTCATTACGTTAACTTCAGTTTTGCACTTAATTTGTCTAAATTTGAGCTCTTGAGACTGATAAATATCGGTTTTAATGGGATGAAGATTACACTCGGTGGCAGAGGAGCTTGAGGAAGTCCCGTCTTCTCCCTACTCTGTGAAACAGAGGTCACGTATAGGGATCTCAGCAGTTGCTCTTTGGATCCCCTTCCAAAGAGCCATTAAAACACGAAGATCTTCACTGCAATGATGATATATGATATATCGTCAATCGATGTTTTCTGGATAGAATTGGGAAAGATTAAAACAAATGTATAAAAAAAAAACTTTTTATTGTCTCTATTACAAGTTGGCAAATGTTTGTGCACAGTTGTAAAAGCTTGTTTTGCACTGTTTGCACATTCATATTGTATAATGTAAATATATACTGGATTAGAATATGGGCAAATCATTCATCTGCCAGCTGTGATGCTGCATGGGTTTGGGAAATAAAGTACAACATTTCCCTATTAAACTCATAACTGAATAACATAATATAAAAAAATGTAAATACATAACTTTTTTCTATCCATTTTCAAAGATGTCTGTTTGTGCCTGGTGTCCCATTACAGTGTGTTGTGTAACATGTGTTTCATCATGGTTATATAAAAAAAAATACATCGGTGTGATCGTGAATGTGTATGTGCGATCTGGTCTGGTAACTCATAACGCCTGTGTCTGGCCCGTGACCACCAACCTGTGAATCTTTTTATCTTTACGTGGCCTCCAAGCGCAACTGACCTGGCACATCCTGGCTCAAGCCAGTTGAGATACATGTGCTGTCGTGTGACAGCTGCTTCGTAGAGAATAGTGGATGTGATTGTTGTTTGTTATGTGTAACTGGGAAACATTGAAAAGTGCCCATTGCTAGTAGTGCATAAATATAAAGCTTGCCACATGCATCATTTAATGTTGCCTTACAGCAAAAACATATTGTCGCGTGAAGTATCGAGCACTGTCCTTGTATATTATGTGAGAAGAGCGAATGGGCCATAGCCAACAACTATAGCCTATGGGATTCTTATTTTACAATAACTAATATCCTTTACCCAGGATAGCCTTGCTGAGTCTCGAGACTCTTCCTCCAGGAGGGTCCTGCAACATTGGGATATTTGCCCAATTCCATCATGAGTGTTTGCTATCCGGAAGATAACCAGAGTACCCGGAGAAAACCCATGCGTACGAGAGGGCGGCTCTCAAAGCTTTACATAGAGCTTCTTGAATTCATCGTTGTAGCTACATCTCCTGGCCCCCTCGCAACCCAAGCCTGCGGTACGTCGCATTCCCATGCAGTCTCCTACCCCGAGTGCTTAATGAGGCTTAATCCTGCTTAGCTTCCAAGATTTGACGAGATTGGGCTAATTTGTGGTCATTTGGATCATGAGCCGGTGCTCGTTGCGAATGTGTCGAGTGTTTTTGAGTTGTGGCTGTGGGAAGCTCAATCTGGGATGAAGACGAAGCGACATTGTTGTTTTTCTCATTCTCCAGGTGACGCTCGAGAAGGTGTTGGGCATTACGGTGAGCTCCAGCAGTGGTCTGGCCTGCGAGCCCAAGTCGGGTCTCCTTGCCTACCCAGCAGGGTGAGTGGGCCGGTTTCACTGGCTTGTATGCACACTGCCGCTCGACCGCTCGCTCACTCACACTTGCGCGCACACACAGATCAAAGACAAATATCCCCCCCGTGTGACCTTTAACAGGCTGCTGGGGCAAGTGTTGGTAGTGAGAACCTATAGAAGGCGTTGGTGTGGGGCAGCACCATGCCTGGCTGGCCTTTGCGTCCTCAGTGCTGATGTTTTCACACACTGCACAAGGTGTTCATCTTAGGCCGAGCTGACCTAGGGTAGGCCGAGCACCACTGCCACCGCCCCCCAATGCAACGACAAAGACCCCTCTTTTACAGCCTTTTAATGAACTGTTGGGGCAAGTGTTGTTCGCAAGCACCTAATGAAGGCTGGCATGGTACACGTGGGGATAGGTGGGGGTGGCCAGCACCATGCCTTTGTCTCGTCAGTGTTGATATTTACACATCGCACCAGGTACTAATTTAAGACTGAGTCGACCGAGAGGGAGCTCATGACAAGTCGAAATATTCATCACTGTTTTTGGTCATGAGTCGGAATCGGAATTCGGGTTGCCAGGTCAATAGCGCAAGTGGACTAATCACAAGTACATATACATATGTTGTGTAGTGCAGAATGACTCGAAGACAGAACTTCTAGTAAGGATTTGCGCCGGTTTATTTAAACACAAGGTAACAACTTACACCAGAGGTAGGTGTCCCTACACTCGGTCCTTCACGTGGACCTCGGGCTCTAATCTGTCCTTAGCCTCGGCTATCCTCTTGGGCTCTTCTCACTCGAGTCAGGGCGGGGGTTCAGCCAACACCGCCCGACCGAGGAGAGCAGCACCCCACGTAACCTTAGCCGGCTCTTACAGACTTCTCTGAGCCCTACCCCCTTAAGTATCCCCTTGGGCGGCTCCTCCCCCTTTCTCGGACCCGCCCTCGTTCTTCCCGATATCCACCTCCGGTGCTCATGACATGACGTCATCGCACCTCACAGCGCTCATGACGTCACGTCTTCACACTACTCCTCTACACATACATACACACCCCAGTACCTACTCGTGTGAGAGCAAATGTCATAATAAAAACAAAACTACATTCATTTCTATTTTTTGCTCTAGTTTTTTTTTCGTGACCTGGTACAATTTTGACGAGGTGCAATTTATTATCCATGGCATTGGCACAGTGTAACACTTGTGCATCGCAGAAAGTAAGACCTGGCTTCGATTCCTGACTCGTGTGCCTCCTGTGTGTGGAGTTGATATGTTTTCCTGTTCTGCAAGGATTTTCTCTGGGTTCTCTGGTATATTTCCATAACGAAAAACATTCATTGGTGTTGGCCAAACATCCCAATACCACAACTCTCAGTTGGGCTTTCTTGATAAATAATTATTCTTATTTTCATGACTTCTGTTCAATGTCGTAGCAGTTTCAATGTTGGTTCTTGTGTTACTAAAGCCTGCCATGCAATGGAAATAAATTATTTGGTAATTATTAATAATTAGTTTTTTCTCAAAGTGTGCTATCAGTATATTCACACCGTTGTGTGAATTTCTCTTTGTGTTTAAAAATGGCCCACATAAGTAGCAAGCACATAACTACTTCTAAATTATCTCAAATTACTCTTTATTCACTTACAAGGGTATGCACTACCCACACGGCTTGGCGCGGAGAAATGTTCATCGTATGGCAGTCATACACATTTTTGTCGTGGCTGGAATTTTTATAAATTAAAACCATGAATGCAAATAGATGCAGCAGTGGCAAGGCTGAGGCTGAACTCGCTCTGGTTCAAAACCAGTTTCAACCACTGACTGCCGAAATCCTTAATTGAACCCAGGATCTCAGCAGTGCTGGTCTAGAGCAGTGAGGGCAAATTAAATTTTTAGAGTAAATGTGCAAACAACTTTTCACCTGCTCTCACAGTCAATCAGTCAACACTTTATTTAAGTAATAGGGCTTTTCTAAAATCAAGGTCCCTGCTATCATTGTTCAATAACTAAAAAAATGCTATTAGAATAATTAAGCAGGTTAATCTAAATCTATAACTTTGGCATCACTATGTTAATCTTCGTTTGTAAATGCCGTGCTAAACAGGTGGATTAAAAAAAAAAATCTTGGAACTGGCATACATTCCCTTATTGGACAATGTAGAGAGTTCCACATGGAAGCAAAAGAACAGGCCCCAGATGTTTGTAATTGCACCCTGGGAATTTCTAGCATCTGCCTCATTGGTGGTTTTAAGCAGTACGAAAAAAGTTTTCCTTTTAGGTGACATTGTCCCCTCATGATTATCTCACCCCAGTTTAGAATCTCCTGTCACAGCCACTATCTCTCATTTTTATGTGCAGCAATAACAACATCTGTACCATCACAGGCAGTAGTATGACACCAGTGCCTTTGACGGCATAGGTGTCGGTTAGGATTCGTTCGTAAGTTGTTCGAACCCAGGTCGCTCAAAGTTAAGTATTTGTTTTTCATGACTCGTAGTGTCATTGACTTGTGCCACATGACTGGACGTAACAACCCTCAGACAGTTGAGGAGCTGACCCACTTATGCACCACGAGGAGTAGCAGCTGCCGCTCTCCACTCTCACGTAAGGGTTGTGAGCTCCACGCCGGTCCGTCCGCTGCCGTTGCGTGTGACGAGCACCGCTATTGCCGACAGCTGCGCAGATGGAGGCTCGTGCCTTTTGATCTTAACTTAATTGGAAACGTTTGTGTTTTTGGCGTCTGTCGAGTGTGTGCGCGCTTCCCAAGAATGTGGAAAGCGCGAGTGAGCGTTGACGGTGGTGGGCTACGGCACGTGTTTTGTGTGCTGCTGCTTTGCCAACCGACCTATGCATTTGTCACTTGGGTGCGGTAGTTTTAGAGGAACGAAACGTGTGAAAGTTGGAGCTTTGCTGCAGCTTGCTGCAGTGACGCTCAGAAGGCCGGCTATTCTTCGTGGCTTGGGTGTTAACAGATGTTTAACCTAGCACTCTGATGCTATGCATTACAATAAAAAAAACCCATAAGGCCATGATGCAATGGGCAATTTTTTAAGCAATTGTCAGCAATTGTGAATTTATTATGAGCAACTATGTCAACTTGGTATAGCAGTGGTCTAGATGTATGGATTTCTAGCCAATGACTGAAGTTTACAACTGCCTGGGTTTTTGCAGTTGTGCTGTGTGCAGCTCTCCGATGTGTTTTTCGGGTAGGACCGCGTGTTGTTCGACACGGTGTCCGACATTTCGCTCCACGTGCTTGGAGCTTCTTTGGGGACACGCGTGGCACAACCCGAAAATACATCTGGAGAGCTATGCAGCTAAACCACGAAAACCTAGGCAGTACACTTATAACCTGTTTAACAAGCAGATGGAACGGCATTTGTTTCTCTGCCGCCCTAAACGGCAAATGTGAGATGGAGCGCGAGGGATGCATGCATGCATGCATGTTTAAAGCCTTCACGGAGAGGAAAATGTCGATGAGTTGGCTTCATTGTCAACAGACGGCTGATGCAGCTGTGCTTGCTGTGTTTAACCGGCGCTCTGGTAAATTTGTGCAATCCGGACTTAAACGGACTTTGGGGATTAGTGTGTGGACACGTGTCCCAAGGAGAAGTTGTTTTTTACATATCGACTAACCGGTAAGATGTGGCCTGAATTCAGTGAGCTGCTTGGGATTATAGTTGGCGAGTGTAGTTTGTTGGTTTTCGTTAGGAACCGTTTGCATCGAGCCAATAGTTTTAGATATCAGCACCTGTAGGGTTTTATCCAAGCGTGTTCATCAAAGCGTGTTCAAGACCATGTTGCCACGTTCGTAAAAGACAAAGATTTTGCTGTCCTGTTACATTTTTAAGTGGCACAAAGTGGTACTCTTCACTCAAGCACATATCACATCACGCTTGCATTTATTATTATTGCGTGTTAAAAATATATAGCTTTTTTGAAGAGCAGTTTCAACATTTTATTTTGAGACTGTGTTCCCAAAATAATTGACATGAATTTTCACCGCCGTAGCAGCTGATAGGACGAGATGCTATGCCCAGCCTCGGAGGATCTGCTAATAATTCCCCCCGGGAAATTTTGGCACATTTACACCGGAACTAATTCCGTGTCGTGGAGAGAGCTGCGGGGGCATACCACGCGTCCCGGCAACGCATTAATTGCTGAAAGTTCTTGTCGCAACTCTTTTGCTCTGTTTGTGGTCAAGTTTGCGCCTAGCGAAAAAAAAACTTAAGTCGCTTTTATGAGTGAAGGAGCGTCAGTGTTAGTTCTGTGCATTTAATGGTTTATCTGCCTTGGAGGTTTGAATTATCACGATCCAGCCCCACGATTCGATTGAAGGATAAATCATTTATTTTGTCTCGCCTTTACCTTGATCTCGTTTGCGTTTGTTTGTCTCTTTTTGTCTTGCTTGTACACCGTTTTTTTTGCAACCCATTTGCTTAAGTGTCATTAGCGTGTCACTTTGCATCGGCGAAGTGCTGGCCCGTTGAGAAGAGACATCGACTCTTTGTCGCAATGTCAATCTGGGTAACATCAAGTCCTTTGTATAATACAATGGTATATTTTAAAATATATAAAACAAATGTATTCTATGTATATCAATAATATAATACACATTCAAATATCTGTATGTAAAGGAGTTTAATTGTTATATTCTAATCGTATTAATTGTAAAAAAAAATCGATTCAAATGCATATGATTCTATGCATTTATCACGAGCGCAATAATTGAATCTGTGAATCCAAGCATCGTTACAATGAAAGTGCACAGGACACCCCACGGGGACGCGTCTGTTTTCAATTTAAATGAAAACGTTGGCAAGGAAGTCTCAGTGTGAGGAATACCCGGCGGTTTGTAACCCCGCGGTATGGAAAAAATGTGGATAACAGCGAGAAAAGCTGCGTCAGTTTCCGTTGCAGAGTTCCAACCGTTGTCTTACAGTGTGCGCTAAATTGTAGGTGAGCTGTTACAGTCTCACAGCATGAGAATTCGCGATTGCAACTGAAGTCTGTGATGGCTCAAAGCTCCAGTTTGGCGGAGGCTGCAAACGTCGCCTTGGGACTTCCAGTCCCGGGTGATAACACGTGGAGGAGGATTAATTGATAATTATAATGCGAAGGCAACATGTGCTGGGCTCCCACCGGACCAGTTCTCTTGGGAAGCTGCATGGGCTGCTAGCGCCCATCTGCTGGAGAAAGCGCTGATGGTGATGAAGCCACTTCCAGTACATTCCAGTTTCTCGTTATACTTCTGTGTGAGTCTATGGGTCTCTGTGTGAGTCTGAGGTCTATGAGTATGTGAAAGTGTTGATGATGAAGCTGCTACCAGCAGATATCAGTTAAGCCATCTTCACAGGAGGATGCTAGAATTTCGTGGAAGGATAGGGTAAGCAATTTTGAAGTTGGTTCTATAGAACGTGGCAACAACTTTTGTACATTGCATCGTGAAAAAGAGGTTGTGATGGGCGGGACGGGCATGAAGGATGGAGGAGGGCGTTGTTAACGACACAGGCATTGGAGTGGCACCCAGAGGTCAGTGACCCAAGGTGAAGATCAAGAGCCAGATGGTGGGATGCTGTAAGAGTAAACCTTGAAGGTGCTGCTGTGTTGACTTTGCAACAACTATGGGATCCAGCGGAAGGAAGGAAGGAAGCAATAATAAAGTGTGGCGGCATCGATAGAATTATCCAGTTTAACTCTCTTGCTCATAACTTGATAAATACTCCCTTGCTTGGAAGCATATCCATGACTCGTGTAAAACTGCTGCGTTTTAGCTACATTACCGCTCATGGTGCTGCTAGCTGTGATTTACAACCATCAGGTGCATGCAATGCATGGTATTGATTTGCATATGAATTGATACGATTGCTAATCATGAAAAGGCGAACCCAAGGTGGATTGTGAGGACTGGAGTCGAGAACGGAAGATTCAGCAGAAGGAAGGCAGGCAGCGATGGCGATGTATGTTGGCATCAGCAACAGTGGTCATGACGAGTTTGAGATATCACCCGAGCCTGCCAAAATTAAAGCAGAGTTGCTTATTCAAGCCTGGAACTGCAAATTTACCACGTGAGCCACAGGTTGAGCAGGTTTCAACATTATTGGGTTGATTGCGGGTATTCCATTGGTGTAATTGGCTTGTTTTTTTTCTCCCGAACCGCAGCTGTCTGTACACCCACGCTCACCCCCGCCCCTCTCCTCGATAACTTGTGCGCGAGCACAAACATGTGCTGCTCTCCGCACTCCCGCAGATCGCGCTAACGAAGGAGAATCCTCGCATCGGAGGCACCTGCGCGCCCAGGCAGACGAAACCACCCGGCTCACACGGCCTCGGCGGCATTCGGCCACCCGATGTGAACCGTAAAGATATGCAAATTGGCGACGGAAAAATGGAACGAGTGAGCACGCGAGAAAAGAAAAGGGGGGCTTTGTGTAGCAGGCTCTTCTTGGCAATTTAGAGGGTTGTGTGGGACGACAGGAAGTGGCCTCTTGCCCGTGCGACTGATTGATGATGACAGCTGTGCACGAGGCTGCCAAAGCCTGAATCAGGGCCGTTAGTGTCTCTTAGTGTCCGGCCTGCGTGCGTGCGCGCGCTCTTGTCACAATAAGCGTGCCTGGGTGCGTCCCTACGAGCCAATCGTGACCGCCAATTTGTGACTGTCGTGTTGCAAACTAGAAGAGTGATTTTGTCATTGCTGTTGAAATGGCCTCCACAACAGAAATAGGTCAGAGGCAAAGATTGCTATTATCTGGTCAGTTGGATTATTTATGAATAACGTTTGAGCCGTCAAGTGTGCGACCAAATCGCACCAGAACAAGCCTGATTCTCGTCTGATTTCGGAAGCTAAGCAGGTTTGAGCCTGGGTAGTGTGCTTGCGCGGGCAACGGCCACGTATAAAAACAAATGATGGGCCGCTTTGGGGCTATGCAGCGGGCAGCAGAGAGCGGTGCAGCAACATTTATTGTTGTGCTGTCTTCACCAACCCATTGCACCGATTGGTGTGCTTGGGTATGGTCAAATAACCCCCATGGACCATACAGTATCCAGCAGCGGATTAAAAAAAAGGGTTGTGCTTGTACATGAAAATAGTGTTTCAATCATCTTTGTGAGAATGCATGCTTTAGTAAAGACATTAACAAATATGCAACTTATTTTTGACAGTTTGTTTATGTGTGTTTTGAATAGAATGGGGAGAAATTTTACTTCATCTTTAATAAGAAGTGCCAGACGTGAAATCGGTTAGAGCGCCGCTCTATAATTAATGAAGCCGTACAAATAGTGCGACGTAAGCTGTTTGTGCTTCGTGGATTGGCTCCTGCGCTTGTCTGCTCAGCCAACGCTGCTGCAGACACCGCGAAGGCGTAATACAAGATGCTCAGAGTGGGTAGGGGAAGTGAGGTCAAAACGCGGAACGTTACGCTGCGTTTAAATTAACTACGGCGCCTCGCATTGAAACAGCTCAGCACTTTGCTTAGAATAAAAACCGATAGGTTCGGGTGGTCTTGTGCTTAGCCATCCCCCTTGGCTTTGTCGAGAGGTGGGAAACCTGTTTGTGACTGAAGACCCTCAAATACCTTTGGCGGGTAACGACAACTACACATTAACACACACTTCAATCACTTCTGTCATTCCATGAGCCCATTGCAGTGACAGAAGTGATTGAGTGCAACACATTTTTTCTTCACGGTTTTGTAAAGTCAAAAACATTTCCCTCTATTCATATTCTTTGGTTCTTTTGGTAAATTCACGTAGATAGAAAAATAATGATAAAAAGAAAGTGAATAAAAAAATAAAAAAATGTACATTTCCCTCTAGTATCTGATTAGTGCGGTCAAGATGCTTGCCGTGATGACTACGTATATATTGCGTGCCATTTTGGAGTAGTAAGCATTTTGTGGCTGTGGGCCCTATGAAATGAAGTTGTGGATTGCATGTCGCCCATGATGTAGTATGTTTGCCACCCCTGGCCTGTTTACTGGCCATGCATGATCTCCAATCGCTGCCAAAAAATGTTTCTGAAAATAATTTTCAAAGATACCGAATCTGCTGCACTTTTTTTGCTTGGTCGAGTTGGTCACATGGGGCCATACAGACAGAGGGTGGCTTTTGCGGTCTGGCATCCTTTGCACCTTCTACCACTGCATGGTCACTTTAATGTGGGCATCCCTGATGCTCTGAAAATTTGCTCCCTCCGCATGAACTGAAGCCGAGCGAGGCTTTAGCCTGGTGCCTTTACTTGCCTCCCCAAAGCCCATGCGGCGTCTTTCCCCTTGGGGTAAACCCGCTGGCGCCATAGCAAGAGAGAACCATATCCTTTGGCACTTGGCGGGCTCTGTTGGGTGCAAGATTTTGCAAGACGCGCACGCTAATCCGCGCGACACCATGGTTCACCCTCCTCTGATGGCGATAAGTGGCGGGCTTCGAGATGCATGCCGATGGGGCGACCGTGGCCTGCGCATGACAGCGGGTGAGGTGGCGGCGGCGCCACCTCTGGGCTCTGTCTGTGTTTCTTCGCTTGCAGGCGTGCTGGGGATGCGCCGGCATCACTTGTGTATGACCGTGGTGCCTGGTGCTGTTGGTGCAGGTGTTGTGTTTCCTGACAAAAAAAAGTTGCACAATACGTCCTTGTGCCCTTTCTGTTTCTATGCGCGTGCAATTTAAACGCGTGTTTGCGTATGCCTTGTGGGAAGGACCTGGTTGAGTGTGCTATCTTGCGTAGCGGATTCATATCAAGTGCACTCGAACATGCCCACATCACTCAGATGCTCATGCAGTGCTTGGCTCGGCAGTGAATACACCGCTGCGCACTCATGCTTTGTCGTCTTTGGTGCTCATCAGCATCTCGGTCAGATTTGCTTTTGACTACATTGGTCCCAAGAGCCCATCAGCTGGTGTCGCCTGGTTATTATGTGGAGCATGGTGTGGTGGTTAGCGCACTGCCCTACGAGCCTGGCAACCTGAGTTTGATTCCCGTCCACATGTGATATCAAAATTATTCCTGGGCCCTTCCCTAGGTTGACTGTCTTAATTGAGCACCTGCTGCAGTGTGCAAACATCAGCGATGGGGAGACCAATGCGGCGAGGCGTGGTGCTGGCCACAGCACTCCCTGGTGCGCCATGGCTCCCCTAACATGTGCACACGTGTCCCAACCGCATATGTAGACTACACAGGGGATCCTTGTCTTTTGTTGTTTATTGTGTGATACACATTAGCACTCGTAAGTCAATCATTTACGCATCACAATCGGCGCAGCGGGTCGGAGGTGCTGATGTCGCGCACTAACATATTAAAGCACCGTGCTGTTCACGCGTACAGTGCGGGTGTTGGCCCACCCATGTGTCTCGCAAAAGAATGCCGTTTCTCCTCATGCTCTCTCTCCCTCTCGCTGCCCGTGCACGCAGGTGTGTGGTGGTGTTGCTCAACCCCAAGAAGAACAAGCAGTCGCACATCCTCAATGCATCCAGGTGAGGATGCACCTGCCTTGTTTGCCCCCCCCTTACCGCACCAGCATTCCGACCTCGGGGACCACAGTCTGATGCCCTCGTTCCCTGCACAGCCCAAATGACAGCACACATTTCAATTCTCTCTGAGCTGACGTGATTAAACGATTGTTTCTACTCCGTGACGATGCCGTTGCCAATGACCAAATCACCCCTAATGTGCACATTCGTGTCAGATCTTGGGAGATGAGGAAGACCTGCTTAATGCTTGGATGGGTGACTGAGCAGTGCTCATACCAGGTGTTATAGGCTGCTGGATATTTTGGTGTGCAGCAGACATCGGTGCAGCAAAATCCGTTGTTGTGCTGTACTTGTATGTGCGAGTGAGGCTGGGTTTGTGCGTGGAAGATTAGGCAAAATATACCCCATGAGAGAGGGAGCTCTTGAGCTTTTACGTTAAGGTCTCTACCACCAGCACTGCGAGCGAGCATTTGCAGGGCTGCATCTTTCACCTTTCCCAATCAACTAAAATGCACTGAGCCCGTGGGTCGAGGGCGGACGTGGTTGGCGCGAGCTTCCTGGTTGGGCCCCCAGGCGATGGCATTGACGTGAATGAGCCTCACGACTCTCTTGTCAAGCCACCGCATTTCCATATGATTGACGGCGCCTGGGCTGGAAACGCCCTTGCCGCAGGCTTGTTGTTGTTTTAAGGTTGCACACAGGATGGCATGTGGTACAGTGCAGCATGCACAACCGTGCTGAAACACGCTGCTGGACGTCAGAATGAGCTGCTGCGGTGAGGTGCGCCGCGGTATTTTGGTTTGGTCTGGCACCGAGGGGAAACGGCCGCTGCGTTCGTCCAATTTCTCGATGTTCGCACGGAGATCGTTGCCGAGTGATATTAGAACCGGTCTTGCCCTCTACACCCCCCAGTGCCCATACACTAAGTAATGGAAATTGGGAATTTAAATAAAGTCTGTGAAATATTTAAAATGGTTCCTAGAAACAAATTGGATTCGGAACTTTAATCCTTTGAAATGTGCCATACTTTGTTTGAGTAGTGTTACCAACTCACCTTTAAATGTTTTAAATGTTATCATTCAATTACAGTGGCTGAGCACAGGCCAATGGCCCAAAATTCTAAGCAAACACTAACAAAAACAGCACGATCCATGGTGTAATTGGTAAGCGTTAATCGTTTTTTTTTTTATTGAGCATGGGTCATTATGTGATCCTTTGGAAAAGAGTTGGAGGGAATTCCAAAGTGCAGCAGTGCAAGGGGAGAAGTAGGGCAAGTGCTGTGACCTGTGGGTGTGGTGGTTGAACACTGTACCGATGACCTGAAACGAGTCAGCCTGGTAGACCGAGTGCTGATGAGCGGCGAGGATGTGTTTGGGTTTGACACCGATGAGAATGACTGCTGCGTTTGTCACATTGATCATAAAGTTACGGCTAACATCTTGCCGCGGTGACGAGATGTTAACTACCTCACCTGGTATGCAGGAAGTCGCAGTTTCAATCCCAACCCTGACACCTGTATAGTTGAAGTTGGCATGTTCTTCCCGTGGGCGTGTGAATTTGTCTCCGGGTCCTCCAGTTTTTCTCTCCACATTTAGGAACATGCGTTTGGAGTATTTGGCTGCTAGAAATTTCCACCTGATAAGCCACTTTGAGCTGTCATTTGTGGCCAAGTCGCTTCTGAACAAGAGCTACATAGCTCAGTGGGCCATACCCGGTAAAATTTAAATAGTTTAGTGAATAAGTAAATGCAAGCCGTCATCATGACTGCTGGATGAAGGCCTCGCCATGCCACTGCAAGCCCTGGCTGTCCAATGCTACTTTCATCCATCTCTCTCCCGCACTTGAATTGATGTCATTGCTTCATCTCCACGGTGGTCATCGTTCTGGGCGCGTTCTCTCCTTTGGTTGCCATTATACCACCAGTCTTGTCCATGGGTTTTCATTCCATACGACCATGCGTGTCCAAGCCAATCGTCCCACACTCTGTGAATGATAAGAAAACTCTTTGGACAGAAATGTGCATGCAGGCTGGAAAGAGTAAAAAGGTAATAATAATGCAACCTGCTGTTAATCATTCATAGACGTGTGTGTGTATAACTTAACGCTTAAGCACTGGGTTTAAATAGTACATGAAGCCCAAGGGCATAGCTTTTTTGCCATGGGAATGACTGGGGTTTTTGATACACTATTCTTCAGTTATCTGACCAGCTTGTATACAGGAGGTCGTGGGTTCGCCTGTATATTTGGAGTTTGCATGTTCTCCCCGTGGTCGCTTGGATTTTTCTCCTGGGCCTTCTGGTTTTTCCCTCCATATTTAGAAACATGCGTTTAGAGTATTTGGCTGCCTTAATTTTCCACTTGGTAAAACCACTTCGTTGAGTTATCATTTGTGGCCAGGTTGCTCTTGAAAAAGAGCTATTGAGCTCAGTGACCCTTTGCTGGTAAAACATTTTTTTTTTAGATTAAAATACCCCCACGACCCACAGTGTTTGAAGAACCTCATCCAGCAGTGGATTGACAAAAGCCATAGTTTTTTGTAGTTGAAAATTGCACGAATTTACATCCTTATTGGGAGTACAAGCTGGGCTTTTTGGCCAATCTTTTAAATTGAAAGTCTACATTCAAACGCTTCCTTAATGTAATTTGGTGCGGCCTGTGGTGAATATAGGTGTATAGGGATGTATCGAATTATTGATTTAAATTCCAGTCGTTTTTGAATCGGTTGTGAAACAAACTGGTCAAGTGCTGGTAGCACACGCTGACACATCGCAGAGCGACATCCATCCTCCGCACTAAACTCAAGTCGTCAGGTTTATGGCGCCGTGCGCTCACCGCTGCCCCACCTCTCTCTAGTGCAGATGCCTCCATCTATTCGTGTTGGTGTTGATCGCTAGTCTGCTTGTGCGTGTTGAGAGCCGATGTTGCGTTTTTAAATCGGCTCGGATATTCCGTCGCCGGATTGGCGCTGATGCCTCCGCCTCTGGTGATCCCTTGGCTTTGCTGGGCAGGCTGGTCGGCACTTTGCAGTTGAGAGCGAGACGTAATTGACAGAAAATCACTCGCAGGGTTCAGTTTAATGGACACTGTTGCCACGAAGCAAGAAAATGTATCCAGCATGTGATTAGGAAATTGCTATGGAAATATGCAAATGAAAATGGTGTCACGTATAGTAAAATGCTCACGACTGCAGATGATCGGGTTTCCACCCGTGCATAATTAGTATGCGCAGTGCACAGATGGGTGTTCTCAGCAATATTTGGACTCCTTAAATAGCTTGTGCGATATTGCACCATTCCCAAACACCTAATTAGCCAAAATATACGACTTCAATGTACACAGCACTGTCTCGTATGATCTTTGTCCAATATTTATTTTTGTGATCGTCGCCTGAAAGGTACGTCGTTGTAGCCTGTGATTGTGGCAATGCCTCCACACAGAAAATTACTGCTTTCCTTCGCTAACCTTATTCGACTCTTTTTAGGGTGGTCCTGCATTTGAATGGTTTTCCCAACTTCCATTGTTGAGTTTGAAATCTTGGGAGGAAATCGGGACATCCCGGAGAAAACCCACCTTGCGTACGAACAAATGACACTCTCATAATTAATAATGAACCTACTACGTGTTAAACAAATGACACTTTAGCATCCACACGTATGGATAAAAAAACACTTACACTACAACAATTTCCCACCCACAAAAGTGGGTGGAAGTTAAAAATCTCTTCATGGTTCACCAACCGTTGCTTCCAAAGTGCCGCATCACAGGTGTGCACAGCCACCATGTCCAGCTGGTAGCTTTGCCTGTGCTCAACCATTAGCCCAGAAGGATCTCGTATTACGTTTCGCACGTGAAGAGATTCCAAAGAACACAGGATGAGATGTTACTATCCTTTGTGCAAGCACTTCCAAGAGTTCATGAACAGTGAGCCTGGTGAAATTTGGGGAGCGCATCGTCAGTAGTGACCCTTTGGTTCCTAGGGTGTTTCGGCCTTTCATACTATACACCCTCCCCAAAGGCGGCCAGCGACAGGGTGATCAATCCTACGCTTGCGTCCCATTCCCAATTAGTCATAGGAGTTGCCTTGTTGTTGGTAGCCAACATCCCATGGGACTATGCATGGCAGGGGCGTCCTCCTCCCTGAGTCAAGCATTGTTGACTGCATACCTCCTGGCCCTCTCACTTTGGGGCCCAGCTGGGGTCTTTCCTCTTCATCCAGAGCCACTGACTGCTGCCTTCTGCCGCCTCCGATACAGCTTTGATTGCCGAACGCTGGCTCTGGCCCTTAATTCCCAGGTCTCTAAGCAGTCTGGTTGTAGATGTTGCCACAAAACCTCTGCAGCCCACCTCCACTGGTCGGACTTCTGTGTTCCAGCCATGATGCCGTGCTTCGGCAGCTAGATCGGCATAGCGCAGATGTTTTCGCTCATAAGCCTCATCTACTGAGTCCTCCCAGGGTACTGTGAGCTCAATGATGAAGACCTTCTTGAGCGAACGGGACCAGAGCACCACGTCAGGTCTTAGGGTGGTGGTTGCGATCTCCGGAGGAAACACAAGAGTCGGCACCAGAGGCAAGCGTGCACCTATATTTTCGTCTTTTTTCTTCAAATTTGTATCCCCGACTGTGTTATCGGCATTATCTCGTCAGACGGAGAATCCATTCGAATCTCTGGCAACCCTGCGTGTTAGAACACAGCTACCCCTGAAATCCCTTTTTTATTTATTTACCTCTGGTCCACACAGTGAAGGGGGCAGCACTTTCCCACCTGCTCTGCTTACAAGAGGGAGGTCCGTCATGCGACAAATCAATACAGAACTGTTCATAGCTGGAATGTAACCAGATTCGGTGCCAAGCTAAGACCATCAACTCCTCACTACCCTTGAACTCCGTTTCAATCACAGCTGGCCGAAACTCGTTTATGAACCCCAGGGTCTTAGCACTCTGGCCTCTGAGCCACCTATGCTTGATGCACATCCCTGGGATGACCTGCTCTACCCCTGCTCGCTTGCGCAGTCCCAACGTCCAGGAGCCCAGCAAGGGATGCGTACATCTCTACCTGCATCACTGTAGAGTGCAGACGGCTGTCATTAACTGTTAGCCCCGTATGTGACTGGCAGTAGGATTAGGCCCATTACTTTTTTTTACTCAAAACTGATTTACTGTCCTCGAGGGAGTTGGGGTGAAGACGGGGGGTGGGGGGGGGTGATGGTTGTGAGCTGGAGGTGTATTTTGTAGGCCGTTTTAATTTTAACTCGACCATGTGTCGAAGTCCGTGTGTTCTCGTTAGGTTGATTTTTTTTTCTTTTTAATTGCGTCGTCTCGCTGTCCCCTCCGTTTAACGTGGGGAGCGGGCCTGGCGGGCGGGCCGGTGTGCGGCCGGATGCGCAGTCGTTGCAAGCGAACATTAACGCTGCCACACTGTACCATCGTAACGTGCCCTCGTTTTTTTTGATGCGTGCAGTCAGTGTGCGCGTAGCCCCACGGGCATGTTACGAGCTAAGCACGCGCAGGCTTTTGTGCGTGCAGAAGTGTCTCTTATCGGCGGCAGCGGCGGCCACAGAAAATGCCCATCTTCATTACATTACGCCCGGTTAGCTAATCGAGCAGGGGGGGACGCGGCGCGCAGGGTTGGCTGTAGGGGTAATGAATAAAACGGTGGTCCAGCCGCCAACCCAGTGACCCAGTTTTGATTCTTGTTGTGTGCAGACAATGAAGAGCTCCCCAGGGTTAGAATGAAAACGAGATTGGACTGCTTTGCAGAGTCCAGAAAATGAGTAAAAATTGACAGCATTTGTGTATGACTACAAGGCTTGCACCAATTTTACTGCCATGCAGCGATTTGATGAATTGTCATGAATCGTGGCCCTGATCAGAGTCTAGAATTTACGTATATTTCATTGTCAGGTTTTCATCATCTCGTTTGTATTGTTTATCTTCTCTTGCCTCATTATAGTTTGTTTACTTTTGCTCATATAATTGCATATTAATGGCTTGCTCTACCGGACATTACCATTGATCATAATGGTGATGATTTCTCCGGGTACCACCTCATTTTCAAATCACCAGAAGCGGCAGGAACGTGGTAAACGGCGCTGAAAATTTATTGAGGGATTGCGGTTTCGCCACCAAGGAGGATTTATGATCTTGTCCTGCGGGAATGAGCGCGTTGTCTCCAGGAGCGACTCAGCTGTCCTCGCAGAGAGGTCCAAGCCTGGGTGGTTCGGTGTGCATAAACATTCTCGTTCATAAAAAATGACGGGCTGTAAAAACCCCTTGTGACATGGTAGAGCCATGAGTAATTTGAGGTGTAACCCCTTGGCATGAACTGGCGTTGAAATGACACTCGTTTTGAATGTTACGTCGACAATAATAATAAGTGTCTTATTTTAGCCCCGGTGTGTTTCGTGATGTCCAACGTTTTGCATAGTTTCTGAAGAAGCTGCCAGTACGTGGAGCAAAATGTCAGACATCGTGGTAAACATTACGTGGTACAACCCGAAAACATACATCTCCACAGTAGTAACAATATAATATACAATCTTGATTTCAAGCTTTCGTGACTGCAGGAATCCATGACGATTGCTGTGGTGGTCCCACCTGATGACGATTGCTTTTGTTGCGAACGAAACGTCGTGATCTATTATTTTTCTACCTACGTGACTTTACCGAAAGAACCAAAGAATATAATATACAGCCCGATGTTTATGATCGGATAACGCAAATAACTGACATGGCTTGGCAAGACCTTCATCCAGCATTTAAATGACAAAGATCAAATTGAAGAATCATCATAATCGGGCCTTATCAATCCACTAAAAGCCTCCCCATGCCATTATCATTTATTATCGTCCTACGATGCAACAATCAATTTATCAACTGCATGCGAGCTGATTTACTTGCTCCATTTGTGTGGTCGCCTGTCTGAGCCGACTTAATTCATAATAATGTTTTATGCATGTGCTACGAAGAAGGGCCATTGCCTGAAACATCGCCGATGATATATTTTTCCTTTTAAGGTAACAGTGTTTATTAACGAATGTGATTTGATTTTTTAAAATGTACATTCAGCGCCCTTTGCACCGGGCCGTCTCTGAGCACTCTACATCACATCTCATCTCAACACATTTGAAAGGGCACCCCCAGTGGCAGCTGTATCTAATGGCTACAAGGTGAACCCGGCACCTGGGCTGCAAATGGGCATTAGTGTGCCAGTACATGGCGACGATTGCAGTGTTATAGTCCCAATTGAGTTTTTTTCAGGGAAAGTTTGGGCCCTGATGTCGGTACAAAATGGCCTGTCTGCTCTTGCCAATGTATGTATGTATGTTGACTTTCTTTTGCACCGTACTTAGCCAACCGTGCTAATTGGAGGTGTGGCAGAAGGACAACAAACCGAACACAAAAGAGCAGTTTTAAAGAAATTAGTTTTCAATCTTGAATAACAGCATTGGCTGTTTAATGTCCACTGTAAAGCATCGTGGTGGCGCATGTATTATTACGGTTATTACACCAGCGGTAATAACCAGGTATGGCCATATTCCATATGATGTCTCTTAACATGTGTATGTCCTGTAATCCATGTTATTTTATTTCTGTCCATCTCATTGCGATTTCCTTGCACACACTTATCCATACTTTAATGTGTTAGTTCCGTTGTTCTTGTCAATGTCGGTGTTTCTGATCTGTGCTTCACAGCAGGTAATATACACTGCTTAAAAATATACTTCTCTCCGTGCATTGGTACATTTTTTCATTATTTTGTTCAGTTTTTCAAAAGCACTCTGGCCTGTAGAAATATATATTTATCTATTGGAACTTTGTTTAACACAGGGGGTGGCCTGTTTACTACCAAAAACATTTAGCGTTTTTTTTGTTGGCAGTTGCTTGATGTGTGTGTCTTCCTTTTCTGTTCTTTTTAGGAAAACAATCACAGCAGTCGCCTTTTCTCCTGATGGAAAATATCTGGTCACTGGAGAGGTGAGAGCTCACGTTTTGTGGATTCTCGTCTTGTCTGTTGAGTGTGCCATGAGCGAATGTCGCTGCTCCTTGCATCTCTTGCTGAAAACACCAGATTTTGGCACAAAATTCGCTCAAAGTAAACTGTTAACAATGAATCTCCACGGGTTTCCCACCGCTCTTTTATACATCCGACCGCTGGTGCTCACAGCTGCCGCAAGCCTTGGCATCTGCGCCGCACTTCGGCGAGATGACCTAAGCTAGCGGTGTAGGTATCTCGTGCGCAGGTGGTACAACTGCATGGGGGGGGGCTTGCGGACTGGAGAGGGGCCCAGGTGCCAGGGCTAAAGAAGAATGGAGGGAGAAGGTAGTGGACGCGTGCTCCAAATTTTTACCCCTTGCATCAAGAGGGCCCCGTTGCATAAACAGGGTGCACCACAGCTCGTCGATTGGCAAATCTAGCGCGGTGGGTTCAAGTGTGTGCACTCCCACCCGTTGCAAAGTGCGTGACCACTGTGGAAAGGTTCTGCCGAAATACCCTCTGGAGGGGAGCTCCGTCTTGCGGAGGAGAGGGCCTTCCACCAGCGGTCGGGGCCAATCCATGCTATGGCACTGGGCCCAGTCAAGTCGAGGCTGGGTGCCGTCGCGACTTTTAACGATTGCGTTCGTACGGTGGTGATCGTTGTTGTTTCGCAGAGCGGCCACATGCCAGCGGTGCGTGTGTGGGACGTGGCGGAGGGCAGCCAGGTGTACGAGTTCCAGGGCCACAAGTACGGCGTGGCGTGCGTCGTCTTCTCGCCCAACATGAAGTACATTGTGTCGGTTGGCCACCACCACGACATGATCGTCAACGTGTGGGACTGGAAGGTGAGTTGCCCTGTCTACCACCCCATCTCTTTGTCTGCCCTCTGCCCCCCCTATCTACTCTTCTCTCTCTTTTTTGTTACTCCTCTCTCTCTTGTAGGGTTGAGAATTTGAGCTCGCATGTGAGTGAGTGGTAGAGACTCGTCTGAGGTCATTTATCCCCTCGTTTACCTGGGAGATGAAGCAATCAGCACTGCTTTTTGCTAAATGACACAGCATTAGGTAAAGGTGCAGCCCTGCAACTGCTTGCTCATATTGCTGTTGCTGCAGCGAGGGCCTCCACTGGATTGCCGTCTCGAGATTATTTTGGCCTGCTCTTTCACGCTGGCCAGGCGTATTTTAAGAGGTGGGAATACCCACACTTTATCCTAGTTGATCAACTTGTTTTTTCTCTAATTTTATGAGAAAATCCACGGAGACCATTGCAGTGAAAAGGATTGATGGTCACGATATAGGAATCACCGTGAATGTGCCTGACCTCATCAGCAGCGGCTGTGGCAATGAGAGACATTTCAGCCTATTAATTTCTTCATCTTGTGGGTGCAGCAACACAGTTAGCATTGAAATTACCTTCGGGACCACAGTCTTGTGCATGGTTACGCTGGCGTCGTGGAAGTGCGCTCATGAAATCGTACGGACTGTTCCGATTTAGACCCCAGTTGAGCTCAGGCTGTGCCTTTTCACTTTCGCGCGGCTTTTGTTCGGGCGCGAAACCTGATGTGTTCCGTAACCGAATACCACCGCCGGTTTAACGAAAGCAAACAAGAGCGGAGGAAGGGAAGGGGAAATAAAATGTAAAAAAATAACAAAAATCTTGCTGCATCACAGGACATTTGTTGGTGGTTGGCAGATAAGTGTTATGAAAATAAGAATTCTTTAAACTAGAAGCTTTTGTGACTGCAGGAATTACTCTTTGGTTTTTTCGGTAAAGTCACGTAGAAAATCAAATCAAATAATAATAGAATACGACGTTTCGGTTGCACCACAAGCAACCATCATTCATTCTTACCTGATGATGGTTGCTTGTCTTGCAACCGAAACGTCGTATTCTATTATTATTTGATTTAATTTTCTATGTCGCTTTACCGAAAGAACCAAAGAGAAGAAGGATTCTTTAATTCTTTGAATATATTTAAAATACTCACAAAGCATGCGTCAAAATTGCACGATAGCCGTCTGCCTGATGCAGCATTACGTACATTTTAATTCACGCTGCCGGTCGAATTAACAGGACGGCACACACCAGATGATACAGTACAGAAGAGACAGCATGAACTGTTCAAGTGGCATGCTACTAATCCTGACCCCTGAGTCGTGACAATTTATCAAATCGTAGTGAGTTGGAGGGATGAATTGCATGCCTATAATCAACGTCTTAGCCACGTGCCCACCAAGGGTATCTGACCCTTGTGTGTGACTCCCGCCACCTCTCCCCCCCCGTCTCCCACGTGACCCCACTTCCCATCCACCCTCCCGCTTGTCTCATCACAGAGACGCGTGCTGGCGGCCACCAACAAGGTGTCCAGCAAAGTGTCAGCTGTGTCATTCTCCGCCGACAGTAGCACCTTCGTCACGGTGGGAAACCGACACGTCAAGTTTTGGTACATCGACGCGTCAAAGACCTCCAAGGTGTGTTCAATGGCCTCCCCAGCTGTCGACTGCCTGCCTCTACCCCCTGTCCAAGGCCAGGCTCCCGACCTTCCTTTTCTCTACTGCCTGTGACTTTATTTTTGTACGAAGTGAATATGCCCACTATTTCTAAACAGTGCCTTGAGATGTGGTCACATTTTTACGCTGTGTAAATCATAATTGTATTGTATTGCACAGACTTAGTGCACTTTTATAATGAGATCCATAGACTCAAGCAGAGGACCCATAGACTCGCAGAGAGATCAATAAAATAGTCAGTGCCGATTGACTCGCATTGAGACCCATGGACTTGCATGGACCGCTTTGCTCTGTAACATAAATACGCTCGCTGTTTCTGTACAGCACCTCAAAATGCATTCGCATTGGTATGCTCCAAAAATCTAAATTCTATTGTGTTTTATCGTGAAAGGATTTGGATTTTAATATAAAGAAATTAAACATACATGCTATTTGTTTGTGCAGGCGATTAGATTTTCTTTGTTTCTCTACTGCTGGAGTAAAGCCTCCCCAATAAGCCGTTGCCATTTCACAATCGTGTGACACGCCAGTCCATCTCCAGCGCCTGCGCAGAATACGTCTCGAGCCGAGCGCGCACGGACATCCAGCGCACGCTTAACGCGACGGTCGCTTTGCCAGGTCAACTGGACGGTGCCTCTGAACGGGCGCTCGGGGCTGCTCGGCGAGCAGCAGAACAACCTGTTCCTGGCGGTGGCGTGCGGCCGCGGACGCAAGGCCGATGCCACCTTCTGCATCACGCGCTCGGGTCTCCTGTGCCAATTCAACGAGCGCCGGCTGCTCGAGAAGTGGGTCGACCTCGGGGTACGTGACCCCTGCCACTGGTTGTTGCTTTATGTTCTACGTAGGTTTGCCTCCAACTCGGACCCATATCTCTTTTTGTTTGAATGTTTTTATTGTGGTAAGCACTCAAGCCCGGTACAGCGCGTTGATGGTTTCTGGGGGAGGGCACAGAAAAATTGATCGGGTTGGGGCCGGGGGGGCTTTTTCGACAGCTTGACCGTGTATAGGTGGGGGGGGGGAGGAGTGCTTGGTGCCTACCCTGAGCGGGGGGGGGGGGGGTCTTCCGTCTCGGGGAAGAGAGTGGGAGCTGAAATATGGGGGAGGGGGCGGGGTGGAAGTAACCAGGCTTCTAAGGGGAGATTGGTTGTGAAAATGAATCCATATCTTAAAGAGAGGGTTCTTGCCTATGGCAGTCACCAACAGTGATTCAAGCGAGCCTGACTGCTGATAAGATGCCGTGTGAAACCAGTCGAGAGTTTGCTTGCACTGAATCAGTGCTGCCGAAATTATTATTCACTCCGAAGAAGGCTGTTGAGTCCGACGGGTTGTGTAGAATTAGTTTTTTGTCATGTGGAGAGATGGCGATATCAAGGAGATGTATTGTTTGCTTATCTATCGGGCTATGTCTTGTTGTGTGTGTTTGTGGTTGTTTCTATAAGTCTATAACGTCCCACTGATTGTCAAAGGCCCTCTCACATTTTTTACATTCCTTTTACTTCGTTGTTATTGATGCGCAATAGATTGTTGTGTTAGACTAGGTAATCATTTGGACAAGATTCTCCACTATCCCTTTAGACAAACAAATTATATTGTCCCTTGCACAAGTGTTTAACCCAGCAATTTGCATTCTTTCAGCTCCGTGGTAAGTTTAAGAGTAATTCTCACAACCAAATGTCGCAGTTAAGGGAGTACGTTTTGCTTTAAAACCACGTGAACCATCTTCAGGACAAGAATCCAGAATTCAGAATAAAATCGTTACATGGCCCAACCCAAAAATATATTCTGAATGATGAATATTGGCTGTGAAAACTTAAGCATTGAGTGCATTGTGTTTGTTCATTTCTTGCATCCAAATTATTTCATTCATCTCATGCCCATCTCCTCCACTGTCTTCCTCTGCTTCAATTGCCATTTCTGGTTATCCACTCCGTGGTTAATTTTCCATGTGGGTCGCTTGCAAACATCGGCCGTGCGTGCACACCACCTGCACATGGGTGTTCATGTGTATGCGTGTTTATATGTATGTGGCCGTTTTTATCTATCCATTGCTGGATAAGGGCCTTCTGTACGTCGCGTGAGGATTATGTGACCATGAGTCAACAAAGCTGGTCAGTCCCAGTTTGTGAAAGAAGAGTTGGGAACGCAGGAACACTGCAGAGATCGCTCACCGCTGATGTTGATCATGGTTGGTTATGTACGGTGCGAAATAAGCTCAATATACATACATATGTGGTAGGGGAGTCGTAGTGTAGAGGCCTCGGGTTTCTAGCACATTTAACGAATCGCTGTGCCTCTACCCCACCGTGACTAGATTGGTAAATTGAAAATGGAATACAGTCTTATTTTATTCGTTATTTGACGACACTGGTCGTTGCGGGTTGGTGAAAGTGGGAAGCATAGCCATTGGAATATAATACAGTACAACAACATATTTGGTTGCACTGCCCTCTGTTGATAATGCTGCCCAGCTACCTACAACCCCTGGTGTATGCATGATGGTCACACAACCGAGCACTATCCAATCAGTCTCATCCCTGCTTAGCTCCTGTTATCTGACGAGAATCAGCCCGTTCTGGGTAATTTGATTAACTACGCACGGGCACGCACGCACTGGCGACATCTTTTGCTGTTTCATAAAATGTATTCTCTGTTTGCTTCTTAACCCCCCCACCCTACCACTTTCAATTCACTATCCATGAACTGTTGATAATGGTGATGATCAGCTGTCTTGTATAACAATGTATTACAATTCCGTATGTTTGGTGCCATGTGACTGCCGCCCCCCTTTGCTTGTCCCACCACCACAGGCCTCGTCAGCCAGCTGCCTCTCGGTGAGCGAGGAGCTGATCTTCTGCGGCTGCTCCGACGGTGTGGTGCGCGTCTTCAACCCGGAGAATCTCAACATCGTCGCCACAATCCCGCGGCCACACTGCCTTGGCGTGGACGTGGCGCTGGGCGTGGAGCCCGGGTATGTTTGGCTATCATCGATATCGAAGTCGTCGTCGTCATCATCATCACTGTCGTAGAAATCCTCGTTGCCATCATCGCCACCATCCCTATCATTATCTTCATTGTCGCATCATCGCCATTGTCGGCTTCGTCATCGTCATCATCACCTTCATCATTGTCATCATAGTCCTCATAGATTGTCATTATAGATGTTGTCATCACAGTAACTGATTTCCATAATAGTTTTTTTTTTGGGTTGGATCGCGTAAATATAATTTGTCGTCAAGTCCGCCACCACCCGAAACTAATTGGCTGTGTCTGGTAGTGGCAGGTTTAACGACACATATATTTACGCGATCTATCCCAAAACAACTTTATGGATAATATTGGTTGTGAAAGCCTACTGTTAAAGTAACTGCTTTGTTTAATAATGATGGTCATTATAATGTGAATGATAATGCCTTTTTTAATAAGGCCTTTTGTTTTATCCAACAAAGCTTGGCCGTCCATTGATCATGGCTGATGATGATTTATGATGATGATGATGAACTAAAATGTAACAATACACGCACGCGTTTGCTCTCAGGCATTTATTCACCCGAAGAGAAGATGCCCGCTATCCGGACACGGTGGCGTTGACCTTCGACCCCACGAATCGCTGGCTGTCATGCGTCTACAACGACCACAGCCTGTACGTGTGGGACGCGAGGGACGTGCGCAAGGTCGGCAAGGTCTTCTCGGCGCTGTACCACGGCACCTGCGTCTGGGGAGTGGAGGTTGGTAATCCGAACCTTGCCCTCGTCGCGCGACAAAATATTTCATCGTGCGGCTTTTCGAACGCGAGTTCTCGCAAGTTCAGTGCGGCGCGGATTTCTGTTTTTGCTCACCGTGATAATAAATCTATTTCAGAATCTTTATATGTTATCAGAATCTTTATTTAGACTGGAGGAATCCGATGAGCGATAAAGCTCTTTTTCACAAATGTCCAGTAAGGACATGTGTGATAGCGAGGCTACCGCAAAGTAAGGTGCTCCGTTTCACAGAACATTGTCTGCTGTAGTTGTATGAAGCAGTTGCGTAAATGACACTACAGTAAAACCTTGGATTGCGAGCATAATTCGTTCCGGAAATGTGCTTGTAATCCAAAGCACTCGTATATCAAAGCACTCGTATATCAGTTGTGATCACGTAACGCTCGGCAGACAAAGCGTATTACACGTACTACTCGTATTGCAAGACCTCGCTCGTTTATCAAATGAACATTTATTTTTTAAAATTGCTCGTCTTGCAAAACACTCGCAGACAAAGTTACTCGCAATCCAAGGTTTTACTGACGTTGTAAAAGACTTGAGCCGCGTGGTATGCATACGTGTGGCCCCCCGCAGGTTTATCCGGAGGTGGACAGGGGCCCTGTGGCGGCGTGCCTCCCGCCTGGCACCTTTGCCACCTGCTCCTCGGACAACACGGTGCGGCTGTGGAACCTGCAGCGTGACCCGTCGCCGCTCGGCACAGCCGCGTTGCCACGGAACATCTACAGCAGCGTGAGTGGCAGCATGTCAGCTTGTCCTGCCCCATTTGTATTTGTGCTCATTAGTTTCTTCATTCATCCGCTCACCCTCTCACCTGTCTGTTCATCTGGTCCTCTGCTCGTGCGATGATTGGTATGTTTACTCATCCAATTGTCTGTTGTCCTTTCCATCTAGTTGATCATCGGTTTGTTAGTCTGCTCGTCCGTATGTCCGTTGCTCTGTTAGAATGTTTGTCCATTCATGTGTTATTTCGTCGGCCTGATTGTCCATTCCTCTTCCTCTGCTGTTAGTCCTTTTTTCGTCCATTCTTATCCATTCTTCATTTGCTCATATGTTCATACGCTCATTCGGCCAACTGTTCATATGCTCGTCCGTTAACTTGTCTGGTTTTGTGCTCAACTGCTCATCTCTTAGACCGCTCATCTTTTCGCTTTTCTGCTCGTCCACTCGTCCGTTCATCTGCTCCTCTGCTGGTCCGCTTGTCCACATGCCAAGAGGTCACGCTTACCCTCCCGCACGCTCCCGTCACGTGTGACAGGGCCGTTGAATCAACAGCGGGCGGTTTGACAAGTAGGAGGAGGGAAGGGGGGCAGATGGCGACGAGCCAGGCCCTGAGCACAGCGGCAGCGCGGCGGTGAGGTTTAGTGATGGGTCAATACTGAGTCCGGGATTAGTGCTTGTCCGCAGAGGCGCGCCCACAGATTAAAGGGGGAATCGGCTGCTGTCTAAACAGAGGTGGGACGCGTGCGAACAAAAAAACACATTCCTTGAATGAGGTCACCATTGAGTTGGGGTGGATGACTGTGCGAGTTGTGTGTGTCAACAGATCTCTGTCAGTGTAAACTTGGTTTTTTTCCTTTAACGCTGATAAACGTTGCCATGAGATTTTGGCGAACTGATGAGGGGGGGGGGGGATCAAGGCAAATGGGTTGTGGCTCTCTGAATTTGGAGGAGTGTGACTATACTCCAATAGGCACGCGCACGTGTGTGTCTGGCATATGCCAGTCAGCTCAGTTGGTCAATCTATGGCACCTGGGTTTTCCCCGTGACCACCTGCCAGCGATCCTTTGACACTGCACGTGGCCTCAGTGCACCTAGTGTAGCACAAGTGCCGCGGTGGCGAATGGCGGTTGTTGTAATTTTGATGACATCATTGAAAACGAGCCTTTTTCTGTATTTTTAATATCTCCCTATATTAGTGGATGCAGCCTAAAAATGTATTTTAAGTCTCAACACAGAGAGTCGAGAGATGTGGGCGATCAGGCGCAGTGCTGCCCTCACCACAAAGCGCCGCGTGCGGCACAGGAAACACAATGACGAACCTCGTCGCTTAAGATTCACTTCACAAATCAACTGGCTCTCTACAATGTGTTTTTTGCTTGCGGTGTTAGGCGCGATGGGCTGACGTTTCGCTCAAAGTGTTGGGAGCTTCTCCAGGAACCTTATTGGGGAACATGAAGGAGCTCCCAGCACGTGGAGCGAACCGTCGGGCATCATGCCGAATACCGTGGGGAAACACCTGGAGAGCTGTAGAGCGCAGCTGTGAAAACCTTGGCAGTGATAACGCAATAAATACAATGAGTGTTTTTTTTTTATATCGCGCCGTTCACGCAAACTGCGTCTTTTAATGGTGCACAGTCCCCAAACACGGTGGTGCATATGTTATATTAAGATGATTTCACAAGTGAATTCGTGTTTTTTTTTTTAACAGTGAAGGACATAGAGCGGGATGTAAAAATCTACAGTAGTATAATTTTAACATGGTGGTTAAAAAATCTATAATGCTATAACAATATAAAATATATAGTGATATTTTTCAAATATTTTTTTTATGTTTCAACTCTTGTGCACTAAAGCTTTCCATTTTTTTTAAAGTTTAAACTCTTGTGCACTAAAGCTATAAAATACGTAGCTCTTTAAGAATTGGTAGTAATCGAATCTATTCACACAATTCACTTGTATTGGCCTCATTAAGAAACTTGGAACCACTAAAGTTATGCCACCTCAGGTTGTACCGACAGGTGCAATATCTGGTCTGAGCTCGTGCATGATATGGGCACGTATCCACCTTTACCTTCTAGTATTGCCCGTCCCAACAGCCTACCCAGTTCACCGCAAGAGGATGTTCCTCTCACAGGACCTGCTGAAGGTGCTGTACGTGGACGGGAACCTGCAGAGCCTGCAGGACTCTGAGAACAACCCGGCCGGCAGCTCCGACAAGGCTGACCCAGCTTCTGCTGACGCCAAGACCGGCATCCGCACGCTGTGCGTCAGTCCCAGACGGGCAGCACCTGGCCTCCGGCGACCGTACCGGAAACCTTCGGTGCGTAGCCGTATGCTCGCCATGTCACGCCACCGCCAACCGGGATTTGTCCGTCTCCTGGCACACTCCGGCCTGGCCAGTGCTGCTGCTGTCTTTGTGTCCATGTACGTGTGTGCGTGTGTGCTTGTGTGCGTGTGTGGCCTCAAGGTGCACATGGCCTGGCACAAGCGTCGTGGCGACATCACCGCCACTTAGTGGCGAATGGCGGTTGTTGTTGTTGTGTGCGTGTGCGGTAGCGGTTAGGGCACTCTGCTACGAACCTAGCGACCCCGAGTTCGATTTCGCGCTCATGACCAACATCAGTGAAGATTATCTTAACCGTTCGTGGGTCTCTTCTAGGTCGACTCGGCCTCAAATTAGTACCTGGTATGATGTGTCAACATTTACACTGGGGAGATAGAGGCGGGTGGCCGTGGTGTTTGCTGTAACCACCTCCTCGTGTGTGCTGTACCGGCCGTCACAGGTGCTCGCAAACAGCACTTGCCCCAAAAATGTGTTAAGGGATGTTTCTCTCTGTGTCTGCTTAGAGGGCCACGGGTTCTGAAACTTCTCTGTGTGTCTTTGTATTTCTCTGCATACCTCTGTTTGAGAGTTTGTATCTGTATTTGTCGTTCTGTGTATGCCCGTCTGTCTGTCTACATGTCTGTGTCTTTGTCCATTTCTGTGTCTGTTTCTCTGTTTTTCTGTCCCTCCATGTCTCTGGATGTCTCTTTCTGTGCTTATATTCTTCCCGTGTGCACTTTTGTACTGAGGCAGCTCTGATTCCATATTTTACAAAAAATGTATTTCACGCTGTCGGGAGCTATTGACATCCTATGGCACAGTGCTCCACACATCACGAGAGAGGGGGTGGGGGGGAGGCATCTCCTGTCTGTCCGGCTCATGTTTTATTTGCTTTCTGTCCTGGAAGGCTCAGTCATTCATGACAGCTTGTTTTCCCCCTCCGTGGTGGCTGTTCTATTTTGTTGAGCTGCAGCAGCCAACAAATGTCAACAGAGCTCCTTGTAGTTGACACAGAAGTGATGCTTTATTGGACCGTGAGAGTTACAGAAACCGCTCCCTCTGGCTGTGAACTCCACTGCCTCACTTCCCTTCCTGTCCCTGTTCCAGTGTAGGCTTTAAGATTTTCCTCCTTCATCTCTCAGCCAGGTTGTTCTGCACTGTGACGGGGGCAAGCTTCACAGTGCTGGCATATTTTTCCTGTTCACAGCTTGTTCCCAGCCTCCCCATGCCACAAAGAGGCTCCTTTTCTTTACCATGATTGCATGAGTCTGATCCTACGTTGTGCACTCTGTGTTCATATGCGGTCACATTAAACAGCCTTGAGATTTTATGATTGGCGCTGTATAAGCTGTAATGACTTTGAGATGCTCTTTAAATACAAAATTTGTAGTATTTTCATCAATTCACACGGTTCCCTTAGTAACAGTATTAGCAGTATTATTTAGAGGCGTTTAATGATTCCTCCATTAAAATAGATTCTTGTGCTCAAGATACAAGCTTACTGTTGTACATGTAAATTGGTATTTTTAATTAAAATGTATAATAGAACAAGACAAAAACATTAGACGATACAAATGAGTGAAAAAATAATTGATCGTTGAATTGATCATGGGAAAGGTGTGTGGTCTGTTTTTAGTCATTCTTGTCAGCCATGATCTATCCACTGTTAGACGAAGACCTTCCCAAGCCGCTGTGATCTCGCTACGGTCTTGCGCCGCAATAATCCTTCTAGCTCCTGCACATGAGTTGATTTCATCACACCATCTCAACAGAGAATGTCCTCTCTGGCGTGTTTGCTGTTCTGGCTACCACCCAATGTTTGTCTTGACCACCGCCCATCATCGCTTCCTAGAAAATCACTAGATGCCTAATAATTAATTTGTGATACAATTACAAAGTACTGCATATATTTATTTAGTTGATTCAAACCAAGTCTTGTTGCGACATCCATAAGAGGTTTTTTTTTTTGTGTTAGATCATGTAAATATAAATGTGTCGTTAAACCTGCCACCATCCGACACGGCCAATTAGTAAGGTTTTACCTCTCCAAACACACCGGTGTGCTGAACTAGTCACGAATTGGCATGTCTGTTTACGTGATAAACCTTACTATTTGGCCATGTTGGATAGTGGCGGGTTCAACAACAACGTTTGTATGTATACGATCTAACCCAAAAAAAGAGCTATGGATAATATTGGTTGCGAAAGCCCTACGTGTTAAATTGTCGCAACATGTCTGATGTTGAGGGTTACGCTTCCCTTGTCAATGCAGGATCTATGACCTTCACTTTCTGGCGGAGCAGATGAAGATCGAAGCCCACGAGACGGAGGTCATGTGCCTGGAGTATTCCACCCCCGATACCGGTGAGTGACACGGCAGTGCTTTAGTATTGTCTGATAAATTTCGATTTAAAGCTTTCGTGACTGTAGGGATTCGTCTTCTTTGTTCTTTCGGTAAAGTCACGCAGAAGGGAAATAATAAAATAATTAAAATTAAACATAATAAAATTATTTTCACCACGTTTCGGCCATAACGCAAGCAGCCGTCCTCAGGGGAAGAACAGGTCTGTCGGAAAGACAACGTCCGACAGACCTGTTCTTCACCTGAGGGACGGCTGCTTGTGCTGTGGCCGAAACGTCGTGAGAATTATTTTATTATGTTTTTTATTATGTTTTATTTTTATTATTTTATTATTTCCCTTGTACGTGACTTTACCGAAAGAACCAAGAAGATATTGTCTGATAATAACAACATCTTTCAGCCCTTTGTGATTCCACTGCTAGATGCAGGCCACTGCACACTAACAATCATAGTAATGTGTTCCTAAAAATAACGATGCCTGGAGTAAGTCTTCCATGAATTAATAATCTACCTACACAGTTTCACGTTTCGTGAAAGTACAGTTGGGGAGGTTACGCAAACAAAGGTGGTGGAAACCAGTTATCGAGCATGCCACAATCTGCTGATAAAATACTGTACAAATGTTAAAATATTTTATTTTACTTTTATTAATTTTAATGTTTTACCTACGTGACTTTACTGAAAACACCTAAGAATATAGAAAATACACTCTGTGTGCGTGTCCACATGCAGACACGTAAACACGGACTCGTTTTTTCAGGTCGGCATACCATTTATGATATTACCTAATTCATCATCGATACTGGATGATGAATGGATACATTGCTGATGTGATACTGCGAAGTTATTTTCTGAATGTTTACGTTTCGGTCAATACCGCATTACTGATTTTTGAGTCCGTGTGATTTATGTTTACTTCATATTTAACATTTTTATTTAATGGCACACTGAGCGCTTTACAATAATGTATTTGTGGTGCTCAGAGACTTGTATTTATCTTCTATGAATCATTTACAAACAATAGTAATGGTAATTATTTACCCACGAAAGCCTCCCTGAATCTCAATACTTTTTTTTCAGGAGTGATCCTACATTGGGATGTTTGGCCAATTCCATTAATCATTATGAGCCCAGACCAGAGAATTGGCTTTTTGGCAGTTCCAATATCTTTGTGGCCAAAAACAGTGAATGATGTGAGGACCTTTTGAAACGAGTAGGTTATAAAGTAATTCACTTGTATTTTGACAAATAAATACAACTAACGTTTTGCTGCCTTAGGTGTTACCAATTTCTGCACTGGCCCATTGACACTCAGCACTGCCATCTCCTGGCCTCACCTTGCGGTGGGACACCTGGAACACCTAGCAAGTCGCGGCGGTGGTCACCTATGCAATTACTAAGCAGCAAGCTCTAACCTGTTTAGCTTCTGAGACCCTCCGATATCGGACACATTTAGTGTTTTGGTCATAGGCATTAATGGTAATAATGATGATAATCGAGGGGGGACATGCTCGCCACTCACAGCCACGCACAAAACACAACAAACCATCAGCTATAAAGTGAAGCACAGTTTGCAGTAGACTGTGCCTGGAACAATGATTTTGCATCGTGAGCAAAATGGAATGAGGGCTCGAGTGTAAAAATAGTTAACGATGTAAAATGTACTCCACAAATAACGCTGTCTAATCTCGTAGTGTAAGATTATATGCATAAGATTAGATGCGTTTAAATTCTATTGCCTCTCCCATGTGTCTGGCATTATCTCTCCCTTGCCGTGTTCATCTTTATATTTGTCTGTTTCATTGCATGTCTCTGTCTTGTGTGCATGTCCCGTCTTTTCATGTATATTTATTTTTTATTAATTATCCTTCGGTCCATTGGTCTGGCTCTGTGTGTGTCTTTGTGTTCACATTTGTTTATAACCCATAACCCTAAGGGATTGTGTCTCTATCTCTCTCCATTGATCTATTCGTGTCTATATGTTGAACAATCACGTAAATAGACAATCTGCTGCTCTGTTCATTGGCCTGGCTGTCTGTATTCACGTCTCGTGTTCTTGTTTGTCTCTGCTGGTCAGATTGTCCTTCTGTCTCTCTGCATTAATTTTTCTGTCTCTTTTAATTATCTGTTTCCTACAATTGTCTGCCTTTCTGTCCGTTGGGTTTCTCTATCTTTCTCTGTTTGTCTAAAGGTCTCTGTTTGTAAATCAATCTATTAATCTTTCTACCCATCCATCACTTTGTCCCTCATCTGTGTCTGTCCATCTTTCTATCTATCCAACTGTCCACGATTATGTCTTTGTAAACACATATTTCAATCAATGTCTTAATCTCTGTCCGTCTTCCTCCCTGTCTTCCCCGCTCCCATCCCACCGCATCTCTCTCTCTCCTCCCGTCATTGTCCAAGGCGTGAAACCGCTGATGACACATACTGCGACCGTCTGATGCACGTTCTGAATCGATCAATGTATTAATCTCTGTCTGTTGGCTTCCTCCGTGTCACTCCGTGTGTGTCTCTCGGCCTCTCCTCCTGACGGCACAGGCGTGAAGCTGCTGGCGACGGCGAGCCGTGACCGCCTGATTCACGTGCTGAATGCGGAGCGTGGATACAGCCTGGAGCAGACACTGGACGAGCACTCGTCAGCCGTCACCGCCGTCAAGTTCTCCGGTGCGGCGGTGGCGGCGTGCGGGTCGATAGAAAGCGTGCGGGGTCACATGGTGCCACGCGACGCCGGGGAACAATAAACCCCGATAAACGGCCATGTGATCGCGCAGATGCGGGTGTTCACTCACGTGTGTTTGCGTTGCCGCGGGGTTGGATTAAAAAAAAAAAAATTCTGGGTTTTTTTTCTCTCCAATATTTCCTTTTGTTATGGGTAACGGGTTACATACATAACATTTTATGAACTTAGACAAGAGGATTATGATTTATAACTCTCAGTTTAAAATATATATTTGTCGTTTTTAGGCAGTTTTATTACATTAATGTTATCACCATCATTGTGTCATGAGACACAAGTTCGCTTTGGAACTCTGGCAAAGGCAGTCCAATACCGCTGTGCGTTAGAGGGTGGCCTGTGGAAGGAGATTTTACTCCAATACCGCTGTGCGTTAGTCTGCTTATGAGACCATTTCGAAGTGAAATAGCATTAGACAGAAAATCCCATTTGGTCGTGACCCAACGGTGACGTTCAAGTGTTAATTGATTTTGCGTTTCCAAATGAGAACAGGCAGAGACACAGGGGCATTCTCGTGTGCAAGACCGATCTGGGTCACCGAAATGACAAAATGAACATTTTATAAAGTACAGCAATGAAGTGAATAGAAATCCGTGCAATTAACAACTGCGTCGCTTGAGAAATAAAAAAATAAAAAATACTGCACAAATATAAATTCCTGTTAATTGATAAATTTTCTGTAGTGCCATTCGGATTTGGCAAATTATTTTTAGACTGATAATTATTAATCGTATAATTACAATTAAGTTACAGAAACATTAAAACAGATGTAGGGTGACTTATCATGCCATTCACGTAGGACCCATCCAGCAGGCTTCACTTGAGTTCTTGGCATTTCCACCTGCAAAGTGTAGTTTGAGTGCTGCCTACACGTAAACGAGTGTCTCATTTTTATTATCGTCGGCAAAGGAGGTGAATGATAGGTTTACGCAGCAACAGGAAATTGTATAATGAGTACAATGGCCTGTCCATTACAGTGCCATTGGTTTCTGCAGATTCTGTATTGGCATATACTCTCATGTATACATGCACAGTCAAGCCACTGCTGGATGAGGGCCTCCACATGCCATGCGGATCATGGAGATAATGTAAACATACTTCACTTGTCTGCACAGTTTGCTGATGGTGAGGAGCAGAGACAATGGGTTACAGAAGAACTATACATTGCGCTGTATTGCCATCTGCTGACAACTTAGCTCTGCAGTGGCCTATAATAACAGTTTTTTTGCGTGGCGGTGGTCACCCATCCAAACGTGATCCAGACTCAATCCTGGTTGGCTTTGGAGATCTGATTTGATTGTGCACATTCAGAGACATTTGGTCATAGGCACGAATGCAATTGGCGACCAAGAAAAGTGACATCACTCTTTTCATGTGCCTTATAAATGAACTTAATTTAACGATAACTCTAGTGATGGCTTACTATACTACATTTTAAGTTTTGCACGAATTAAGTATTTTTATTTAATTAGTGACCAAATTAATATTTGTGTCTGTCATAATCACATTATTGACAAAAGACAATTTCTAAAAAATGCTAAGAATGCTATTTTTTACGCATACAATTTCACAGCTTGGCTGTTTCAGCTGTACGGAATTCATGAAAATGTTTGCATTTGCATTCTTTTAATTGTAGGAATTGGAGACCAGCTGCAGCTTGTTAGCTGTGGCAGTGACAAGTCGATATACTTTCGCAACGCTGAAAAGGTAATGACATCGAATAGTCTGAGAATAGATACCTTGTACAATGGGACTTTACATCAGCATACCGCAGCATTCAAACATTCATTACGCATCCCCTCTTCATAGCCCTTATAACAAAGCTTACATCCATAGTAGAGGTTTTTTGGGTTAGATCGCGTAAATATATAAATGTGTCGTTAAAACCCGCCACCACCCGACACAGCCAACTAGTAAGGGTTGTCACGTAAACAGAACGTGCCAATTCGTCACTAGTACAGCACACCGGTGTGTTGGAGAGACGAGCCACAACATTTATAATCTGAGTACGACGTACCATGTCAAATCTGACTCGGATGTTTTGTTTTTCCAAACATCTGGCTAGTTTATCAGTTACTCCCACAATGTACGGTATTTTGATCGTTTTAATTACTTGGACAGTTTCAATGCTTGTGTTATTTGATTTGGTTTTGGCATTCAATGCCCTGTTGATTTGTGCATCATTATAACCGCTCACTTGCAGCACTTCATTAACATGTTGAATTTCATTTCTCAGACTGTCACTATCTGACACTTTCTTAGCTCGATGAATGAGCGTCTGTATAAGAGCAGATTTCTGCGTGGGGTGATGGTGTGACACTCCATTCAGATAGGCATCAGTATGCGTTTTCTTTCGGTAAACACTGTGGTAGTTTACCATTTCGACCCCGTCTGAGCAGAATATCCAGAAATGGTAGAGTTCTGTCAGCTTCCACTTCAATGGTGAACTGGATGGATGGTTTTGCGAGTTGAGATGATTTAGAAATGCGCTCAGTATATCTTTGCCATGTGGCCAGACCACCAATGTGTCATCCACATATCTAAACCAAGCTGATGGTTTTAGTGTGCTTGAAGCTATTGCTTTTGTTTTAAAATCTTCCATGTATAAATTCGCTTTCACAGGACACAAGGGAGAGCCCATTGCTGCTCCTTCCTATTGTTTATAGAAGTCACCTTGCCACAAGAAGTAGGTGTTCTTTAGACAGTGTTCAGTTAGTCTAGTAATTTAATTGACACGTTGACCGGAACCCTCGTGAACAGAGAAGTCACATCAACCCTAAAGAATATCATTAGGGTTAAGCTTAACATCTTTAATTATATTTACGAGATGTTCAGAGTTTTTGATGAACGAAGAGATCCTACCGATGTAGGGCTGTATTTGTTTTGTTCGTATTGTGCTAATTTGTACGTGGCAGAGCCTATTGTACTAACTATGGGTCTTAATGGGACATCAGGTTTGAATTTTTGGTAGCCCATAAAGTCTTGGTGGTTTTTATGGCCTTGGTTTGATCAGGTATTGCTCTTCCTTGGGAATTGATGACTTGGCAATGATTGCCGTTGTTTTACGTTCCAAGGTGCTCTATTATGGATGATATTGGTCACGAAAGCCTACGTGTTAAACTGTCAAACCTTACAATCGGCCTATTTTGCCAAATTACAATAAGCGTTCATGTAGTACATCATGAATCGTTTTGATGATTAAATTTACAGCTCTTTGTTAGGCCTTCCTCCCCCACGATGTTGTTGTTTATGGAGGTTATTTGTACCGGAACTCGCCACACTGGTAAGTTCAGGTTCGTGTGGCGAGGGGCTCAAAACTAGTTCAGAAATCGCTTGCGATTTAAATATGAGCCATCGCCTCGAGTCGAACCCGGGCCACACCAGGTTAACTCAACTGTGCCGCCACAACTCTATCCAAGTAGCGCACCTGAAGTGCCTTCAAAATTAAACGATTATTTCAAGCAGATGCAACCATTTATCTTACTCCACCTCTCGTGGCCTTTCTATGTGCTGTGAAGAAGGGCCCATTTGATAAAACACATCACCTATTACATACAATTATTGACAAATGTGACTTCGTTATTTAAAATTTCCCTCTGCGCTGCTACTATTGCTCTCTGCTGGTCAGTAGCACGGCTGTTTTGCCGTGGAACCTGTCGCTGATCTGGCCCGTGTCCGTGTGCTCTGCAGACCGCAGATGGAGTGCAGTTCTCGCGCAAGCACCACGTGGTGGGAAAGACCACGCTGTACGACATGGATGTGGACGTCACCCAGAAGTATGCCGCCATTGCCTGCCAGGACAGGAACATACGGTATGGTCATGGGGCATATCGCCTCCATAGATCGACGTTTAGCCCATGGGGCCCAGTGTTTTTATATATATAAAAAATATTATCAAAATTGTGTTCCAACTACTGCTACTAACGATTCACCACCCCCTCCCCCACCTTCTCCCACCCTCTTACAAATTGTTATGATGCATGGGGGCTGTTAGAATATTTTTCTTTTAGCGTTTAACATGTAGTGCCTTTAGTGGCCGCAGGAGGACGGCCTGCACGGCAACCAATTACATACAACAAATATGCGTATCAATAAACATCGATACTTGCACGCACATTTGGATGCATGTATTGTGAGTATGATCATCGCGTTTTATAGTTGAATAGATGGCATTGTTATGAGCTTAGTTTATAACCACCGTGACTTGATGGAACAGCAGAGACAGAGCCATGTTTATACATCGGAGTGTTTGAAACCGACAGGAGTAGCATGGTACAAAATGTCCATGGTTTTTTACCTCTTTTATATCTTGCCTAAGCATAGTTCTGTTTCCTTTTTGTCTTAACGAGTCCTTGACACATTTTAATTTAGCATCTCAGAATTTCATCATCATTATCAACCATGGTCATTCCACTGCTGGATGATGGCCTCCCCAAGCCCCCCTCCACCTCTCACAATCCTAGTGATGTTAAAATCTGCCGACAATCTTCATGCAAAATTATTTAATTGCTCCATCTCATATGTGAACGTGCTTTCGGTTTAATTCCATTCCATGGCTGCTGCTCCATTATTATTTTCGACCATGGGCCAATTTACCCCTTCTAGTGACATGTCTTGCCCAAATCCGTGAATGTAAACAACGATAATATATTTACAGTTATATTGCAGTTACATTTCAAGAAGCATCTGTGTTTTACCACCATGTGCGTCGGTGTGGCAGGATTTACAACATCGTCAGCGGCAAGCAGAGGAAGTGCTACAAGGGCTCGCAGGGAGAGGACGGCACACTCATCAAGGTCGGTGTCCGAACGGCCGTTGCCGTGTCATGCGCAGCGCTGCATTCCTGCTGCACCATGCACGATGAGCTCGGCGAATTTTGCATTTAGTTTCTTTGTTCCTGACCTTTGGAATTTCGTGGTTAACCATAAGCGTTGTCAATTCCTGGTTATCCATCAACTTTTCAGATTTCCAGGTTAACCGCCAACTTTGTTTTACGTCCATGACTGCTTGCGATCATGTGGAATGTCACCCCACGGCTTCTCCCAATTCACCCATGGCGATCTGAATAATTAGTCCCATTCAAGATCGCGATTCTTTCGATAGTTTTTGTAACATCGCAATGAAACGTAGCTCTTCTGTCGGCTGCCGGAGTGACGTTCACCCCCATTGCATGCGACATATACTAGTAAAAAATGTTGATTCTTATGCAAAGCAATTCGATGCTCGATGCATTATACTGTGAGCTTAAGAATTAACATTAATCGAAGTTGATGCGTCAATCTAACCCTACATCTTGCCTGTACCTGTAAGCGAGATCACACCACTCCAATCCCCAGATTCCTCCTCTTGCAATTAATGCAACCGAGAGTAACTCACATAATTGCCCTCGCCAATTTCAATATTCTGAATTGGCTGCATTACATTTTGATTTAAAGCTTTCGTGACTGCAGGGATTCATATTCTTGGTTCTTTCGGTAAAGTCACGTAGAATTGTATTGTTTTATTATTATTATTTTATTGTTTCCCTTCTACGTGACTTTACCAAAAGAACCAAGAATAGGCTGCATTACATTTACCTCTCATTTCTCTCGTTACTCTACTCTTCTACGAATATCTTCTACTCTCCTACTTGTACTTCTCATCTCACTTTCTTACGGCTGTTTGCTCTACCAACCGCCCTGGCTAGAATCCCAAGTCGGCCTGTGCTCAGTAGGGGGGTCGCTCCTTCTCCTGTGCTGGAATCTGACTATTGACTATTGTCCTCTTTTTTTAAGTGGCAATGATTGACTGCCTCTTTCTATAAAATAAATATTTCCACAGTTTCTCTACAGTATATTGAGATGCTGTTGCATATTATCCTGTCAGGAACTCTCCAATCCTGTGTAATCTTCACCTCCTCCGTCTAGCGAGTGTTCCCCCACGACGCACATCTTTCAGTGATGGGGTCGCATTCAAACCAAACAAAAACACATCGACACAAATTGTATTGTAATGTGCAGTGGTTGGCACGCTGCACTGCAAAACCAGTTGCCTGCCTTTGATTCCCGGCCACTGCTAACGTCAGTGGCAAGTGATATCCGAACCAGTCCTGCCATCCCCTCTCCCCCCTGCACCAACACGCACTGATTTGTGTGAAGTAATGCGAAAACCCACATGACGGACATGATTTGGGGGAGACCTTCATCTATCAGTTAATTGAGAATGGCTGCAATTTGTTTTTAATTCGTATTATCATTGTATTGCTTTGCGTGGTTGTGTGCTGTTTAATGATAGCATCCTTCCGTGTATGTGGCAGGTTCAAATGGACCCCTCAGGCATGTACATCGCCACCAGCTCCTCTGACAAGAACCTGTCAATTTACGACTTCTACACTGGCGAGTGTGTGGCCACCATGTTCGGACATTCTGGTGAGGAGGCATCGGGATTGTGGGCGGGCGACATTGCGCAACCGGCCACACGCACGCGCACACAGTCGCTCGCACCTGCTACCTCGCCTTCATAAGATCATGCCCTGTCTGACGACCTTTTCTGCGTGCCATTTGACCCCTGTAGAGATCGTTACTGGAATGAAGTTTAGCAACAACTGCAGCCACTTTATCTCCGTCTCTGCTGATAGGTGAGTTTTTTTTTCCTTAACCAGTTGCTGAGCACAGTTCCCTAGGCCCAAAATGCCAAGCGGTCAGCGACAAACAGCACTATTGTAGGTGTAATAGATCAGTGTTAACACCTTTGTTTGCATGCATAGTGTTAAGGATTTTACCTAGTAACTAACATGCATCGGCATTGATTTTGATGTACACATTCAATGTATTACAATATTACAAATATACAAAAAACTTACAGCCCTTTGCTCTTCAATATTTTCACCGCTCCAGTGAGTACCGTTTTTTGAAGGGGGTTCCCCAGGACCGGGTCCAGGGATCACTCACCACTGACGAAAAGCCACTGACCATAACCGTGGCCGGGAATCAGTTGCGAGTGCTGGTGGCGAGTGTAATTGCGTTTGGCGGTGTGCGTGCTTTGAAAGTTATAAGTGATCGAGGAAAGTGTTGAGTGGTTGGAAGGTCTCAAGCGATGGGTGTTGACAGTTACAGGTAGCTGGGAGGTGGTGAGTGACACGTGTGGGCTGTGGTGAGTCGTAAGGAGTGAAAGAAGTGGTGCGTGTTTGGAAGGTGGTGAGGGGTTGGGAGATGACGTGTAATATGCGAGTGAGCGTCTTCGGGAGGTGGCCAGCAGTTTGCAGGGTGATGCCCGGTCACGATTAACATCCGTGGCGAGTGGATATCTGAACTGGTGTTTGACCTCCCTGGACCGAACCCAAACACTGAGCAGCCTAGTTTTCTATTCTTGTCCGTGGCAGCGATATGTTCAGGTGCTAAATGCCAATGTCCGAGGTCTTGTATCCACGATGAGGTGAGAGCGTTTGCGTGGTTTTGCTATATTCCTGCTCCAATGAAGGAGCGTAGACTACAGTGGGTTACTATATGGACCATAGTTTAGATTGCATGGCCACAACCGCACTGTGGCTTGTATCTTAAATTTTCTATTCATGAAGAAGATGTGGTGCATTGGCCTGTTGATGTTCTGATGCGATTGATGGTTCACCAGGAGAGTGGTAAAGTGTGGTCTCATCCATCCCGCGGATGCCTTCGTCCAGCAGTGGATTGAGAGAGCTGTACATTAACTCTGAAACGTAGATTTTTATAGCATTACAATGATCCATATTTGTTTTGGATTGGGCCACGTGGTGGTCGTTATAATAACAAAATTATGTGTATGTGCCAATGCACTGATCAAATTCTGACCAATAAAATTCTTTCTCACTGATAGATTAAGAATTTATATGACAGAATGAAGTTGCTTTCAACTTCTTCAGGTAGTGTATTCGGAAATCTGAATTGGGTAAAAATTTGAGCAACGCATTGGCACGTGTAGATATTATCTTTATATACATGACAGTCTTGTCGGGTGGTATGGGTGGGGTTCATAAAGAGAGTTTCAGTATCAAACGACTGCATGGTCTAGCCCCAAAACAAATGTATCAGCCGAATGTTACCGTTATTATTCTTGTTGCGAGTGAGTGAGCGAGCGAGTGGTGAGTGACACATGCATGTCCACAGCTGCGTGTTCGTATGGAGGCTCAACCCCGAGCTCACTGAGAGCATGCGGCAGCGCCAGCTGGAGCTGCACAAACTCCCGCGTGGCGTCTCTGCCTCCCCGCCAGCCAGGTGAGCGCCGCCAGCACCACTGCCAACATCAGCATGGCCTACTCGCGATACCACCGTTGCCACCATCATTGCCACCAAATCACTGAACTGTCAACTCCACCGCCGTCACTGCCACTGATCATGGCCACAATCATCGTGACCATCACTGCTGCCTCCACCATCGCTTACTGGCACCATCACTATTACTGGCACCATCAGCAGCATTGCTACCATCACCATCGCTAACACCACAACTGTCAACTCCACCGCCGTCACTGCCACAATCATCACCACCAGTCACTGCTGCCTCCGTCACTATTTTTGGCACCTTCATCAGCACTGCTACCATCACCATCGTTAACACCACCACAACGCCGCTACCACTGTCGCCATTGCCATGCCACCAACACCAACTCCGCTATCACTCACTGACATTAAAGACAGACCTCTCTTCACGACCTTTAACAGACAGTTGGGTGCAAGTGCAGTAAGTGAGCCCCTAATGAAGTCTGGCAAGGCACACGAGCGGGTAGTGGCCAACACCGTGTCTGGCCACCTTTTGTGTCCCCAGTACTGTTGTTAACACTTCACTCCAGTTTAACACGTAGGCTTTCGCGACCAATATTATTAATAACCAAGGTTTTTGGGTTGGATCGCGTAAGTATAAATGTGTCGTAACCCTCCGCCACCCGACACAGCCAGCAAGGTTTGACACATAAATAAAACTTGCCAATTATATAATTGTAACTAATTAGCGTGTTTTGTTTACATGATAAACCCGAGACGAGGTCCATGACTGGCTGTAATATTTGCCACTGACATTGGGCATTGGTGGAATCTGTGCGCAGTGCGCTAACCACCGCGCCCACAGCTCCTTACCGCACCACTTACTGACACCGCCATCACCATCGCTGTTAACCACCACTGTCATCATGTAATTTTGGCTGTGAGAGCAATTGATTCAGTCACTCCATGCAGGGGGACACTGAGCCTAACTGCCTCTACACTTGCTCACATGATTACCCATAACTGCCACCTGTCTCTCGTGCGTTTACATTGCAAAATATTCTTGTTCACGCTGCCGCCACCCACTGAATTGTTACATTTCCCAAAGGTTGTTGGTGTGTTGTGTGTGTATATATATTAAAAAAGCTTCAGGTGGAACATTTCCTTGTTTTGTCATGAAATAAGTACTCGATAATGGGCAGGTTATTGTGCTTCAGTGAAAATGTATTATTATGCTCATGAGACGCATTTAATTGTGTTGATGAGAATAATTCCTTTCAAATTGCATGTTTTTAAAATAAATCTGTTCATGTGACCCCTGCAGCCACTTAGAGCAACAGAGTGTAACCATGAGAGAAACAAAAACATTTTTCTTGGATCAATTTGTGACGATTTGTTTTCTGATTTATGACTGATAACTCAAGGCAAATCATTACGAGTCCAATGGTCAAATAATAGTAATAAAGATAATTACAGCCCGATGTCAAACAAAGGCCATCCCCATGCTGTATTGCTCATGAAGGTTGTTTGTATGTATGTTGAATTACTTTCGCACCGTACGTAACCAACCGTGCTAATTGAAGGTGCGGTTTGGCCATATGTCACCATGCTGATCCGTGCAACAGGCCAAGACTGCATTGGCTATCACTTGCCACTGATGTTAGCCATGGCTGAGAATCGATCTCGGGTTACCATCTTGGGTTTTTAATGTACTATTTGAACCACTGTGTCGCTGCTCTAAGAATTTTTTTTTACGGAAGTTATATTTAGTGACTGGCCACAGAACAGCAAATTGAACACACTTTAAATCAGGGACTGTGGTGTTTACCGCAGTCCCTTATTTGTGAGTCACTTATTTTGGAACTGGAACTGGCCGGGTCAAAGTGCACGGCTCGCAATCGGAAGGTCAAATTCCGGTCGGGGGTCAACTCAGCCCGACATTTTCACGAATTGTTAAAATCGGTGCCACTCAGTGGGAAGTCAACACCGTTTGCTTCTTGATGGACCGGCTCTCGTTATAGAAATGGGGACTTTCCACCACTGCCTTGAAGTTGGTTAACAGGAGATGAGAGCCACGCAATACTCATCAAAGCAGAAACAACGTTGACATTGAATTTGAAACCAATGTCGTCAACACTACATACAGTATATCTAGGAAGCAGGTACCGGTTGGGTTACCTTGATCCTGAACTGACGCGCCAGCTGTCTATTTTTAACAGGAGATTGTTTCTGAGCATAGAAAGGCATTCATCATCATCATAGTCATCATTATTTTTTTTACATCTTACGTCATTTGGTTTGTGCGTGACTTGTAGAATTACATTGTGGTTCAGAATGTACCCTGCAGCAGAGGAATGGTGTCCTTGGTTGTTTGTGTTGTTGGTGTGAAGGGCCGTGCTTAATGGGGATTGCGAACTTCCCACTGGGTTCACAGAGTGAGATAACTTCGCGGGTGGAGGGAGGAGGCCGAGGGGTCGGCCACAGAAGGGGGCTTAACGCGTAGGCTTTCGCTACCAATATTCATAATCAACATTTTTGGGTTTAGATCTCGTTATTTATAAATGTGTCGTAACCCTCCACCACCCGACACGGCCAATCAGTAAAAAAGTGTCACGTTGACAAAAGACAAATAGTTCACTGCTTTAGCCCACCGGTGTGTTGAAGCGTGAAACCACAACATTTACAATTTGAGTACGACGTTTCGCTGGTAATTGCATCCAGCATCATCGGGCAATTCGCCAGAATGGCCGTGTCGGGTGGTGGAGGGTTACGACACATTTATAAATAACGCAATCTAAACCCAAAAACGTTGATTATGAAGAAGGGGGCTTGATTGGGGGGCTCTGCCAGGAGGGGAACCCCCTAGGAAGAGAGGCTATATTGGGGGCGTTGGTGCTGGAGGGCCGATGCTGGTTCATGCTGGTTCTCGGCGTTACTCCCCCACACTTATGAATAATATTGGTCGCGGAAGCCTTACGTGTTAAACTGACTAAGCACCCCACACCTCTTCTTGGTTCTTTCGGTAAAGTCACGTAGAAGGGAAGTAATAAAATAATAAAAATAAAACATAATAAAATAATTCTCACGACGTTTCGGCCATAACGTCACCTCGACAGACCTGGTCTCCACCTGAGGACGGCTACTTGCGTTGTGGCCGAAACGTCGTGAGAATTATTTTATTATGTTTTATTTTAATTATTTTATTACTTCCCTTCTACGTGACTTTACCGAAAGAACCAAGAAGATGAATCCCTGCAGTCACGAAAGCTTTAAATCGAAATCACCCCACACCTGTTTATTAGACCCATTGGCAATACATTCTGGCAAGTTATTGGCGCACCCTAAAGACTGAGATCGCTTTCGTGACATCAGCACCGTGAATAAGAACACAAAGTTTCCGAAAACGTTCCTCCTTTATGACACATTTTAAATGGTTGTAACAGCGAGGAATATTTCCGAGGTCGTATGGTCTGTGATAGGCAATGCTCAAATAAAATTCAAATAATGGATTTCCATTGTGTTACAAATGTAAAGAGCCAACCTGCTGTGTTTGGCGTCAAATTTCCTCTCGGGTTTTATTCTCAGGGTTTTGCCTGGCAAAAACCAGTCACTAATTCTCCATTTGATGTTGTTGGAGGCTTTTTGTCCCAGTCGTAATTTAACACTTGGCTGCATTTAAACGTGCCCTTGTGTGTTTGTTAAAGGCGTGACAAATGGCTGTTTGCATAATACATATCCAGTCCAGGCATCGACAATTACAAAAACCATTCTGTCCTCATTCTCAAGCCGCCCTCAAGCGAGTCACCCGTGTCAGGCGCGCCTTTTTGCCCTTTCCGCTTGTGATGTTTCTGTAAAACACCGATAGCGTTGGTGTAGTAAAGTAGCCACGTGGCGACTTTTGAACCAGTTGCGCGAGCCAGAATGTCGTTAGTTCTTTACGCAATCCTTACTCGTTCAGTGAAGAATTTTCATTACCAACCTGTCCATATCACACGTACTTCCGTATGACGAACATTGAACACTCGAGCTCTCGATAAGTCACCGAGATCCCTCTTGCGTCGCTCGAGGTTTTGTTGGACAAACGAGAAGAGTGAAGAATGTCTAGACTCGGCAATCTTTGTTTGCCAGCGAGCAAACAGACATCCATACAAAGTTCAAGTGACGGCTCACTCCTTAACCAGGTCTTGCAGAGGTCACTTCATCGTGAATCGAACAATGTACACTACGGGTAAGTGACGGGTGAAATGTGGGTTTTTTTGGTGCAGGCTTTTAAGCGTTCTTAATGTACATTTGTTTACGTACTTGCTGTGTTTTCATGTTTGCCGTTTAGCGTGCTTTGTGTGGCTTGTGTGTTCTATGTCCTTGCCTTGTCACGGAATGTTAACCAACGATAACCTGAATCTCCGTGAGGGTTACCCCCCCCCCCCCCCCACCATCTTGTTACTGGAAGATACCGCTGGGCGCAAGTCTAAAGTAAAGGCTGCTTATTCGATGTAAACCTATGTTTCAGTGAATTTCCGAGCGACTCTGAATCTGACATTTGTCAGGCACTGCCCAATTGCACAGCTGCTCATTTTTTATACCGTAAAGCCTTCTGGGTTTATCTAATGCGTGTACGCACGAGATCCGTACTTAGCTGTTCTGCAGGTCAGTACAGATAAGTGAGACGTTCGCCCTTCACGATGACGCCGTGTGAATTGCTTGAGTGTGTCCTTTTTGTAGGTCAGAACACTTGTTATCGGTAGGCAGCAGTTTTGGGTGTCTTGGTGTGCATTTTAAATATCGTTTCTATCCATTAATTTACAGAAATCATCTTGTTGGTGCCAGCTGCTGCCTTCCAACATGTCTGTCGTTCCTTAGTGTTTGTGAGATACGCTTTGCATGAACTATAAACATTTTAATTTTGTATGTACTCGCACAATTGTGCTGCAAGTAAGATGTGCAATTACTTCGTTTTTTCAATTTTCATTTCCTGTAGGTCGTTTTTATTTGTTGAGATAATGACTGTCAGTGAATCTGAGCTGGTAAATACGTTCTCGATTTATGTTTGCCCTAATTTTTACAACCCCATTTTTGGAACGCAACCTCTAATATATTGCTTAATATTCTTGGTAAGAGCATAGTTACTTGAGTAACTTCATATTGGACTTGTTTCTTGCGGCATGCAATGTCAGTGTGGCTGTTCCATCTTTATAAATAGTACAAGATGTTCATTTATTTGAGAGCTTGGATGACTGAGTTGCCACTGAATCAAATGGTTCTCTATAGTCTACAAAAGCAAGGCATACTGGTATTTCATATTCATTTTTGTTTTATATAATCCATTTGACAGCATGCGACAGATTCACCTTTTTGTGATCTTGTGTTTTCAAAAATCAGATTTCACCTGGTTGGTCGCTGTGTTTCTCCATAATTCCGTTTCTAATCTTATTTGAATTCGACACGGCGTTGTTTTTAACGGTTGCTGACTCGAAGCATCAAGTGGTCGGCATCAAACACCGCCATCAGGGTTGTAATAAAGAGTTTCAACATTTCTTGAATTGAGCACCGTTGTAAGAGCTTGGGGAAAATAGACGATGGGAGGGGAACACTAAAAGTGGGAGCAGTGCGAGGGAAGGAGCAGAAAGAGAAGTGCTGTGATCTGCGTGTGTGGTGGACGAACACACGGTGAATGAGACGAAACAAGTCCGTCTGGTACACCGAGCGAGTTGGCGAGTGAGTTGGGAACCGAGTGAGTTTTGTAACTTGCAGTGTGGTGGTAAAACAAAGTGTGGATGAGATCAGTCCTCTCATACGGGTGCAGGAATCAACGAGTGAGGTTTATGGGAACAGTTTGCCGTTCTCAGCCACTTACGTGTCCCTCTCTAGTTTCCCATTGCCGCGGGCAAACGGAATCAAACGTGCTCGACTGCCATCGTCTCTGGCAACAGCAAAAGGCGCCATGGTTTTCGGGGGGCTTGGCAGCAGTCGCTCTTCCCCCCATCTATCTCCTCTCGACCGCACGCTTTAAACGCTTGAGTGTAATTAAGTGGCTTTCGAGCGCGCGACGTGTCTGGACGTCCCCCCCCCCGCCACACTCCCATGAGCATGAGACTCGCAAGAAATAATCCATATCGACCTTCGGTGCACGCCGGTCAAATTTACACAGCGCTCGTTAAACCGGCGCTGCATTAGCGAGCACGTGTTGGCTTCTAGCCGCACGTGGGAATTTTTCAGGCTGTTATTGATTTTTGGCCGGCCTTTGCTTCTAAACGTAACTGTCCTAATTGCTTCACTTAAGAAAGGGGGTTAATGACGCAGCACTGCAATTTCTTGCTCACACCACGACTGGGGGACTGGCGAGCTGTAGAGAAATTCTCTCGAGACGGTATTTGGCCTACTCTTCCACGTTGGGCAGATGTCTTGGAAGAGGGTGGGAGTATCCACTTCAGACCTTTTTGATCAACTAACTTAACTGTTAACCCTTAATTCATGAGCTGCAGCCTCTCCAAAGAGCTCTAAAGTTTAAATGTAATCACTCATTTGTTATGAAGTTGTGGATACTCTTGGCGTGTTTTGTTTCCATTGTTGTTTTTATCAATATCTGTTTCCAATTCACTTTGTATTTGAATAAGTGCCATTTGTTCACATAAACGAGCTGTTTGGAAAGCCAAAAGAACATATGAAAAGGAATGTCCTTCCCAAAAATGGATTTGTACTCTCAGATGGAATAAAAGGGTGTACCTTGATTACATTTCATCTGTGCAAGTAAATGCGTTGTGGATGCAGTGCATACATTTTGGTTTGAAACAAACTACAGTTGATGGGTTCTATCCAGTCACAAGCAGCTACCATCATGAATAAACTTCAAAACAACGCGTAAACAAATAAGACACTGCGCCAGCAGTGGTATTGGCAGTAAACCCGACATTTAAAATTCTCAGTTGAAATGCAGACATGAATCTAAAGCCACGATTAATAACATGGCCTTAGCGACCAGTCACTGATAAACTGAGCTGAGATCATCAACGCCGCTGTAATTGAAAATCCGGTTTAACTCCGGGGAACCTGATCCACCGGATTGAAACCCAGGCTTTTTGGCGGCGCACGGCTCATTATCCTCTGACCCTTGAACCGCCAGGCATCCCCTCTCAAACCCGGGTAGTTTTATGGAGGAAAATAAAAAGCGTCACACCCACCGTGGCGTGACGACGGGAAGGGATCGGCTACACCTGGGCGCGCCCCGCAACTTAGCGGCACACCGCACCGCTCCCAGATACGATGATTACGGCCCCTCCGCTGTCCGGTCGCTTCCCTCGAGGATTAAGAGATTGCTGCTCCCTCCGTTAAATCCCCCCCACCCACCCACACCGGCCCTTGAGTTGTTTTAAAGGTCCAGCTGCACACTGGCGGTGCCAGCTGTACAGTGCGTGGCGTGAGCGAGTACAGGTGATGTACCAACATCAGTGACGATTATCTGAACCGGTTCTGGGACTCCCCTAGGTCGACTCAGCCTTAAATGTTGCGATGCGTAAAGATCTCCACTCGGGAGACAAAGGCGGCCAGGCGTGGTGCTGGCCACCCCCCCTCGTGTTCCCCTGCCGGCCCCTTCCTAGGTGCTCGCGAACAGCACTTGTCCCTACAGTCTGTTAAGGCTACACGAGAGGGGTCTTTGTCTTTGTGCCTCGTGACGATGTACTCCGTGACTCATCGTGTAGTCGCCGCGTGGGCGCGAGGAAGTGATCACGGTCCGAGCTTGAGTGTGTGACGTCACGCAGCAGTGATGAGCGTTGCAATTTTTTTGTCCCAAGTGCGACCGATTGGTCTGTTTACTTCGAGGCTTGTGTTGCCGAAGCTGAAATTTTACGAGAAGCGTCATTGAGGGTGGAATGTTCTGCCTGCGGGTGTTTTGCCTGCCTTTGCACGTTTTGTGCTCTTGCACGCGTGGCATCTCTCCATTGACACGAGTGATGAGATGATGTGGGCGGCGGATTAGAGACAAAACACGTGACTTGTGTTCAACACGGCATGGTCAAGCTGCTGATGACATGCTTGGCTTTGCCAGAGATGTTAGAAAGTAAGAGCGGTGTGATTCTATTTTCACATGGCCCACGCAAGTTTTTTTGTAGAATAAGGAAAATAACATTTTAAAACAAAGTTGTCCTATTTTCTCTGACAAATCTAAGAAAATGCATCCAAGTACTTACCAGGTTCAACCAAGCTTAGCTTTTCAGATCTAACAAGATTGCGTGCATGCATGGCGATTTGGACTTAAGAAATTTGTATGAGTACTTCAGCCACCTGAAATAGTATTGCACATTTTAATCTCTGTTGTGTGAGGCCATAGACTAAATGCAGGAAAGCTTAAGTGCTGTATTGGTTGGAAGTGGGTAGGCACTGCCATCTGCTGTGCTGTTGAGATCGCCTTTGCCAATTCATCGTGTCGAACATTGCTTCATTTCTGCCACATGGTGGCGTCCCATTACAAACTGATATGGTCGTGGAGCAGTGGCACAGAGGGTATCGCACCTAAAGACATGAGTTAAATTCCGGCCTGTGGCTGAAATCAGTGGCGAATGATATCGGAACCAGTTCTGGGCACCACACCCTACTGACCATGACTGACAGTGGCGAGGCCTTCATCGAGGTTGTGCTTGAGTAGCATTAACTTGACAAAATAATCCCAATCCAATCTTGGATCAACTGCAGGATCGCACTCGCCATCTTCACGATCCTTCAAAGACTCCTTCCTGCTGACCTCTGCCTTATCATCTCACTTTGCTCAACTCCACAGACTCTCCAACCTTTCCCCTCTCATGTCGCCCTACTCCCCCCTGCGTGCACTCTCCGCTCCAGAAATCAACGCTTTCTATCGAACCAGGTTACTCTTTCTCCTCTGTTGACAACACGGTCTGGAATCCTCTTCCTCCAACTATTCGTGCTATTCACTCCATGCCCCTGTTCAACTCCAGACTCAAGGACCCTTCCTCGTCTCCTCCAGTTTTAAATGACAGTTTCTTCCTCTCCATAAAATAGGAGCGGATTATGCCTCCCTTTCCCCAGGATGCCCAAGTCCCTCTGCTTCTGCGCAACGTCGTGAGCTATGGTCCTGTCTGTGCGCTATGTAAATCCGAACCCTGTTGTTGTTCTTGTTGTGCTGTGCCTGCGCGCGTGCCAGCAGGCGCATCTCGTATGGCACGGCTCCGCGGCCTGCACTCTCATCTGACAGTGACAGCAAGGAGGACGGGGAGACGGCGGAGCTGGAGGAGGAGCAGAACGGAGACGCCGTGTCCAACGCAGGTAGCAGCAAACCTCCCCTCGTCACATTTTCGCTCCCCACTCTACACTACAGTGACCCAGCAGTGCCGCTAGTATTACAAAACTATAAACTATTTTTTATTTTACCAGGGGAGGCCCACTGAGCTATACAGCTCTTTTTAAATCCTTTATATTAAGTTTGCATGCTTGCTTGCTTGCGTGCTTGCTTGCTTGCGTGCGTGCTTGCTTGCTTACGACCGTGCAAATCTTTCGGTCGTTTTTTAACCCATTTCCCGTGATCCAATCGAGCTGACATTTTCAACACAGACTCGTTGTGCCAGACAATGTTCGTGAAAAAAAATTCCCAAAATTTTACACTTTTTAGGCAAAAAAAATTTACTTTACATATATTCAAATAGAACTCATTCATCGCTTTGGCTGAACATCACAGTATAAGAGCCCAGAGCGTAACCCCTCCACAGGCCGTGGCGGAGTAGCGCAGTTGGTAGCGCCCTCGCTTCCCATGCCAAAGGTCGCGGGATCGATCCCCGCGTCCTCCACAGGCGAATATATTTTTAAATCCTTTATATTAAGTTCGCTGCCACGCATATAAAGGATTTATAGTGAAAAACTTTGTTTTTACGGGTTATACTTATTCAGAAACGACATTGCCACAAATCAGAGCTCAACGAAGTGGAAATTTATAGCAGCCAAATACCCTCAATGCTGCGTGTTTCTAAAAAATGTGGAGGGGAAAACCGGAGGACCCGGAGAGAAATCCACATGACCACGGGGAGAACATTAAAAGTCTAAATATGCAGGCTATGGTGACCCAGCAGAGTCGCTCGGAGCAGCAGTCATAGTGTCTCATTTTTACAGCCATGGTGTCAGCTGCCTGGGTCTCCCTCCATTTCTGTCCATGGCAGGCCCCCCCCCACCCCTTCCTCCCGTCCTTGCTGTCACCCCGGCAATTGTAATGTGCCCATGTCTATTATCATTTCTTCTCATCTTCCTTCTTCCTCTCCTTCCGCTAATTTCCTTGTGAATGTTTCCCTGCTCAATCCGCACCGCATGGCTCAACTGTCTGGGCCTCGCGTCCCGCGCTTTCTCTACGATACTTCGTTACCCATGCTTGTTTTCTAATACCCTCTCGTCTCTTTGCATCTCTTTCTGTTACTCCGGTGTTGCATCGCAGCGTGAGCGTTTATGCTTTTTTCAAGCAGTTTCTCTCTGCTCTCATCATGTACAGGCACATGAATCTCCTTTAATCAAGTCTCGATTAGTTGGTATTTTTATGCAGTTGTGGGCCACGTTTAGCCATTTATAGATTATTTTGGCTTAAACCTATTCACTGACTTAAATCATTCACAAAATATAATGGACGTATAACGTTTATCATGTTTGCAAGCATGATAAGTGTTTCTTGTAAGGACTTATAATATTTGTTTTATCTGTCCCATAAAGTTTCTATCAATAATGTCGTGGTAAACCCAGTAATGATTCTAGTGGGACTTTCTGCCTTACAGATGTGGATCCGGACATCGATGACCCCTTCAGCGTCACCCACCTTCCGCTCTGGGCCCAGAAGCAGGTCAGAGGTCATTCTGCGTCATCATCATCGGCCATTATCTATCCACTGGTGGATGAAGGCCTCCCCACACTGTTGCAGCCTGTTGCGCGTTCCAGTGCTGCTCCCGTAATTTCCGTGTCGACAACTCAAAACTCGCCATGAGAGGGAGCGATTTACCGAGTCGCGAGGTGGCGGCTCTAAGTCAACAGATTTGTAACTCCTAAAACTGCTAGGCTGTTAAGTGATCACAAGGTGGCAGTAGAGCAATGAACTTTTTGAATCTTATCTGTGTGAGTTCGAATAATAGGATTTTACTTGGGAGCTCCGAATTTACCAACACGGAAACCAAACTTTCAATTAATTAATTAATTAGATAAATTTACCAAACATCAAAATGCAGTAGGATGCCCCTGAATAGGACTTGAGACTCCGTGAGGCTTTCCTCGATAATTAAATTCTATGTTGCTGTGTGCTAAATGGTGTCGGGCTTATTTGAGCATGGGGTATTACTGAACCCCTATTTATAGCCCTGAGGTTGTAAGAGGGAATTCTACATTCCAATGGCATGAGAGCCTATCCATTAAACTACCACCGGTTGGCGTTTCCTTACTGTGATACTGAATCATAACATTTTGGAGTGCTGAGTTGACATTGCTCTTGTTGTTCATATGGATAACAGTTCTTTCAGGTGGCCGTTAGGTGGCAGTACAGCATTGTGAAGTATACTCACCGGAAATGAAATCACACGGCTGTTGATTTTATTGTGGGGACATCGAAAGGCCTTCATCCAGCAGTGGATTGACATAGGGCTGTAACAATATTGTGAAATCAATAACGGTGCTATGAGATTGCCATCATATGGCTATAAAAGATGAGACTTTCTTGCCAAATATAAAAACCACACCTATATCCTCAAATTTACCTATGAAAGACTGGCATCGTAACAGTACTACAAAGTGACCGTTAGTTGGTAGTACAGCAAGTGTTTATTTCTAGATTTGAAGCTTTCGTGACTGCAAGGATTCATATTCTTAGGTTTTTTCGGTAAAGTCACGTAGGTAAAGTCACGTAGGTAAAACATCAAAATTTTTATTAATTTTGATGTTTTACCTACGTGACTTTACCGAAAAAACCTAAGAATAAGTACAGCAAGTGGGTTACGGATCTGCCTCTGGTGTTAATTTAGCGTATTTAATTTAACTCTATTAATTGTCATAGTCTTGTCGTCAGAAACCTGTGGCATGTTCGTCAAGTCTTTGACCCATATACTTGATCATGCTTGGCTCTGGCTCAAGTGAGCTGGCTCAAATCAATGCTTAACTTGATCTGGTGTGCAGAGAATGGGCCCAGCCATGCTCAGAATGTCCATGAACCTGAGCCTAAGCCACGCCTGAGTCACTGGTCCTTCTTTGAAAGCAACTGAGCGGTTCAAGCCTGAGCTTTGTGGTGTTAGAGGCCCAGCCAGAGTGGAGCTGTGATTAAGAATGTGCTCCTTAGTTGGTGGATTACATTTAGTCTCTCTTAGTCGAGTGGAATGAAGCAGCCAATTTTTTAGTCCACTCATCAGGCCAGCCAATCGGTAAACTCGATTAATGGTTTTTATATACTGGATGTATAATGTAGCCAAATACTGTTCTGGTCTTCCTGAGTGCACTGCAGTTTCTCATTGTGTCCCAAGAATTATCTTAGTTTTCATCTTAATTCAGACTACTGTATTCTTTAGATTGTAAGATGCACTGCTTTCCTTGTACAGTATTTAAAAGCTAGTGCTGAGGATACATCTTATAATACAGTCTCTTTCTGTGAGTGACCATATTTGTGTAATCTTGATTTGAAGCTTTCGTGACTGCAGGAATCCATACTCTTTGGTTCTTTCGGTAAAGTCACGTAGGTATAAAATAAAATAAATCACGACGTTTCGATCGCAACACAAGCGATGATCGAAACGTCGTGATTTTTGTGTAACTTTGTTGACACCGGGCACAAGTTTTGGGTGCGTCTTCCTTTCCCTTGTCTCATAAGCCAGAGACCATGGTAGTAAGCTCCGTATCCTCTTAGTCATGCTTTGATCTCTGGTGGGTAGTTGTAATCGTGATCGTAACACCTGAATATTTTTAGTCCATTCTTATTCATCGTTGACTAAAATAAAAGACACACTTTTTTTTACACAAATATTTGCATCGGTTAATTCAATTAACACTGCCCGCGCCCCGCTCTCCCCACCGGCCTGCCAGGTTCTGGATGACAACTCGCTGCCGAGCCGCGACAGGAACCGAAGCCCCGGCGGTTCCGGTCCTCCGCGGCGGCGCTGGGAGCAGCGGGCGCAGGCCGTCAAGTCGATGCTGGACCTGCGCGAGCTCGAGATGGAGCACGACTCGCCGCCCTCGAGGCCTGAGCACGACGACGAGCCCCCCACCCCCCCGCTGCGGAACGGCACTACTGCGCCGAGGTCGACGCCGCCGCTGGGAGGGCCCGGTGCCACCACGGGGATCGGCTCCCTGGACGAGAGGAAGCTCTTCATCCCGTCCAACGTGGAGATGCTCATGAATGAGGTGCGCAGTGTTGTTTTTACTAGCTGCTGGGGGCATGGTGACCCTTTGTGTGTGTGTGTGAGGTGGCTCGATGGTGGCAGCGCTGAGCTAGCACCACTTGGATAGAAGGTAAAGGGGAGGGATAGCGTCGCGGTTAGCGTGCCGCGCTACGAACCCGGCGACCAGAGTTTGATTCCCGCTCACGGCCAACACCAGTGACGATTATCTGAACCAGTTCTGAGCCCTCCTGTAGGTCGACTCGTCTCAAATGAATACCTGGTGCAGCGTATATAAACATCACCACTGGGGAGACAAAGGCGGCCGTGCATAGTATTGGCCACCCATCCCTTCGTGTGCCGTGCCGGCCTTCATAGATGCTCGCGCTAACAGCACTTGCTTAAACAGTCTGTTCAGGCTATACGTGAGGTCTTTGTATTTGTGCACTTTTGACTTCACGGTTCGTGTTCGCACAGCGTGCGTTGTGTGCGTGGAGCAGCGTCGGTGTTGCGGCTGTGCCATTTCTACATCTGCTCGCATAGGTCGAATGCCGCGTGTGGTAACGGGTCAGATATTTATACCTCGGCAGCTGGGAAATATGTTAGTGTGTGGCTTTTGGTTTTTTTTGTCTGGCATATTTTATAATGAGCGAGAGATGTTTATGCCTGCATAGACGTCAACAGCTGTTTCCATTTGCCTCTGGATTTGGATCTTAATACCAGTGCTTTCATTTTTAGGTGTTATTTTTTTTATCATAGTTCCTATTAATATCGTCATCATCATCATCATCATTTTTAGCCATGATTGGGCCCCTACCCGTTGCCATCTTTCATGGTATCATGATGCCAAAATACAATGAAGCCATGTCATATAAGCTAATTTCATTGCTCCATCTTCATGGGTCACACTCTTTCTCACCGGTGTGCACTCCTTTGGCTCCCTCTTCCTCGTTAGTCTCGACAAGACCAGCTTAATTTTCTCAACAGTCCGTTTTAAGTCTCGTGTATGTGTTCCCCAAGCCATTTTCTTCTTCCCATCTCCCGGTGTCATTTCCCCTACCCGTCTGTGTTATTCACTCCTATATCTGTGATGATCTTTTTCGTTCTACAATGTATCACGCACGGTGAAAAATGCAAAATAAGCAATCGTTGTTCGTTAACGATACAAGAACACACGATTGGATGCAGGCTATAATATCACCAAATGCGCGTGGGAAAAACAACAAAACAAACAGCGGTATCCATCTCGACGCTTAGCGTGCGGAATTAAGTCAAGGAAGGGAAACGCAAAAACAAATAAAGCAAAGCCGCGTCCCCGCCCCTCCTGCTGTATACTGCATTTTCCAGATTGTGAGATGCTTTTTTTCCCGCACTGTTAAAATAAATGGGGGGGTGCATCTTATAACTCGGTAGTTGTGTGCGACGAGACTTGTTTTAACCCTTGTGATTGGGCATGCGTTACGAGGGTTGCTTCTTACATTCACGGTGATCGCGCGTAATGCACCGACGGTGTGGGAAAGAGAAAAACGCCAATCTAAGCGTGGCTTTGTGGCGTTTGCGTTTTGAGCGTATGACAGCTGCTTTCCGAGGGGGGATTATTTCCCCAGTGGGTCAGGAGATCGTGTTGCTCGCCGTGCATTCCCGGTAACTTGTGTTTGTGTGTGCACTGCACTTGCGGTGATTTACTGCGTCGGCACCACGAAATATCTCCCGATTGTTCGCGAGGCTGCTTTTCAATTTTTTAATCCTTTATATTAAGTTCGCTTGCTTGCTTGCTTGCGTGCTTGCGTGCTTGCTTGCTTGCTTGCTTACGACCGTGCAAATCTTTCGGTCGTTTTTTAACCCACTTCCCGTGATCCAATCGAGCTGACATTTTGCACACAGACTCGTTGTGCGTGACAATACATTTTCGTGAAATTTTTTTTCCAAAACTTTACACTGTTTAGGGAACAAAAATTTAAATATTTAATTACCAATTGCTTAATGGTTGCAGACAATCATCTGACCCATAGGTGGCAGCCATCTCAAGCCAGAGGACGAGAGGACTCTAGCCTCCACGCATATAAAGGATTTATAGTGAAAAACTTTGTTTTTACGGGTTAATTTTTTACTCGTGGGAACATGCTGCTCTCGGTCCGAGGATGATGATGATACGGTCTTGCCGGCGGATAATTACGCTCGCCGTTTGATAACGAGCCATAACCGAACGCGGAATTAATTTCTTGCTCTGCACATTCAGCTCTGACTCACGGTGGATGATACGTAAAAAAAAATTAAAACCCTAGCTAAGTTGAAAACGGATAATTGGATATTTCTTTAGAAGCACAGTTTCGCAGATGGCTCTTTTGAAAATTGATAACGAATCTCTATTGATATATATAAATAATTACGACAACTTTTTTCCCTTTGCCACACCACTGTTGGAGGAAGGCCCTCCCCATGTCTTGCCCGCCCACGAGGGTTGTTTGACCATACTTCCAACACGTGTGTGTAAAACGTGGATTGGTGAAGGGGGGATCACAGGACCTGTTCGGATATCATTAACCACTGATGTTAGCCACATGACCAGGGCTTAAACCGAGGTTGCCAGGTTCATAGCGCAGTGTGCAAACCACTGGTCACCACTCCACTCGCGGTGAAATAGATGATCGGTATCCTTCATTTAAGCCAGGTGAGAGTCTGATGAGCCTAAACATCTGTTTGTTTTAACAGAGATCTGCTTCACAAAACCATTAAACAATTAACATTGCTTGAGTGCCACAAAATTGAACAATGAACACCAAACAGCGCTTAATAACTGAATTAACAATAACAGTACTATAATACAACATCTAACGATGACATTTACAAAAAATTTCACTTAATGTCTTTTGAGATTAAATTTACCTGTGGCATAGGGTGGGTAATCGTAACATTTAGCGGTTGTTTTTTTTATTCGTCATGAATTGACAGCTGTTGGTGTCTGTGTGCCCGTCCTGGGTGTCTTGTTCGTGGGTGTGGCTGTGAGCGCATCTCACGACTCTCCTTTCAGTCTGGGGGGTTGGGTAATGGCTAGAAGGGGACAGTGTCTGAGGGTGGGGGTTAATGGACTAAGCATGCTTTTGGCGTTGGTCAGCTTCATAGAGAGAGGCGGCGGTCAGCATCGTTCACAAAGCCCCGCTCGGCCTGAAGAAGCCTCAAGCATGCCTGGCGAATCTGATACCAGCCGGCTGCTACTGATGTGGCTGTGCGCTCTGCTGCTATTGCCGCTGCTGGTGTTGTCGTGCGTGGCGCTGCCGCACGTTTGCTGCTGCTACACGACAGCCGCCTGTTCCGCAGATTGATGAGTGAGCATTACAGCTGCACTCACTGACGTTTATCGTCGTGTTACTTTCTCGCTCTAATTCACCGTTTGGCTGTGTGCTCAACGGAGACTTGTGTGGAATGAGGGGCGTCTCGAGCAACATCCGGTGACAAAAGTCGCACAAGGTAGCACACCAGGAATAAAATAAAAATAACTTAATCGTAGAGCTATGTCTGCTGATGGGCAGGGCACTTTACACACACACACAAAAAACAAGGGGCTTCACTTTCCACCCGGATTACCACAGGGAGAGTGCTTCCATTAATAAGATATGAGCAACGGTGCTCCCTGCCAACTTGATAGGGTCCAGCGCTAGAGCGGGGAGACGCACAAACCCGTGCGCAGCCCGTTGGGCTGAACATCCCCCAAGAGTTTGCGGTTGGATCCTTTTGAAGTCGCAAGTCTTGCCTGGCCTTGGAAACTCTTTAATCTGAGAGGTTAGTAGCTTCACTGAGCAGTTTAATCCTGCGAGTTTCCTTCAAATTTGACGGACCCTTTAACCCCGGGATACTGCCCGGGGTCTGAGAGATGGTCCGGCATGATGATGTCGTTGGTGTTACACACGTTGCAGAGTTATGTTTTTTGTTTGCATTATGACTGCAGGTATTGTGGTCTATGCAAACATGACTCCTCGTAAAAAAGGTGTCAGTTTTGTTGCCAGATAAAAGGGTAAAAAAACAATTATCACTTTGCAGGCTCTTGCGTGACTTTGCAACAATACGTGTCGTGTCAGGGATCGACAAGTCATCGTCTGTGAGCAAATATATGTCGCTGTTACTGCAAGTCTTTGCAGACCCGACAACTCGCAGAGTGCTTCAAGGCTACATGCTGAGGTTAATGGAGTTTGTTGTCTGTGTTTGTTTGACGAGTAGAAGTTGTCTTTGTTGAATTTCTGTGGTTTTATGTCGTGAGCTTTGTGTGTAAGTTGCAATGAAAAAAGCAAGGTCGTTGCTCAATTATTCCACAAAACATTTATTTTGTAATTACAGAAGAGGTTGGGCATTTAATTTGCATGGTGTTGGCTGTACGCCGTTCGTGCTGATACGGGCCGAGCGAGATTTGGAGCGACGAATGAACTTGGGCGGGAAATACGCTCGCGAGGTTTTGTGTTGCGGGTTGCCGGGAGCAACGACAGGGAGCTGGGCTTTTGAATCTTCTCGTCACAGAGAAAGAGGTGGGGATGGGGGTCGAGGAGGGAGAGGGGAGGTCGGGCTGAGGGAAGACGTGTGAAAGGCCGGCATTCCAAAGCCCTTTGCTGCGTTGTTCCATCGCCGAGCAACCAGGCCCCACCGTGCCCGCTCATTATCAGAGGAGCAAGTGCATTGGCGCGAAACATGATTCGCTTGGAATAAAGCCCTTTTATAACTCGCCGAGCCGCGAGACTGCAAGGCTTTATCGCCACATTGCAGACGAGGTCTGGTGTCTCGTGAAGCTCCGCGAAGAAACTTTATCAGTAGTGGCTGCATTTTCCAAGTAAGTGTTCTTTTCGTTTGTTAAATAATGTACTGTGTTGCCATTACATGTGTTGCCATGGTTGTGCTGCCGTGCAGCTCTCTGATGTGTTTTTTCGGGTTGTACTGCGCATTATACGGCATGATGCTCGACGTTTCGCTTCACTTGCTGAAAGCTTCTTCAGGAGGTGAATGAAGTTTCTGAAAAAGTTCCCAGCGCAGGAACTAAATTAATTTCCTGGAACGTGGAGGGGAAAGTCTGACTTCGTGCCAAGCGACAGGAAAACACATGCGCCTCATTGAAATGCAGAGTTTTGGCTTTTATTGTCTTGACCTCAGCGATACGATAGCTGATATAACGCACAACTGAAATACGAATCGTTTCATTGGCCTTGTCATGGTTCTTGCGGCTCTAGTCTTTGGACATCGTGGTTGTTGTTGTTGTTGCTTGGTGGTTTACCATCGCCGTTTTTGTGCCTGGGCGACCTATCCGATGTTCATCATCATTTTGTCAACTCTGGTTCTGCTGCTGTTGACGTGCGGCGGTCAAGTGCCCGGCGGTTCACCGTCGCTGCGTTTTTGCCCTTGCGCCCGTGTGTGCGGTGGCAGATGAAGGTGTCGCACTCGGAGCCACGCGCCGCCGAGCGGTGCGAGCGGCCGAGCTCGCTGGCGCTGCTAGCACCGCACCCCGAGCCAGGTGCGACGCAGGGCATCACGCCGGACGTGGAGCCCGAGATCCTTTTCCCGGCACAAGGCGACGACGTCTCCATCACCTCCGAAAGGTGGGGTGCTCACGATGACGATGATGACGATGATGACGATGATTATTTTGGTGATTCATGCATCGGGCATAGTCAACGAAGGACCGTTGCGGCAAACGTGTGACTTCTTGCGACAGCATTTGCATAAATTGCTCTTGCTGCCATAGCGGTGTATCGAGTCATTTGTTTGATCCACGTATCACAGGGGCGACCACGGATGGCGCCATTCTTTTAAGAGTCTCAGTCCGCTTCAAACGTCAACTTCCAACTGAATGAAGTGCACAGTGTTGGCGATGCTGATGGTTGATTGCTGGTGGTGATGACGAGCTGTTACTGCTTTTGATAATGACATTAATTGTGGTGGTGGTGGCGGTTTTGACAGTGATCATGATAATAACTATTGTGATCATGGCAACAATTTAAGATACTGATGGTCCTGCTAATACAGCCCCTGCTGATGCCACTGCTGCTGATAATGATGGCGTTTCTACCGATGTGTCTGATGATGATGATGGTCCTGTTGCTGTTGCTTCAGATGACTATATTGATGATAATAAGTTGTGGTAGTTGTGATGGTGGTCTTGCTCTTGCTGACGATGATGGTAATGGTAGTCGTGGTGTTTCTGCTGCTCCTGCTTAGGTGGTGGTTATTCGAATGTTATAGTAAACAATATACATTTTTAATACCATTATTCATGCAACTTGCATCTCAATAAGCTGAACATTGTGGCACCACATTAGCATAACATTTTTTAAGAAGATCACCAGAGGGATACAAATTGAACAGGATCAATGGCACGGGAGTAAACACAACACAAACTCGTGTGAGCACCACAGAGAAACCATACGAACAGGACGAGCAGTACAGGGATAAACGCAACATGAACTTTTACGCATATATGTATATTTAATTTTCGCACCAAACCTAGCCAAGCGTGCTAATCGGAGGTGCGGGGGAAGGACAACAAACTATACACAAAAATCAGTTTTTAAGAAATTAGTTTTCATATAGATTTTAAAGTGCATAGCTCCAGTGGCTTCCTAATATCGGAAAGGAAGAACATTCCAGGCAGTAAACTCTTGAGCGACCAAGCATGGGAGAGAAAGTACAGGGAATGGGCACGAAGGTGTGCAAAGGACCATACCTGGAGCATCATTGTGCACCTCACCTGAGCTCAGAAGTCCCATCGCAGGAGGTGGCAGCAATAACACATGGATTTTACCATTGCAACAGCCCCTGCCAGACCAGCACAGCGGACAGATTTCCCCCAGAACCTCACAGCTGCTGAGTGAGGTCTGCTTTTGAGTTTAGGAACTTTAAGTCTGCTTGGATCAGCTTTATCCGACAGCCTCTGTGCCCAGAGGGTACCACTTAATTGTCTCACCAGTGGTGATGTATTTTGAAAGGCGAGCGATCATCACGAGCGACAGAGTGTTTCCTCCGCTTTGAATTATTAACAATGCGAGCACATTTTTTTCTCTGATCGCCATCCAGTCAAGTCCATTGACGCGTGGCAAACACAAACTGGGTAAACGGTGATTAACAGAGTACATTGTCAAAGTTGCCGCGAGCCGATGAATTAACAGCTGAATACATTCATACAGTGGCTCTTATGCCCACTACAGCAATTTGTTTCCTGCTGTGGCTGTTCCACCTGATGACGGAAGCTTGTGTTGCTTCCGAAACGTTGTGGTTTGATTTATTTTTAATTTATACCTACGTGACTTTACCGAAAGAACTAAAGAGTATGAAATGTTTTTATCAGGCGTCGAGAAGGGAGCCGTAGTGTGGTGGTTAACACGCTGCACTACAAACCCGCTGACCCGCATTCGATTCCCACTCACGACCATTATCAGTGACGAATATATAAAAAACGGTCCTGGGCCTCCCCTAGGTCGATTCGGCCTTAAATGAGTACCTGGTGTGGTGCATAAACATGAGAACCGGGGAGACAAAAGTAGTGGACAGCAATATCTAAACTCTTTTTGGGTTTACTCGACGTGGAACTCGGCCTTACATTCTTCACCTTGTGTGGAAGCAAAGCGACATGCCAGGTGTTGTTGTCAGACTTTCAAAGGTGTTCGCTATCAGCACTCGCCAAAACAGTCTATAAGTATAAAGGGGGGACTTTGTCTTTGTGTGCAGCGAATTCTTGGTGAAGGAGGCTCCCAAGGACCAGCTGGTTATGACTGCACACCGGCGGGCTGGTGGGCATGACGCACGCAGCCCGGACAGCGCCTGCTACGCCAACAGCCCAGCGTTTAGCCCACGCCGTAGGCTCGATGGTGAGTGACTTGTGATGTGGCCCACGCAGCCGCTAAACCCTGCACCTTAAAACACCATCAACCACAGTGGATGAGGTTCGAGGGGTGTAATAATGGCTACTGAGATTGAGAGTTTAATAGAAGAAAGTTACACTGATTGGCCGATGAACAAAGATGGTTTTTCCACTGCAGAAGCCGAGCTGTGCCGTTAACGTCACACGTAATGAACGTGTCATTAGCCTAGCCCCTGGTCATATTCAGATGTCTCGTGAGGCCAGCGTATCACAGTTTGGTTCTGCCTCGGCATACCAAAAAGCCAATGTAAAAACCACGTGTACCGTGAGGGCCCCACACTGGCTCAGCTTGGATACACCAGTGGAAAAGCAGCATCGAATGTCGTCTTCTCGTTGTCATTTACAGACTCGTCACTGATATGCGACGGGAACTCGTCAGAGGACGACGACGAGGAGCCGACACGTAGCACGCACTCCGACCTCTCTCCCGTCACGCCCGACCATGATCGCTACCACAAGTACTTTGGTGATTCTGGCGCCGACACTCCACTCTCCGCCGAGACCAGCGGCTCCCGGGGCCCTCCGAGGTCCGGGGGTGAGACGACGACGGCCGCGGCGGCGGCAGGGGTGGGCACGCCACGGCACAGCATCACCACCAAGTTCCGCAACAATGCCCGCAGCTCGCCCAGCAGGTTCGTGTCGGTGTTGGTGCCGATGGTTTTACCCTCTACGCATTGCGATGATGTGTAATGGGTTCGGGGTCATCGGGGTGGTCAGGTTGCAACTTTATTGGTGGAATGGCCTTCGCTAGAAGGAACTTTCGCCAGGGATTTAAGAAACTAGCCCACCATTGTTTTAGCTGCTGTGTTAATTGCTCAAACCATCGACCTCTGGATTGCAAGCCCAGTGCTAACCACTACACCTGGACAGCATCCACAATTTGCATAACACTTGTTATTAATCGATGAGTCCTATAATTCCTACTGAAATTGTTTGGCGGCAGTGGCACTTTCAGCACCTCGTGGGTCCAATTGTGGCCGAGAAAAATTTCTGAAATTGCAACGAGCATCTAATCTGGCTTCACAGCCTTTGTGCTGTATCGCAACAGGCTGTGACTGATTTTGCATGCGAAAACATTCGCTCAGAAACGGATTGTCCAAATCTTGCGAGGTTGTATCCACTCCATCGCTGAGTCGTGAACCTTTGCGAGGCTGTCATGAGCAAACACTGTGTATCACCAACAGGTCATCAGACCTTGGACACCTTACCATGTCCTTACATTTAGTGAGGCTTTTCTGGTAAAATATTTGACTTGCGGAATTTCTATTATGACACTATACGATGGGCCATACTCTTGACAAATGTTCCATTTTGTCAGATTTTCCACCACTCTGCCTTTGTCTCCATTCCTGCTGCTCAACTTTAAAATTCCCTTAATTTGTCTCTTTTTCGAAGTTGTGTTTACCAAGCGTGCTCTTTGTTGCTGGCTGCTTGGCGTATTAGTCCTCTGGTTAGCAGCTATGAATTAAAAAAGGGGACATCCCGAGGGTGATGCGTTTGTGTGTTGGCCGTTTACTCAAGGTGGGCATAATTACCCAAGATGCAGTGGCAGTAAAAATATCTGACGTATTATTATTCCAAGCAGTTCTTGAGAAAGTTAAGGTGTTTTAGCACATTGCTATAATGAATTTTGGCATAACTAATTAATTTAATATTTTACATAAATATTGTAAATTTGAAAGTCAGTGAAACCTGTGCACGGCATCTTAACAGGTTGTATTTGCAAATATTGAATTTGCAGTTGAACTTCACACAGATAATTACACAGATAATTTCACAGATGGGGATGATGCTGAATAACCGCTGGTTATTGGGGAGTGTCAGAAAGCATAGATTTAACATCGATTCTTAAGTTCATGATACATTTGTCGAATCGAGCCTCCGAGACTCGGGCAATATGAATGAGACGACATTAAACTGGAGTAAACCATGTGGGAAATACATAGGGGGAAATACATAGGAGATGGTATGAACAAGATGTATCATCACACTGGCTGGCTCAGCTTGGATGCACCAGTGGAAAAGCAGCATTGAATGTCGTCTTCTTGTGATCTACAGACTCGGCACTTTGAACTGACAGACAGTATGAACAAGAAAATGTATCATCTTGTTTATACTGTTTTGTCAGTTCAAACTCATTACCAACCTAGAACCATTACATGTCTCCTGGCCTCAATGTGTTTTTTTTTTATATAGCGATGTCTTTTGGAGGCTTGTGGCACTTAACTTTTGTGTGTGTGTCTGGTGGTTTCGTTTTCCCCCGACTCTTAAGGAGTTCACCGTCAAGCCCAGCAAACTCGGTCACCACAACTACGCTTCCACAAAAGGACAGAGCTCCCACAAGGAAGCCCGTTGAAGTAAGTTGATCATAATGACAAGTGTGTTTTTATTTTTTTATTTCGTAGTGTCGTTCACGCAAACTTCATCTTATCATCCATAATATAGGTTTGTTTTGGGTTAGATCGTGTAAATATGCGATCTAACCCAAAAAAAACCTATTATGCATGATATTGATCACAAAAAGCCTACGTATTAAACTGCATCTTACGACGTTGCACAATCCACAAATCACGGGGTCACGTATGGACTCATGTTTTCAGCAAATTGATAAGTATATATAAGTCGTGTGTGGGAGGAAACCAAAGCACCTGGAGAAAACCCACGTGCATGAGAGGACAACACACTCCCATGTAGATGGGGGACAGATGAATATCACCTGTCCCCCATGTAGATGGGGGACAGGTGATATTCATCCTCACTTTGCCATACCACCATCTCCTGGTGAGCCAGAGTAAGGTTGTTCCTTGACAGCCATGGGAAGGAAGTTTTACAAAATTTATTTAATCTGTTAGCCCCCTCGCCTTCACAGTGCTGGCTTACAGGCGTGCATAGCCACCTTTATCATATCTGATTAATTCACTGATGGATGAAGGCCTCCCCAAGCAATCGCTGTCTCGCATGGTCCTGTATTTAAACAAAAAAGTTAATTTTCCCAAATTCTTATTCGAATTTTGCTGTCCACTTCATGAGACGGAGAAATATTCGTTTGGAATATTGACATAGCAGTGCATATTGCCCCGCATTAGAGACTGGCCAGTGGAAGGAGATATCAGAGAACTACTGCTGAGGTTCTGCCGAGTGATCTCATATCCACACTAGAGGGCACTGCACCTTCTTACATGCCTTGCTACAGAGGTTAATCACATTACAGTTTAACGAAAATTATACATTCTTAAAAGTGGGAAATATTATTGCACTAACAAGCGTGCTGTAAAGTATGGTCAAACAACCCTCACAACAAACATGGCATGGAGCAATTGATGAAAACGATTATTTGGTGAAAAAACTAATTTAATATGATGGTTTAATATGATGGTCATTGGTGACCATCATATTACATTTGAGAACCCGCTTTAATCACCGCTGGTTGAAACTTAGATTATTCAAAACCAGGATATGAGTGGAGCAGAATTTGACCCACCTGGTCACCTGTTATTGTTGCACATATGCTTCAATTAAATCCCCCAAACCATTCTGTGGAACTAGCACTTAATTGCAGTTAATTATAATATCTCCCGATGGTAATTATGGGATTTAGAGGTAATATAAGATCAGCGATTGCCGATGAGTCGATAATTCACATTAACAATAAGCATGATGTCAGATTGAGGCAACTGAGGTGGTCATTTCTCATTTATTTAATCGATGGAATTGACAAATGCCTTTATTTAGAATGGCATGAAAATCCATAGCTAAGGAAATTAACTTATGCGGTGCACTGGCAAACATCGGCAAGGGAGCGTTGGAGACTCCCAATCGTAAACATCAGACTTTTGTTTCGAATTAAGCGTGCTTACATTTGTTTAAACGGAGATCCCACCCAAAGCACAATTAGTGCTTGTAATTACCTACCAAGGCTGTTCATCCTGGGCTGTCTCACAAGAGTTAGGAGCTGCATTCATGAGGTATTGCTATGCATGCCATTATAGCAATAGAAGCATGCTGGGAAAAGCCTTCTGCACACTGATTTACGTCTCCCCCTTTAATCTCGTTTTGCAAACACGTCCTCACTTTATTAATACCGCTGCCTGATTTGCGTCGCCTTAAAACACACTTGTCTTTTGCCTCCAGCTACCCTGTACACGAACCACGTTGTGTCGCGCATAAAGAAATGTACTGTACTATAGAGTACAATATATTGTACTCGATGAGTACAGTAATTCCACGAAAGCTTCAATTCTAGATTAGTACAATATATTGTTTGTGCAGTATGTTGATTATTTCTTATAGTGTATTGTATCTTATTGTACCCCTGTATAATTTGTGTTAAATTTGCACTGCTGTCCACGAGTGTTTACACTATTTTTAGTAAATTATTGTAACGTTGTGGGTACATGTAGGATGACGATGCGCACATGAACACAGCGTAACCATTCAATCTCCGTTGTCTTTGTTTAGCTCTCGTGGAAAAATTGCTCTGATTGACATTCTTTTGAAATTCAGCGCACCCTTCAGAAATGCATCTCTGATGTAAACTGGGGTATTACTGAACCATACGCTGCCCATCCTCTTGTAATCATACTCAGCAGCAGCAGCAGCAGCTTGTAAATCGAAAGGTAATATTCATTGCTAGATCGCAGGATTGCGAGATATGGTGATGGCTTTGAGAGGCCTTCTTCCAGCAGTGGATTGATCATGGCTGATACATTTTTGTTTTAATCACCATTGTTGAGCACAGGCCCAAAGGCCCAAAACACCAAATGGCCACCAACAACTAGCACTGCACTAGTGAAGGTGTAAGACATGAGATTTGAAGAGAGCAGTCGTGTAATCCGTGTCGTATCTTCCTTTTCAACGATCCGATCATTGCCGATGCTGCTTTCCTCAATTTATCCCAGTTTCCTGTGAAGTCGAGGCCAGGGGACCGGCGCACGTCGGGCGTGGTGGACAGGGCTGCCACCCCCCGGGGCCCACAGGTACCGGCTGCAAGCAGCCGGAGCCCCGCGGCAAGCGGTGCGGCCGACCGTCGCCGCACTCCGGGCCTGCCCGGCTCGGGGCGTCCGTCAGACGGGACGCCGACCTCGTCCGCGATGAGGAAGGCCGCCTCCATGTATGACCTCGCTCAAGAAGGTACGGAGGGTCGTCGCCACCGATCGCCTGGCACAAACGCTCGCTGCTCCGTGGCCTCTTCATCCTGTCGCTCTCCCGGGGTGAATCTGCTGCATATATCTGCTGCTGCTGTCCTGTGTAAACTTTTGGTTTCTGCGGTGGCGTCTCCTGGGCTGTGTGGCGAGTGTAGAAGAGCGGCGAGAAGTTGGTCTGTCGCAGAGCGGTTCTTCTGTGAGGATCAGCCCGTGTCGATGATTTGAGTGGTGTGAAGTCGACGTGTGAGCTGTGATGTTATTGATTGATCATCATCTCCGTTATCATTTATCTTCAGTGTTGTGTTTTTGTTTTGACATTGCGTGATTTAGTTAGACTGTAGTAATGTATATATTGTGTGTGTGTGTGGGGAGTGGTAGTGTAGTAGTTAGCGTACTCCTCTACAAACAGACCCAAGTTTGGTTCCCGCTCGCAGCCAATGTAGGTGACAAATATCTGAACCGGTCCCGGGCCTCCCCCAGGTCGCCTCAGCCTTAAATGACGACCTGGTGTGGTGTGTAAACATCAGCACTGGGGAGACAAATGTGGCCGAGCGTGGTGCTAGCCCACTTTACCCCTTCATGTGCCGTGTGGGCTTGAATAGGTGTCAGCTAACAGCACTTGCCCTAACAGTCTGCGAAAGGCTATATGGGGGATATTCATGGTAGTTTATTTTCATAATGAGGCGACTTGTTCATTAAAGACAAGCTGCTGTGTAACGTGTTTCTGGATGCGATTGGCATTTGAGAAGGGGGCGTCTGCAGACGTAATTGACTGAAATCGGGGGGGAAACCTCGCATCTGCTATTTAGACGGTGCGTAATTGTAGTTGCTGATTTTAATAACAGCATTTAACATAGGTTATGCGTAGTAATGTAGAAAGATTAATACCTTTCTGCATATTGTGTTGGTTTACAATTTCATTGAAATAATTTTTGTAATTGTGTGAATCGTGATTTTTTTATATTCCCGGCTTCCCTGAAACTATTATAAAATAATTTAAGTGTGTTAGAGGTTTGAACATATTTATACACACATTTGCTGATCTGTATTAAAAGTAGTAGCTCATTGTTCTTTTAATCATATATTGTAGTGGTGACACTTTGAGTGGAAAACCACAAGTCATTAAAAAATTCTGTGACATTGACAGCTAAATTTGCACGCTATATATAGACCTATTGCATAACCTAGTGCTCTGCTTTATTCTCACATACGACAAAAACCATGCATGCCCCTATTGTTTTTATACTCAACAGAGAAGTACTCATTGCATGCCGGCACAGCAAAGCCCCAAACACGCTCAGTGATAGGAGCTCGCGAGTCCCGTGCTGTCGAGCCCAAGCGATCACAACCGGCCCTTCCGCCAAAACCAGAGCCGCGAGCCATCGTCAGCCCAGCAATGCGGCAGATCGCAAGGAAGAAGGCTGCCGCGAGCCCCTCGCCCAGCCCCGCTTCATCCCTCGCCAACAGCCGCATGACCCGTAGCGTGTCCATGGGTGACGGCCTTAACTGCAAAAACTTTGGTGGCTCCGACGACGACGGGGAGAACAGCTCGGTGAGTGAAGATCTCTACCCCGTGAGAGACCCGGGTTTGAAGAGGCCTCCACCGCGGAGGTCGTATCACCCTTCCAGGCCAGCGCCGGGGTCGGCCTTCAAGTCACCGGCAACGTCCAAGTTAGCGCCATCGTCGATGAAATCCGCGCTGGTTGCTCCCTCCACTGTGGCTTCGCAGTCCACGGTCCGCACGGCGTACAGGACGAGCCTGATCCTGGAGCTCTCGAAGCCGCTCTCATCCCACATCAACACCGCATCCAACTCGGTGGTGCAAGTTACAGAGGTCATGGAGGAGTTCCCGTACGTGGAGCCTTCACGCAAGGCTTTGCCCGTGGGCCCTCGAGCAAATGCGGAATTCCATCGCCTCGACGCGGCGAAGGCTTTGGCTGCCGCCGACTTGTCGAAACTAGACTTGGACACCAGGGACCGTTCTTGGCTTGGGAATATGGCCAGAAAGGACCCTGTGCCCGAGAGCCATGAGAGCCTCAAGCCAAAATCTGGACGTGAGAAGCTTCTAAAATCATACAAAGGTTTGCTGTTGAGCGATCACTGTTTGTCGCAACTCTTGGTGATCTGCGCACGATGGTCTCGCTACTTGTGATCTTCCGCACCCTAAATCACGCGTAGACGTTAGCAGCGTCGCTGGATGTTCTGTGGCTGGAAGCGAAGCCCAATGGCTCCACCGCACTGAACATTCAGCACCTCTGCGTGCCCCAGCAGCTTCGCTTGTAGTGTGCTTGCCCTGTTTGGTGATTGATTTTAGGATTTGTTTCCCCGCCTGTAGTGCTGGTGCAACCTTTTCTCTGTTTTAATTATCCTAGTTCTGTTTTGTTCTTCTTCTTCTTCTTCGTGTTGATCAACGCATACCTGCCAGGTGTTGTCACATCGCAACTGCATCAAGGACTTCTCTGCACTTCTGCAGTTGTTAATGCACTACGCTATGAACCCAGAAACTTGAGTTTGATGTTTTGCTACAGCGAACATTAGTGGCATGTGATATTTGAACCGCTCCTGGGCTTCTCCCATTCACCAACCCGCATTGACCAATGTGGTTGAAGTAAGGTCAAATAAACCCCCACAACCAACACGATGTGGGGAGGCCTTCATCCAACAGTGGATTGACAAAGGCTTGTACTGGATAACCAGATTGTGTGATTTGTTTATTTCCATGCGGGATTTTAAGGAACGGTTTTTAATTGGCTCATTTACATTGCGAGTGGCCTTGGCAGGTATGCACACCTCACTGGATCACTTGGTGGTGGGTTCTGTCAACTCGTGTCTTCTCTTAGTGCCTCTCCTGATATTCCTGGGGTTTTAGATGTGGTCTTTCCAACATTTAAATCAATGTGACGTTTTGAGGATGGAAGTGTGTGTGTGTGTGCGTGAGTTACGTAGAATCTGCATTTTCAATCCCTGCTTGATTTTAAACATTGCTTTTTACAGAACTGGTGGTGAATGCGGAAAATTGTGAAGAGGCAGCCAATGACCTACTTCAGAGCTTACAGAAAGCCATCTTGCTCTACCACAAGGTGAATTGTGATACTACTGCATGGGTTTTCGTGCTTCTTATATATTGCTCTGATGCGTTTTAGAGCTGTACCATGTGTTGCTCCCTGTGATATCCGAACCTTTGCCTAACGTGTTAGCAGATTCTTCAGGAACTGAATTCCACAAGTGAAGCGAAATGTCAGACATCGTGCCAAATAACTCGTGGTTCAACCTGAAAACACAGCAGAGGGGTGAATTATAAATATTTAATAACGTGCAATGATTTTGCATTGGAAAATGGCAGTCCTGCATCACGAATGCCCAGTATATTGGAGACAGCAGCTCCCTGAAGACAAATCATGGTAATGTAAATAATGAAAATGCAAGGCCAGTAAGCCTGCAACGATTCAATGGATAGCAACAATTTTAGGTCACGATTATTTTTGATAATATATTATTGTACATTGTGGTCATTGTTGTGCGACCTCTTCTGGGGCCATTCTCTGTCACAGGTTGATGCACTCTGCTAGCTGCAGGTGTCGAATTGAGAATGTGTTCATCTCGTCACATGATGCCGACACTCCGATTGGAATGCAAATTGGGGGGTGGGAGGGAGTGGCAGGGGGGAAAAAGCAACAACAAAATTATAACAAATCTTGTCAAATAAATGACACGCTGGCACGGGATTCAATCGTTGCACATCTTGCCTTCGTTCGTCTAGATCCAGTCAAGCGAGACGCCGGTGGGCAGCAAACACCTGGCATCGGTACTCGCTGATGCATTCGATGGAGCGCGGGCACAGCTTAGCACGCTGGACCGGAGTGAGGCGAACGCCAGTGGTGGCGGCCGAAGCATCGACGCCAACGACGACGCGTCATGCGCGCGTGGCGTGGACGGTGACGGTCCTCTACTGCCGGACGACGCGTCCTCCTCGCCCGGCGAAGACAAGACCAGCGCCCTACTGGAGCACTACTCCAACATGCTGATGAGTATGCTGGAGAAGAAAATGTCAGGAAACAAACTCTGATGGTGATGATCATTGGCGTCGTTTTTTTTTATGTCGCTGTCTTTTTGTTGTCCGAATGGTACCGTATTTTAATGGACGAACAGATGTAGCGACGGAACCTTATTTCCCCTTTGATGTTTTGCACATTCGAGCGCACGCAGCGCCAAAACACATTGCGAGTTGATGGGCAGAGCGAGGCACACAAAATACCGTCTGTCCGTTTTTCACTATTTACCGAGCGACTTAAAAGTGTGGGATTCAGTGTTTCGGGTTGAGCCCGGATAGATGGCAGATGAGTTAGCAGTGTTTTCAGACTACCTTGACAGCACAATGCATGGTGGTTGCACGTCTCGTATGAAATGTTTTGAGTAAATGAACTTGCCAATTGAACGCCAGAGTATATGCAACACTAAAGCAGTATAAAGTCAAACTTCTGTTGCTTACAATTAACTCATTCGAGTACCCTGTAATAGCAGACCACAACAGCAAGATTATGCTTAGCAAAGTCTTAATTTTTATTATTTCCTGGAACAGCAAGCCATGTTCGTTTGTAAATACTTTTTTGATTTCCTTGAGATATATATAATAAGCTTGTACGGCAGTTAAGTACACACTGGAAACAGTGGGTCCATCTGATTATTCTTCCCCAAATCGTTTTTGGTAACTTGTATGTGTACAGTTTACTTGCGTATGCCTCGTCAGGTGCATCGTTAACTTATGCTTTGTATAATCCGGCCGTCTACATGGCTACCGTTTGAAAAATAAACTTTTTGTATGAGAAGAGGCATGCTATAGTGCACGATTACTATTACTGTATATGCCAAAAAATGGTAAAGGCAATAAGGCGTAAAACTGATAAATCCTGTATAATCATGTTTTATAATGTTATTGTTATTACTGTAAATTTCCAAAATGAACTGCAGTTGTGGCGTATGCAGTCGCGTAAAGTTGTTACACAAGGTGGCCATTCGAGTGTAGTTTATTTGTACCGGTCACATTTTCACTTTTAAATAAAACGACAAATACGTTGACGTGGTACGCTTTGCGGTACGAGAGCTTTCCGTTTTTTGCATTCGTCACCCTTAAAAAAGTGTTCATGTACATGATGTATTGCACCTCAACGGTGTTAATTAGTCCTGTAACCACATGCCCCACACACACGTGTATTTGCTGCTCTTTGGTTGTACGGTAAGAAGGAAGTGTTTATCGTTTTACGTTCAGTTTGTGAGTAACAGACGCGGTATTCACCTTTTCATGTCCACGCTCACGTTAACTCTTCACTATCGCAGCAGTGTTTGGAGGTATGCAATTGGTGGAAAAAAATAAACATTCAAATTCATTTCTTATGCCGCTGTTGTAATTGTGTTGGGCGTTCATTTTTAACCTTTTCATGAAACCAATTCGAATGCTTTGCGTTAATAATAACACTGGCTGGGCTGGCCCACCGGTACAATGTGTTGTTCGTAATTGGAAGATTGTTCAACTCGGTCCTTCATAAGTACCACTTTTTAGGGAAGTCGACAAAAAACTGTCCCCCAGCATAGGAATGACATTTCCACCACACATGAGCAAGAATCCAATTTGCCTTTTACCAAATGTTAATTAAGTCTTAAGACCTGCACAAAACTCTTCTACTAATTTGACCTAGGTTATAGTTTATATGTTGCACATAGCTTGTCAACACATTCCTGCGGAGGGAGCTGGTAGGAACATTGGGTTGCTTGGTCAAAGGCCAGGGTCAACGGCGGCGTGGTGTATTCCGCAAATATGGCCGACTGTGAGGGCGGGCACAGCCGGCGTGAGTAGGTTAAACGTGTTTTATAAGGGCACCACGGGGTGACCAGCCCCTCCCCACCCAGCCCCACCCCTCCCACCCAGCCCCACCCTCCCCACCCAGCCCCTCCCCACCCTCCCCTCCCCACCCAGCCCCTCCCCACCCTCCTCCTCCACCACTCCCATTTTTGGATGCACGACGGACGGACACAATAATCCCCTGTGGGCTGGTGGAACCAGGTGGTTCCTACCAGTATAAATGGCAATACAGTAGTTCCTTTAAATCTTATCGAATCCTTTTTCGACGAATGAAAAATACTCAAGTGCTGTGACCGACTCGGGCAAATGAAGTATCTTCGAGATTCATCTTCATGAGCCAAAATCAATCCACTGCTGGATGAAGGTCTCCCTCCGCTCTCACCATCTCAGCGTTGTGATGTAATGGCCCTTTTAGCATCTGCACGCGAGTTTATTTGAGTTGCAGGCAAAAACCCACAAATAAAAAAAACATGCAAATTAATTTTGTTAAATAATCAGATTGAGCCTCTTCATAACTGACACCCTAAGATTACTATGAAGACATGTAACCTTCGCTGATTGGGATAATATACAAGCAGACAATGTCTCCTTTGTATTTGTCTCGACATAAAAGTTTCACTTCTTTCCACAATCCAATGGCCTACAGCCTTCTAGGAATTGCATGGGACGTTATCTTCCACAAAGATCGATCAATTTTCACCAAACCCTGCGGTTAATGGATGCTGCCCTTGAAGTAATGGTTGGCCCGCTTGACCAGCAATCCCGAAGTTGCCGGTGCAATCTTGAAACAATGGGGGGCACGTTTCTTAAATCCTCCTGCCTCTGTCCGCCCAGCAGTGTAAATGTGTACACCGCAGTCGATTGTAAGTCCGTGTGTGGTGGGGTAAAGTGTCCGTGGATACTTCCAATCTCCAAGATGTCTGGCTGGTGTGGAAGTATCGGTCAAAATTCGGTACTCGATGGGTTCTCTCGCACTCTCGTTGTGGCCCCTCAGTCTGGTAGTGGAATGAGAAAGCAATTCCAGTGCTGTACCTTTGCGGTTTCATTACCTTTTCCTGCAGTTAATGAAGCGTGTTTGACTTGATGAGCACCGGTCTCGTTCAGCCGGTTCAAGTCAGGTTACCGGTGGCGGCAGCAGCAGTGAGACGCATCCGTGGGACGCACCCCGCTGAGTTTATTAGGTATAGTGAGAGAACAAAAAGGGCCAAGATTAATTGGTCCATGTTGACCCCTGCTTGGTGTCCTGACAGACAACTGATAGAGTGTGCATTAGGATAGAGGTCGGCTTGTACTTGGTGTGATCAAGTTGATAGAAGGCGAGGGACAGTGGTGTATTAAGGCAATATGTTACGTGTACGAGGGTTAGACAATGCGTGTGATATTGGTCTTATGTTGATGACTAGAAAAGCTGACGGCAAAAAGTAGTGTTATGGGTAGACTTCACTGGGATGCCCCCTTCCATGTTATTGTTTGTAATATGATCACCAGCCTTTATCAGAATCAGGATATGTATCTATACTGGAGAAATCCGATGAGCTGTAAAGCAATTTTTCACAGGTCAGAACATTAAAACAACAATATACAAAAAACACGATAGTGCAAATTATATTCAAGGTAAACAAACCACTTAAAAGTGTAATGACCGAAAAATGAACCCAAGCCATATGCATAAACAAAGATCTCCGATTGGAAGAAAGGCCTCCACGGTGATTGGTCGGGAGGCAGACTTTCAAAGAGATTGGAGAATAAAGGTTGAGTGGAAAAACAGAAAGGATCCGTTAAAGGGAACGGACAGGGATTGGCAAGAGGTAAAAACAAGGACAAGGTTCGAGAAAGGTGGCTGAGGGCTATATAAGGGGAGAGCACGAGGAGTGGGGACGCTCGGAGGAAGATACAAGCAGGAAGCCAAGAACGAAGCCTAGAGTCCTACATTGTGGAAGTCTATAGTAGGGTTCCTTATTGTAGAAATCTTTAATAAAAGTGGCTCTTATTACTTTGTCGTTGGAGTCGGAACAAAGTAATATACAAACAGAATTTAAAAAATATTTTTTATCTTTCTAGGTAAGATCGCTCAACCTGGTAAGCGTGCCAATGTTGGGCCAAGTTTGGCACGTGGTTGGACTAATGTTTTGGCCAACCTTCCATGATTATTTGGAGATCTACGCAGGTTGGAGCCTGGTTGGTGCTTGGATGGGTGCATGAGCACCATTCACAAGCAGTTTGTTACAGGGCTCTCAGGCTTCGTTGTCAGCTGAAAGGGCAGTGCAGATAAATCAATTGTACAATATTGTACTTGTGTGTGTCCATGTCCATCTTTAACTCCCCATCTTCAAACAGCCAGCATTGACCAGCATTGTGAAGTATGTTTAGGCGTATAATTTCTCGGAGCCGTGTGAAATGTTTGCTGGACAGGCAGATTCCTTTTTTGTGATGGGCCAATAATTGTTGCCATACTGCGTTGGCAGGGGTGCCTTAAGAACATATCGACCTAACAACATCCATCAGCAAACACTGGCCGAAAATGACGGATGAGAGCATGGCTGCTGATGAGACATTGCATGTGGAAAACGGTCCAGAGTTTGCTTGTGTAGTGCCAGTGAGACGGAGGCAAGGTTTGTAGGAGTCGCCTTTTAGTCTATCAACTTCCACTGTCTCGCCCACGCACTCTCTACAGTCGCTTAGCCTAGCCTGTACACAACACTAACCGTCAAACATTGACGGTGCCGACTGAGATAGCCAACAACTTCTAGCAGCGCAATATCTAGTGAAGACTGCAGCGACGACGAGATGAGTCCACTCCCAGAACCGGCAGCCTCGAGCTCCCGTTCTCGGCTCCTTTTATACTACCAGTGCGGCCTGGCTCCTCCCTGACCGCGCCTCCCTTCTCGAACCCAACAGCAGGTTCCAGGGGCCTCCAGATGGGGTCCTCCATGACCCTTGCCCTAGTTCCTCCGCTCTGCCAACCCATGCTCACGCCCACCGGCGTGTGTACTGTCTGTCCACCACAGTTGATCCTTATGGCGGTACCCCGGGGTACCAAATAATACAAAATGGCAGAGGCAATTAAATATTTTATTTCCGGCACACTATTTTTTCCAGGGGTGTACTCAACTCCACGACTGGGGTGCCAATCAATCCGAAGTCAGTGCTACTCCGCTATGTCGAAACGCAGCGAGGACGATTGCGCTGAAATCCTGAATGCTCGTACGCACCGTGGTTGTGCATCGTGTCCAGCTCGTCGAGATGAGTCGATTGTCGCATCGCCGACCATCAGACTAAAAATTACTGCTTCACGGAGATTGTGCGAGAGCCGGGGTACTTTGGTACCCTGGGGTACCGCCATAAGGTTCAGTTGCCGCCGCTGTCCAACAGCTGGTGATATTACACTGCTCCACTACACTTGTATTGAACAATTTCTGTTGATAAGATGCCCTCCTAGAAGGTGGTAGCTAATGGGATGTGTGATTTAAAGATATTTATGTGGAGAAACAAATATGGCAAAGAGGCAAATTTTCTATTTTTGTTTCTTATATTCTCTGCAACAACGCTAATTATTATCTGTTGCTAGGTGACGTTCCGGGCAATGACCCTTCTTCAGATCATACAGAATATATATACTCTGAAGAATGTATGCACGATGCAGAAGGTCCATTGGCCGAAACATCACCTATTATATACTAGCCATTTGCCTGTCCAAGGACAGATGTATTGCAGTAAATCTGAAACTTGCAAGCGGAAAGCAGACCGCGACGTGATATTCATTGCATTAATGTGTAGTGTTGTTCAACACGGCACACACTGTGGACTGGGAGGCAACACTTTTATTTAACAACTTCCCTAGCGGGTAACACTGAACGTAACTCGGGTTCTATAGTAGGTGAGGTGGCTAACTATGTGAGTAGCAAGTTAACTCGAGACGAAGAATCGGAGACGACGAGACGTGGGACCCAGACTTGATTCCACAGACTAGCCCAGAACACTTCCGGGACCGCCCCTTTATGCTAATGAGCGTGGCCTCGCTCCGCCTTCGGCCACGCCCCATTCGAGACCTTTCCAGAAGGATCTCGACCGAGCATCACGTGCCCCACTCAGGCGACCACGTCATCACTTGCCCTCTCTCTCAGGCCATCACCAGGACTATGCCTCCAAGGGCTGGCTGACATGCCGTACTTACTAGAGAGAGGTTCCAGACGTTAATTCTAGATTTGAAGCTTTCGTGACTGCAAGTATTCATATTCTTTGGTTTTTTCGGTAAAGTTACGTAAGAAAAAAAAAAATCTAAATTAATAAAAGTAAAAAATAAAAGAAAAATCACGACGTTTCGGAGGCAACACAAGCTTCCATCTTCAGGTGGAACCGTCACAGCACGCTTGCTGTAATCAAGTATTTTTATTTTACTTTAATTTAGATTTTTTTACCTACGTGACTTTACCGAATAAACCTAAGAATAAGGTTCCAGACGCACACTTGCACGACTGTAACAGTCGCTGGCACAAACACCCTAGTCACCGAGTGACACCATTTACGTCGCGACAAACGCGTGTGCAATTTGTAAGGGCGCGGTGACACAGACCTATTTCATTTTAAGGTTACAATCCCTTGTTCATCATGACGTCCTTTTTATTTTGATGTCTCAACAGCGATACGGAGATCGCGTGACGTGAGGGTTCTGCCTCGGCCCCCAATGTGGAGTGACGTCAGCCGCTAATTATTATGCATGGAAGGGGGGGTGTCCATTTGGAGGACGTCACCTTATAATGATTATTGATTAGGGAGGCTGTTCGATGTGGAGGACGTAACCGGTTCATGATTGTTAATGAGGGGGGCTGGTCGACGTGGAGTGACGTCACGAGCGTTGCACACAGACATTCTTGGCTCATTATAGTAGGCAATAATAATGAGGGGGGGGGGGTCCATTTGGAGGACGTCACCTGCTCATGATTATTAATGGGGGGGCTGTTCGATGTGGAGTGCCGTCACTTGCTCATGATTATTAGTGAAGGGGGGGGGAGTACTCCATATTTAGTGACGTCACCCGCTCATGATTATTAATGAGGGGGGCTGTTCAATGTGGAGTGACGTCACTTGCTCATGATTATTAGTGAAGGGGTGGGGAGTACTCCATATTTAGTGCCGCTCATGATCACCTATTACATTACAATTGTCACAAATTCTAATAATTATTTTATAATCGCAATGTGTGTGTAAATATATAGTACATCTCTTGGCATTCACATACCTGTCAGTCCCTTATCAGTGCCTACCTTATTACAGACCAATTCAGATTTTATTGGTCACCCCGTGCCTCTTATACATCTCAACGTTCATCCTACAGTCACATCACAAGGATAGAAACACAAATAGACAAAATGTTTTTTTTTTGCCCGTGTTGAAACGGCTGCACGCCGTATGGACCTGAAAACTCAATTCCCATGTGCAGCAGCAACACGGCGAAGTTTAAATTTTGATTTAAAGCTTTCGTGACTGCAAGGATTCATATTTTTGGTTCTTTCGGTAAAGTCACGTAGAAGCGAAATAATAAAATAATATTAATATAAAACAATAAAAAAATTAAAATTCTCACGACGTTTCGACTGCAACACAAGCAATCATCATCAGGTGTGAAATCCACAGCAAGAAAATGTTTTTAAAAAATTCAAAAATTTTAAATAAAAAAAACAAATTTTCTTGATGTGGATTTCACACCTGATGATGATTGCTTGTGTTGCAGTCGAAACGTCGTGAGAATTTTTTTATTGTTTTACATTAACATTATTTTATTATTTCTCTTCTACGTGATCTTATTTTTCAAAATTTTTTTAATTTTCTTGCTGTGGATTTCACACCTGATGATGATTGCTTGTGTTGCAGTCGAAACTTGGTGAGAATTTTTATTGTTTTATGTAAACATTATTTTATTATTTCCCTTCTACGTGACTTGACCGAAAGAACCAAAAATACGGCGAAGTTTGCCATTTATTTTGGTTAGAAAACAAACCGGGCCCACGTGACGCGAGCGGCGCCTCTGATTGGTGGAGATTTCCGACCCCGTCCCCCCGCCCCCTCGCCCGGTGGGGGGGGGGGGGTTTAAAAACCCCCGCGTCGCTTCCGGGTTCGCGGATTCGCCTTACGCCGCGCTACAGAGTTTACAACTCCACGTTCTGTCCTTGACTTGTTCATTGTTTGTTCGAGTCGGAGTGACGGCGAAGCGGCAGCGATGGTTTCGCGGTCGGGCGCGAAGTGGACATCACGCACCGCGTCCACGTCCGGCGAAGAGGTGGAGGAGGAGGAGCGGCCTCTGCTGACGAGGGCCAGCGACGAGGTGAGACCTCGCTCAGAGGGGAATCTGAAGCCCCTTGGCCCCCCTGAATTATATTTACCTCCCCCCCCTCACACACCGACCTCCTTCATAAGTTAGCCCTAAGTGCGATGATTCCACCCCACGGACCCTCGTGGTGGTGTTTAAAGCCTTCAAGATTGAGTGGCTGATCTATCACCCCTGGTTCACGTCATCAGTGTTGACCCCCTGGTAAAGTTGACCCACTGGTAATGATGCCCCCTGGTAATGATGACCCCCTGGTAACGATGACCCACTGGTAATGATGACCCACTGGTAACGATGACCCACTGGTAACGATGACCCCTGGTAATGATGACCCACTGGTAGTGACCCCTGGTAATGATGACCCCCTGGTAACGATGACCCCCTGGTAACGATGACCACCTGTTAATGTTGACCCACTGGTAACGATGACCCCCTGGTAACGATGACCTACTGGTAACGATGACCCCCTGGTAATGATGACCCACTGGTAAAGTTGACCCATTACCACTGGCAATGTTGACCCTCTGGTAATGATGACCCACTAGTAATGATGACCCACTAGTAATGTTGACCTGGTAAAGTTGACCCATTACCACCGGTAATGATGACCCACTGGTAACGTTGACCCCCTGGTAACAATGACCCCCTGGTAACGATGACCCACTGGTAATGGTGATCCACTGGTATTGTTGACCCCCTGGTAACGATGACCCACTGGTAATGGTGATCCACTGGTATTGTTGACCCCAGGTAAAGTTGACCCACTGGTAATGTTAGTCACTCTCGCCCCCCATGGTTCTATTGATCTCCGTGCAGTCCTTGGCTCTTGCAGTCCAAGTAAAGATGACTTTAAAACGTTGTTCAACTGCAGTTCACCCAACATCGGCCTTGCCACGAGTCTTGTCTAATAATTAGCATGTTCATTTTTTTCGATTTAAAGCTTTCGTGACTGCAGGGATTCATCTTCTTGGTTCTTTCAGTAAAGTCACGTAGAAGGGAAGTAATAAAATAATAAAAATTAAACACAATAAAATAATTCAGACTCTGTCGCCTCGACAGACCTGGTTTTCACCTGAGGACGGCTGCTTGCGTTGTGGCCGAAACGTCGTGAGAATTATTTTATTGTGTTTTATTTTTATTATTTTATTACTTCCGTTCTACTTGACTTTACCGAAAGAACCAAGAAGATGTTGTCCATTCTATTACAAACCACGAAAATATGTTTACAAAGCAATACTTTAATGAATTGCTATTTACACATTTAAATATTGAGTTTGTAAGGTCGCAACAATTATTTTTGCCTGCAAATTGCACATTGAAGAGAGATGGAAGTTAAGTAACGATAATGGCGATATAACGATATATATTTTCAAATCTCACGATACGATTACCATTCCATGATACATCGCTTGTGAGCCGACCGCGAAACAAAAAATTAAGGAAATTATTTTGGACCCCTTGCCGTTGTTGATTCGCCGCTTTTCCAGCACAGGAACGCCGATGGCCGGCGATGCAGGGGCTCGTCGTCTGGCCTGGCGGTCTTTAACCTCACGCACGCCATCATGGGCAGCGGGATCCTGGGTCTCGCCTACGCCATGGCACAGACGGGCATCGTTCTCTTCAGGTGTGCGTGCGTTGCTGTGTCTTTGTCTCCGTGAGGTCGTGGTACTGGTCACACACCCAGAATCCGACGAGCTATAAAGCTCTTTTTCACATGTCCAACAACAAACAATACAAAACACGATATGATTGCAAAGTATAGGAACGTTAAACGAATCACAATTGTTTTTTTTTACCTTACCAGGCAAAGCCTACTGAGGTATTAACTTATTTTTCATAAGCGACCTGGCCATAAATGATAGCTCAACAAAGTGGCTTAATTGTGTATACATTTATTTGAAGCTTTCGTGACTGCAGGAATCCATACTCTTTGGTTCTTTCGGTAAAGTCACGTATGTATAAAATAAAATATTATTTAATTTTATACTTACTGCATAGGCACTCGCTAACAACACTTGCCCGAATAGTTTGTTAAGGCTGTAAGGGGGATTTCTGTCATGTTGTGTGTGGCCAGAAGAGCTGGCAGGTGGCACTGTGAATACGAAAGTGAAAAGCGAACAAAAATTAAAACAAAGGAGCAAACCAAAAAATCAATAGGCTTTAACATTTCTGGCAATAATACAGGCGTTAAGATGTTCCAACACCAATTCGACACCTATCACAAAGCATCAGGTCTGCATTAACCTCACATGCTTGTGGTAAAATATGCAAACAAACATCTTGATACTGGATAAAAGGATCCCGTAAAGGAGCAATCCGTTTAACCATAAACTAGCCAGACCCTTAAGTGCAACCACACTAGAGCCAGCTAGAGGCTAGCCCTATCCCAAGTCCGAAATACACAAACCATCCAGCTACTAGTTCTAAACTTGACCACACCAGTAATCCAGAGCCTCACACTACCCCAATCCTAATCACACCATTCAACCAAATACTAGTCCAATGTTTAAACCTAACCACGCTAGCCAATAAGACTCCTCATACTACCCATAACTTGAACAAACTAAACAGCCTGATTCTCGTCCTTTGGATACTTCCGACGAAATTTCCCTATTCCTCATCAATGTAACAGGCTACTACTTGGTATTGCAACTACACGCCTGGTTCTAACTGTAAAACCCACATATCTGGGTTCTAATACTGCCCAATGTTATTTTTTCGTTTGCTTTTGAATATTTTCTTTCGAGAACTCTTCACGTTGCAATGTTTTGTTTCGAGTGTTGAGACTCGTGATATAGGGGAATTCAGATATTGGTGCTGAGGTGTTTAAGGGTATTGTCCTTGTCAGCATAGTCATTGATCCACATTTTAAAAGATATAGTTGCATCCTCGGGTCAATGTGAAGGCTATAACCCGATCCCGAGCAATAATCTGGGTCAAAGCTCTTACCAGCGTTGATTCCAAAATTGGGACTCGCGCTTAAAACGTGTTGCGTGTAATAGCATTAATGGATTTTTTTTTAGGATTACTGTAAGGATTAGAGAAAGGATATGATTTAATACAGGCATGCTTGTGACATGCTAGGTTTTCTATTAATCACTGTAGCTCTTTTAAACTGCAGCAGTGTGCTCTGCAGTGCACTACTTTATGCCGAGATAGCCAGGAAGCAATGAACAATGCAAAGAAGGAACTCGTATGTAGACGCTTTCACTTTGACTGTACATGCTCAGCAAGTAGGAGGACAAGGCAGATGATACGTACAATAATTCACTGACCAAACCGACTGCTCTGTGCTTATTTGACACGTGTGTACAGCCATTTTGTCATTCCGCTGCTGTCCTCACTACGCCGTGCGGGTTGTCGGGGGGGGGGGTGTCATTTTGCCGTACTTCACCGCACTGATCAGTGCGGGTTGGTAAAGGTGGGTAGCATTAATGCGGCAGCATAGATGTATAGTACAACAATGGCTTTGGGCGCACCTCCCTCTGCTGCCCTTATTATTCAACCCATCATGTATCCCCTTAATGTGTGTCTCGAATTGGAACTTGAATTGTGTGCTTGTCATGATTTCCAGTTTGTGTTTTTTTGTTTTTATTTTTTTTCACAGCTTGTTACTCGTGCTTGTGGCCTCTTTGGCTGCTTACTCCATTCACCTGCTACTCAAACTTTGTCAGCAATCAGGTGTGATTACACAACACTTGTGTGTGTGTGTCAAGGATTCCCTGTATAGAGGCCTGCATGGTACACAAGGTGGTAGTGTGGCCAGGATAAAATGCTCGGCCACCCTTGTCCTCATCAGTTGCTATGGTGCAGTGATTTGCTGACTGCACTACGACCACAATGACCTGGGTTTGATGCCTGGCAATGTGGGGAAACTTCAAAGACACGTGGTATCTCAACTCGGCCTTAGATTTACACCTGGTGCAGTGTGTGAGCATCATCGCTCTGGAGACAAAAGACATTCAGGTGGTCAGGTGGCTCAGTGGTCAGAGTGCAGAGCTGGCACCGTTGATGGTCTCGGTTCGAATCCAGGCAGCGACTTTTGATTAAACTGGATTCTCAAGTGTAGCAGGTTTACGGTCTGAGCCCGAATGTCAATGACTGCACACAAAAACCCATTACATTAAGGTTGGTTCTGCACTTAACAAAGGAGATTCTCATGAAAGGTATTAATGTATGTGAACATCATCGCTCATTTATATTTACACGATCTAACCCAAAAACCTCTAATTATATTGGTCACGAAAGCCTACGTGTTAAACTGATCAATATATATATGTTGAACTTCTTTTGCACCATACCTAGCCAACCGTGCTAATCGCAGGTGCATTCATACTGCTGTACCTTATTTACTCGCATCAAACAAGACATTAATGAAACGTAACTTGCAGGTGTCAATTCCTACGAAGATCTGGGAACACTTGCCCTTGGCAGGAAAGGCAAGGTGAGTTTTCTATCCACATGAAGCTGCCACCCACGCTGCCCCCCGTGTTGCCATAATGTTGGTGTAGTGGTGTCGTGAATAGCTGATATTGGCCAGATGTCTGCCACTTGTAAAGTGCACTTATCACTACTCCATTAATTTCCTTTGCAGATCATGGCAGCTGGAGCTATTATCCTACAGAATATAGGCGGTGAGTTGGGAATGCTTCTTTTTAAGGTTTTTTAATTTAATCACACGTTGATGGCTGCTTTGCATGCGGTATATCCATTTGCTTGCGGGTGTAGTATTGATCATCATCATCACCATCATCATCAACAGAAATGGCCGATGCACTGCTGGATGAAAGCCTCCCAACCCCATCGCCCTCCAGCACATGAGCTGATCGTATTGATTCATCAGCACAGTAGTCATCATTCAGATAAGTTTCATCCTTAAAGGTGTGTTTTCTCCCTGAGCCCACTTTTGTTCAGGCAATATGATGTGCACATGAACTGATATATGTTTAGGATTCATGTGTTTAATACTGGTTTTTTTTTATTTTCAGCAATGTCTTCATATCTTTTCATCATCAAGTCTGAGATGCCAAAGGTTATCAGGGGCTTCTTGAACTACGAGCCAGCAGCAAAGTAAGTTTGACTTTTTCTGTTAGAATTGCACCCAAGCAGTACTGTCTGATTAGTGCCATCATCGACTGGCATTTGATTTTGCTGTTGTGTAACGCAAGTGTTTGGTGCTTGCAGTGCTTGGTACATGCATGGGACCTACCTCCTGCTGCTGCTGGCTCTGCTGGTGGTGCTACCCTTGGCCTTCCTGCCAAAAATTGGTTTGTGTGTGTTTTTTTTCTGTGCTTAAGGCAATGCGAAAAAATTAACCCGTAAAAACAAAGTTTTTCACTATAAATCCTTTATATGCGTGGCATCGGTTTTATTTTATTATTCATTTCTGTTTTTCTTGAGTAAGAGTTTCATTTTTATCACATTGGTATTTTAAATTAAATATGAAAAAAAAAATTCCCTAAAAAGTGGAAAATTTTGGAAAAACATTTTCACGAAAATAAATTGTCACGCACAACGTGTCTGTGTGCAAAATGTCAGCTCGATTGGATCACGGGAAGTGGGTTAAAAAACGACCGAAAGATTTGCACGGTCGTAAGCGCGCAAGCAAGCAAGTGAACTTAATATAAAGGATTTAAAAACAGCACTGATTTACAGCGCCCACATTTAGTGAATTTCAGTAATTTGTTGATATTGGTATTGATGGTGCTAGGTCAATTGCAGATTGAGTAGTCTGGCAGGACCCGCGACAAGCACGCTTTTTCCATGTCCTCGGAACATGAACCGTGTCTCTGGTGATGAGCAGACGGAGCTTGATCCAGTGTCGGCTGTTAGGAGGAGCCATGCACAGCTGATGATTTAATCACCAATACCTCTGCCCATAAATGATTGTCATTGATCTGACTAAGTGGGTATGATGGACTCGAATTGAATGAAGCTAAGTACATGTTATTGTCTCCGTCACTATTGTGGCTGTGCTGTTGTGTTTTTTTTACACGCTTTTATTTAACTCTGTTGTTGTTGTCGTCGTTGTCGTATCCTCAAATATTGTCACTCAATTTTAACCCACTTCCCAATGTGGTATCGACTGCAAACTTGGTATACTTATGTCATACTGATGACAATACTATATTCTAATATAACAAAAAGTATATTTAAACATTCATTTTTATATGTTATGTTTCTGCTTGGGTCTAATTGTCCACGCTCTACTCACGTTGGCTGTAAATCACCACGGTCCCTTACATTATGGCAAGCTTCGGGGCCACTTCCTGGAGTCGTGGAGTTGTGCCCTTACTCGTACGGTACATTTCATTAAAGCGTGTTTTAAAAAAAGTATTTTTAAATATTACTTATTTTACATGATGTCGTATTGATCTTTGCTGACGTGTGCAGGGTTCCTCGGCTACGTCAGCTGCTTCTCGGTGTTCTTCATGCTGTTCTTTACCAGTTGTGGTAAATCGCACAGGAATATTCCCCATTCCACATCATTTCCCCCCTCCCATCCCCTCTCCTCATCCGCTGCACGCTCTTCTTCAGCCACCCAAAGAGAAACTTTATTTGTGTGGAAGGGCATGACGAATCAACGTGTAGTGCCCTTTGCAGACTGATGCTAATGTGATTCAGCAGCAGTTCCATATTGGCATGCATTCCATGTCCCTCAAAGAAACAGCAACATTTCACCTTTTAATGGCAGAGTGAAGAGAACTACGTACAATGTTCTCTGGATTGTAAGAGCTCGTTTTCCCCCAATGTATTTTAAAGTAAAAGTTGGGGGGGGGGGGGGGTTGGTCATATTTAGAAACATGCGTTTGCTGCACTTGGCTGCTATACATTTCCACGTGATATGAGCTATCATTTGTGGCCAGGTCGCTTCTGGAAAAGAGCTATATAGCTGAGTGGGCCTTACCTGGTAGAGTACAAAAAAAGTTTAGTGTTAGATATTGGACAGGGTCTCGAGATGTGGCCGCATTACGACTATGATGATCATTATCATCATCATCACCTAGCCATCATAAATGCACGAGTGGATGAAGGCCTCCGAAAGCCACCACCACCCCCACACCCACCTCCACCTTTCACCATCCTACGATGCAATCATCCAACCTAGCACGTGTGTGCACCAGCTGATTTCACTTGCTGCATATCTGTCGGCCTCTCGGATGCGCTCCATTCCTCGCCTGCTACCATGTCATTATTCTTTGGTAGCGCGATGAGCCTGACCTCGTAAAATAAAAAGTAGTTGAAAGTAAATAGTTTCTAATCCGGGATACAGCCGTTATTGCCACCAAGGCCACTTCCAACATTACCATATTCTCGCTATTCATTACTAGTACAGCACACCGGTGTGTTACGCCTTTTGGCGTCCTCTGGTCTCACACCGTTTGAGACGAGGCTCAAAAGGAAGCTGTCTCTGATGTGGACCAATCAGTTTCAAGGACGATGCATATATTATCAGAGTGTGTTTTTTGTTTGCATTCTGACCACAAGCATTGTGGTCAATGCAGACATGATTCATTGTAAAATGGTTTCAGTTTGGTGTTTTAACATCTTAACACCTGTTTTGTTGCCAGAAAAAAGGGGAAAACCTCTTATCATGTAGTTAATTCCTTGAAGCTATATTTGACTGTACTTACTTGCAGCTTGTTGAGATGATATAAATTTATGAAAATGGCAAATGTCCAGCCCCTGAAATCGCTTGCCATTGTTGGCAGAAGGGCCTCCACTAGAGAAAATTGTAGAGACACCATAACACAGGTGTTTTTGGATTAGATCGCGTAAATATATAAATGCGTCGTTAAATCCGCCACCACCCGACACAGCCAATTAGTAAGATTTGTCACATAAACAGAACGTGCCAATGCATTACTAGTACAGCACGCCTGTGTGTGGAAGAGCCAAGCCACAACATTTACAATCTGAGTACGACGTTTCGCCAGGAATTACAACTAGCTTCATCAGGCGGCAGCCAGATTTGTGGAGAAGTCCACCTGCTTCGTTCCTTAAATAGAGGCGTAGATGTGATGACAACACGTGTGCAATCTTCTTGTGCGAAGTAGAGGGGTGGATTAATGAATGCGTATAAATGACTGGGTATCCAATGCCGATTGGGTTATTCATATGGTACAGGGTATATTCCACCATATGTAAACTGTGGCCTTTCCATATATCCATGTATCTTATTCTTAGGTTTTTTCGGTAAAGTCACGTAGGTAAAAAATGTTAATTAATAAAAGTAAAATAAAACAAAATAAAATAAAAATAAAAAATCACGACGTCTTGGAAGCAACACAAGCCTCCGTCTTCCGAAACGTCGTGCTTTTTTATTTTTATTTTATTTTGTTTTATTTTACTTTTATTAATTTAATTTTTTTACCTACGTCACTTTACCGAAAAAAACCTAAGAATATGAATCCTTGCAGTCACGAAAGCTTCAAATCTAGAATCCATGTATCCTGTTTAAAAATGATGAGCTGGAAGATCGAATCAAAGTGGTTACCGGGATTGCCAGTCCAGTGTGCTAATTGTTGTACCACTGCAGCATCCCGTGATAATTGGAGCTATGATGAAATGTTGTGATTGTGAATTCTAATGGGAATTAATATGATAGCAATCATACCCCCTCCACCTACTTGTCTGCAGGTTATCATCAAGAAGTTTTCAGTGCCCTGTCCTTTGCCTCCCACCAATGTCACACTGGGATACTATACGGTGAGTTTAAGTTTGTTGAATTTTTTTTATTTCTATAAATCATGTCCTGCAAGTTCAACTTTTGAAATGCCATGTGAGGCAATGTTGTTCATGTGTCTTTTGTATATGTATTTTTTCCCCTGCAGCTTTATAATTCAAATTCCAGCAATTCATCTGATGCTTGTTCACCAAAGCTCTTCACACTTTCCCTCCAGGTGGTGTTTTTTTTTCCCCCCATAGAATTATAATAATTATAAAGATGACACAAAATTAATTCACGAAAAAATGCGCATGGCAGCGTCGTGCATCTGTGCTCTGTTTTCATTCACGGCTTGGTGTGCAAAGTTATTTGAGTGCTCGGGTGAGCATTCCAGTCAGGGCATTCACCCCTCCAGAGTGAATAACAAGAGTTCCAATTTGTGGGAACCCAACGGTGGTCGTGCTATGGGTGTACTCATCCCCAGCATAGGAATGTGGAATTTCCACCACTCTGGACTGCAAGGAGGAGATCAACACAGTCCCCATACTCAATTTGTGCAGGAAGCCACATTAATGTTACTTTGAGTCGTTTGCAGTTGAGTAATTAATCTATTGCTGTACTGTACTTTGCTCTCAGATCTATGTGTGGTCTCATAGCCTCCATGACCCATGCGGCTTGGGAAGGCCCACATCCAGCAGTGGATTGACTGTACATATACAAAGGAGCAGCATTCGGTTTAGTGAGTCGATTCTCACAGTCATGTGCCTTGCCCTCCTACTTGCTGAGCATGTACAAAGTATTTACAGTGAAAGTTTCTTCTATTGCTTCCTGGCTATCTATGCATACAATGGAGCACTGCAGAGTACAATACTGCCATTTAAAAGAGCTACTTAGAATAATATAACTAACGCATCGCAAGCATGCCTGTATTCAATAATAGCCCTTGCCCTGATGCTTTTATTAAACGTATTCCAAGGCCTGAAAAAATGTATTGGATAACATTTGCGCAGGCTATGTCGCTCGAAGGAATGATGGCCGATGATTCACGATTAGTGATGGGGCCACTGACACGGGATGGAATGCCCCTGGTTGGATGTCCACCAAGGAGACGTAGCAATGACATCAGCTCGTGTGCAGGTGCTATTGTTGCATCGCTGGATCATGAGAGATGGTGACGGCTTGGGGGAGGTATTCATCCAGAAATTGATTGAACATATGCTGCTGATGATGATGGTGATTATAGCCAAATGTTTAAAGGGCTACACATGTACAGTCATTGGGATTACTGTCTCGCCGTTCAACGTTTTTGTGTTTGCTCACCGTGATGTACCTGAACGTGTCCTCGCAGAGTGCATACGCAATCCCTACCATGGCATTCTCCTTCCTGTGCCACACGTCCGTGCTGCCCATATACTGCGAGCTGCAGAGGTGAGCGGGGTGGCCCTGACATCGAAGACACAACAATGACAGACTTGGACACAAGTACATTGTGGGGCTAAAGTAACAAATTAGTGCCCGTCAAAGTCTAGTGGTGATTGATTTGCGGTGAAGATGGCACAATAAGTGGCAATCACATGACTGATTCTAACAGTTTGTAGTGAGCAAAGGTTGTTTGGTGTGCTGCTTTAGTGGATTTTTTTTATCCTTTGTCTAGACTACACAAGATTGTCGTTTAAGACGGCAAGACTTGAGCAATTTCTTTTCTTGGATGACGTGGTTTGGTTGTCTGTGCTGTCTGCAATTTCAGGCCTAGCACAGGCAAGATGCAGAAAGTGGCGAATACGAGCATCTCCCTGGCTTTTATCATCTACTACCTTTCTGCCATCTTCGGATACCTGACTTTCTACAGTGAGTATTGCATCAAAGCGCTCTTACTCTATGTATTTGTGCACTAATCATACAAAAATGTAATTTTACACCCCTTTGTCAGTCCGCTGATGAATGAAGGCCTCTCCATGCTGTGTCAGTCTTGGCGTTTGTTTGACTTTACATTCACCACGCTGGTCAGCGCGAGTTGGTAAACAGGGACACCGAGGACCGGTTCAAACATATGAAGCCACTGGAGCTATGCACTTAAACACATTCCTGCGGAGGGAGCTGGTAGGAACGTTGGGTTGCTCGGTCAATGGCCAGGGTCAACGGCCAGGGCGTGGTGTATTCCGCAAATATGCCCAACTGTGAGGGCGGGCACAAGCCGGCGTGAGTAGGTTAAACGTCGAGTTTTATAAGGGCACCACGGGGTGACCAGCCCCTCCCCCACCCAGCCCCACCCCTCCCACCCAGCCCCTCCCCACCCTCCCCTCTCCACCCAGCCCCACCCCTCCCATTTTTGGATGCACGACGGACGGACGGACACAATAATCCCCTGTGGGCTGGTGTAACCAGGAGGTTCCTACCAGTAACATTTTGATTGAACTCATTTCTTTAGAACTGCTTTTTGTGTTTAGTTTGTTGTCTTTCCCCCGCACCTCCGATGAGGACGGTTGGCTACGTACAGTGCGAAAGAAGTTCAACATACAAATGTATCGCTTTTCACCGATGTTACCCTGACGACAATATTATTCTGAGCGCATCTGGTCAAGTCCGTTTGTGCTCTCGCAATTTCCACCGTTGTTGGCACGTCTCGACCGCCGGCAGTGATTATGACTTTCCAAGGCATCGGGGACACCTTGTGAAATAAGCGTTTCCTACAGGCAGCGTGAGCCCGGAGCTGCTGGAGATGTACGGACTGCTGACACGGCACGACTCACTGGTGATGTCCGTGCGCCTCTGCATTCCTCATGTCTGTGCTGCTCACCGTGCCCCTCATCCACTTCCCGGTGAGACACTGCGTTGAACTTCTTTTGCACCATACGTAGCCAACCCTGCTGATCATGAGAGAGCACGGCGTGAATCATTCATTATTTTGTTAATTAATTTTAATTTCTTAATTCGTATTCTTTTATTTGTAGCAAGGTGAAAGGCCTTTGAGAAAAGTCTTCTATAAGGCGCTTGATATGATTGATTTATTAATTTGCGTCTTTCATAACCACAAGAGCTATTTGAGACATTTATTTTGGTTCATTAAATTAATTCATTTCCATTGTGTTTATAACCAGGTGAGAGCCTTTTGAGACTATACGTCCCTTTTACAAGACGCGCATGGCATGATTCATGAATTAATTCATATCTTTTATAACAATGTGATATCCCTTTGAAACGTCTTTTTTTATAAGAAGCGTTATGCTTCATTCGTTAATTTGGTGGTCAGCAGAGGACAGTGTAGCAAAAGCCGTTGTACTCTACTTCTTTGCTCCCATTTATGCTGCCTGCCTTCACCAACCCGCACTGACCAGCGTGGTGAAGTATGATCAATTAACTCTCATGGCCTGCATAGCATAGGGAGGCCCTCATCCAGCAGTGGATTGACAAAAGCTGTTTGTTAATAAAAAGTAGTTTTATTTTTTCCAAGGCAGAGAGCTGTGGTAGGGTTTGGCCTCCTGACGATTCTCAGAGAAGTTAACCCCCCCCCCCACTCAAAAACAAAATGCTGCTGGGAAACACAGATTCACAAAGCCTTTTAGGGGACTGGGCATGAATGTTATTTCTTATTTATGATAAAAACAGATCCTTGCATGTAGTTCATAATTTTACTTGTTTCTTATTAGAATCTGGTTATCATGAACTTAAAGGCTGTTTGTCATATTGCAGGTGCATCGTACGTCGGCGCTTCCAATTCATGATTTATTATAAATGCCCTCGAGTGAGTAAGTGTGTGTGTGTGCACGTTTTCTGGATCCATCTCACAAATGTATCCTCGGGACTCCTTGCCGGCAGGCTCGGAAGGCGGTGCTCAAACTTGTGGCTGACGGTCGGCCCTTCTCGTGGCTGCACCACACCCTGGCCACCCTCGCGCTCATCACGCTCGTCTTGATTTTGGCCATCTTCGTCCCAAACATTAAGGAGGTGTTTGGTTTTGTTGGTGAGGTCATTTTTTTTTAAAATCCTTTATATTAAGTTCACTTGCTTGCTTGCTTAGGACCGTGCAAATCTTTCGGTTGTTTTTTAACCCACTTCCCGTGATCCAATCGAGCTGACATTTTGCACACAGACTCGTTGTGCGTGACAATTAATGTTCGTGAAATTTTTTTCCCAAAATGTTACACTTTTTAGGACAAAAATATTATATTTAATTACCAATTGCTTAATGCTGCCATGCAATCATCTGACCCATAGGTGGCAGCCATCTCAAGCCAGAGGACGAGAGGACTCTAGCCACCACGCATATAAAGGATTTATAGTGAAAAACTTTGTTTTTACGGGTTATACTTGTTCTTCTTTCGCGTGATGGGGAGGGGAGTTGGAGTTGATCAGCACTTGTTGTGTGTTCATGTCGAGCTTGGCGAACTGGTGAGCCAGTGGATGAGTTCAGGAGTTTGCGTGTTCTCTCTCTCTCTCTTCCCCGTGGTCGCGTCTTGCGGTTTTCCCCTCCGCATTTAGAAACGTGCCTATCGAGTATTTGGCTGCTGGAAATTTCCACGTGATAAGCCACTTCGTTGAGCTATCATTTGTGGTCGGGTTGCCCTGGATAAAGAGCTGTATAGCGCTCAGTGGGCCTTACGTAGGAACATAAAAGTGAAAATAGTTGCGTTTAAATTAGCGTCATGCTGAATATCTGAAACGCTGCCAGCGGGCGAGTGATTAACACGGACAGTGGTGTTACTGTGTGGTGCCTGGTTTGAGATTGGTACCCTGTAGGCCATCGTTGGCAGGGTCTCATATTCGGGAGGCATTATGCATGTATGTGTTCATCTCAATCCACTGCCGGATGAGATTCTCCCTACGCATGTGCCTGTTGTGAGGGTTATTTGGCTGTAATTTGCGCTGGTTGGTGAAGGTGGGGAGTGTAGATGTGGGGGCGTAGAAGTACAGTACAATGATATAGTCACACACACCGCCCTCGTGCTGATCACCATGTGTGACGACCAAGCGTGCACGACGATTATTCACCTAAGCACCTACCCAGGCTCAACCAGACTTGGCTTCAGAGATGTGATGGCAGCATTCTGGATTAGTTGGTAATAGGTAGAGATAGGGAAAAGGTACTAAGCGCTGATGTTCATTTCACTTCCTAGACATTTTAGGTGTTTTATTGGTGGCAAATGAATTGCTTTGTGATTTCCCTCCTTTCACCGATGTCGCTTGCAGGTGCGACCACCTCCACATGCCTACTCTTCATCTTCCCGGCCCTGTTCTACATCATCGTTAGCCGGGAGCCACTCCTCAGCCCACAGAAAATGGGAGTAAGTGCACAATTTAAGTTGTAATTTAAAGAATACATTTCTTTGCTTGCTGGGGGGGGGTAAATCATTGTAATAACCTGCAAGGAAGTGTCATGGATGGGATGAGTCATGAACTCGATATTTTTGAGAGGCTTAAAATACCGGCAGCCACAGTGTACTGGTGCATATGTGAAGGTGCAGCCTTCTTCAATGCTCGCTCACACCACTGTTGGCGGAAGGGCTTCAACTCGAAGAAGCTCTTGAGAGCCCATCGAAAGGGTGTTTTGGCCTCGGCTTTCACGCTGGCCAGACGTTCTGAAGGAGGTGGGAGGGGATTTAAGAAACTTGTTTGCATGTCTGTTCATCTTCTTTCGCACCATACGTAGCCAACCGCACGAATCGGAGGTGCGGGGGAAGAACGAAATACATTTTAAGAAATGCACTTTGCACAACCATTAAACTAAATTTATATTCAGACCCCATGGTGTATAGTGCAGTCTTCACCTTTTATTCACTCAATCGCTCTGGCCTCTCCTGCTATGAATAAGGACCATTGCCCAAAACTTAACCGATTAACGATTCTTCAAGGCAGTGTCATTGACACTGTACCAGTTGAAAGGGTAAAAACCTATTACTATATTTTGCCACTGGTTAAAGGAGGTCTCATAGTGTAAATGCTTACCCCGAGCTCTCAATACTCTGATAGTGCGCTGTCTTTGAGTTGTACGCCTTTTGGCGTCATCTGGTCCAACACCAATGGAGACTGGGCTCTATGAAAAGCTGTCTCGGGTGTGGACCAATCAACTTCAAGGACAGTGCATATCATTATCATCATCAGAGTTGTTTCTTTTTGTTTGCATTTTGACTGCTTGTGTTGTGGTTATTGCAAACATGATGCCTTGTATAAAGGTGTCAGTTTTTGTACCAGTTGAAAGGGTAAAACCTATTACTATATTGACAAATGTGTTGAGTTTTTATTCTTTGTACCAATTGTCCAAATATTTTATGATCGTTCTCTGCACCCCCCCCTCCCCCACACACGCAGGCGCTGAGTTTGCTTGTGTTCGGTGTCGCCGTGTGTCTGATGAGCATCACTCTCATCATCCTGGGCTGGGCACGGCAGCACCCACACACCAACACGCACAGCTGGCTCCACCGGGGTCTCGTCTAAGCGACGCGTTGCGCCCCGGTGTGCCACGTTGCGGTGGTACCAGCAAGGCCACAAGGGAGGCTATTTCTGGTGCTGGCACGTGGCGGAGGGGGAAACAGATTTGGTGCCGCTCGACTCCTCTGGGGCGAAAATCTCCGCAGCTCAATGTAAACACCTGTGCTGATCCGAGAGGACTTTGCACGTGCGGGTGCGATCCTTGCACAGATTTTTTTTTATTGTACGGGTTGTCCAAATATTGTATCGCCGTTCGATGGCAGTGGGCGCCCGAAGGTTTTGTCTCTCTCTTTTGGTTGTAAAATAATTTGGAGTGCACAGATTTGCACGTGACCCTTGGGTTCATGAGATTATGGTAACGGTTAATGTAAGGCACACAAACGTGTGTGCTGTTGCCCACGTGACATATTGCATGGCAATGGAGGGGCGTGTAACTTTGTCTCTAATATGAGACTGTTGTAATCCCATGAACGTCCTGTACAAATTGTCTTCTATTTGAAGAAGCTCTTTCACATGCTGCGCACTCAGAACTGTTGAACGTATACGGTCGATAAAATAAAAAAAATGCTTTTTCCAGTATAGCACTGTAACTATCAGAAAATATTGCATGTGCTTTCATATCACGACCACATAAATGAAACGTTAATTGAATTATCGAGCGTATTAAATGTTTTACGTTTATGGGTAGATATTTTACTGCAGTAATGTTTGTTTTAAATATGCACATGTATTTTCAACGCATGTTTAATGTTCACTTTACAATCTTGCTAGGAGGCGCACATCGTCACTTGAATAAAAATTGGTGATGAATTGAAGAGATTACTATTGGGTCACACACGTATCGATTTGCCGAGCATGTGTGGATGTGGTGATTGGTCACTCGATGCCTTCATGGAGCAGTCGTTCGAAAATCTACGACGCGAGTTGGATTTCACTCAAGTTATCCCCCCCCCCCCGTCCCTCCCTCTTTCTACTACGCCGTTTACATAACCACTGTTAAATTATGTATTGCAAACCGCTCCACACAATTGCATTACGGTTTGCGACGAATATCAAAGCGGGACTGTGCAGCGCACACACTCAATGTTACGCGAGGTACGTTTGATATTTCTTTAATGTGCTATCAATTATGTACCGTTAGTAACAGCTCATGTGAAAAGTATCGCTCTTTCCCGAAATATAGTCTTTATATTCTTGCAGGTTGGTCTGCTATTCATTTAGTCCTGATAATTATTTTTGTCATAATTACACTTTTTTTTTAAACCCTTTGTCAATTTTCTGTTGGATGAAGGCCTCCCTCCACGTCATATCAATCATAGGGCTTGTTTGACCCGACGTCATCGTGCTTGGGCAATGCGGTTTGGTGACGGTTGAGATGGGAGGACCCATTCACGTGCCTCTCCGCCACAATGATCCATCATCGCAGGTTGCCGCGTTCATAGCTCATCGGGCTGACCACTTCACCACACAGGTTACCATCTCACCATTCACTAGCCCCTGTGGTGGGTGGGGTAATGAATGAACATTTGGTTGTGAACATACGCCGGCCGTGTTACGTGGCAGATATCGGTGGTTCTACGTGACAGGTGCCTTTGGGAGAGTAGTCGCTTTCACAGAAGGTGTCGTCTCCAATCTCCACCTCATAGTGTTGCCATGGAGACGTTATAAATGGCAAAACACTCCTCTCCGCAGACGTGATCCGGGGTCTTGTGCAATAGCAATAGGGCACATTCATTGAACACGGTTAAAATATATATTTTTTATATAACCGTTTTAACGGAACGGCACTGCGTGGTGTGTTCACGTTGGACAGCGTGTTGTCAGTTCCTGAAGAAGCTCCCGTTACTTGGAGCGAAACGTCAGCCGTCACCCCAGACAACACGCGGCACCCCCCGAGAACACATCGCACGGAGAGCCATGCAGCACTACCCTGAAACCTACACAGAATTTCAACACAATGCACATATGGGGCCGTCCATAAATTACGTCACGCACCTAGGGGGGGTCAGACATTTGTGACGATGTGTGACGAGGGGGGGGGGGTTTGAGAAATGTGACGTCACATCAAAATGCGCGGTTTTAAATAAATATAGACAACACGTTCTACTTAATTAAATAGACTTTTTTTATCAATGTTTTCTCCAAAAACATCAGAGTGCAGTGCCACATTAAATACGCACTACAATGACAATAGTTTAAAGCGATTTGAAGCATGTTTTTTTTTTGGGGGGTGGGGGCAGAGCTTTGTGACGTCATATTTCAGGGGGGTGGTCTGACTTTTTCTGACGCCGTGTGACGAGGGGGGGGGGGGGGCAAAAATCGTCCAAAATCGCGTGACGTCATTTATGGACGTCCCTCTAAGCAACGGATAATCGGGTGTCAGTGAGTTAAGGGAACTTCACTGGCGATTTTTTTTGTGCAAGGGACACATTGGTTGAAATGATGGCAATATTTACAGTATGTTAGAATCACAATTGAAGGAACATGTCTTATTTACATAAAAGTGTGTATATGTAGGATGTGTGGCACTGCGGTTCATGCACAGTGCTATGAACCCAGCTAACAGCCAATGGGGTCAGCATCAATTGGTACCACATAAGGTAGCACAACCTTAAACAACTCAATTTACTTACACGGCCAACGAGAGTGAATTATTTGAAAACCCACGAATTTCAAATGGCTATCACATAATTCACCGTTTTTGGCCACCTACATGAATTCGAACCGCCAAAGTTATGCCACCTCTGGTGGTGTTGACAAATAAAATATCTTGGTCCGGACTCATATCTCATGAACTATATCTCATTTTCACGTCCGCAGCGATTCCTATCTGCGCCGGTCCTGTGCCTCCCTTCACCAATACGCACTGGCCAGTGTGGTGGATTTTGATCATTCGACCTCCATTGACCAACACGGGTGTAGGGAGGCCTCGATCTAGCGGTGGTTTAATAAAGGGCTGTAAATTGGTACGTTATAAATGTGTGCGTTTATACACTGCAACATACAGTGTGTGCATGCGTGTTAGATGGAACCTTCAGAGTCAGCCAACCTGTGGCACCTGGGTCTGTCCCGTGACCTGTCAGCGAGCCTTCGACACTTCACGTGGCCTCAAAGTGCACCTGGCCTGGCACAGGCGTCGTGGTGACCTCACCGTCACTTAGTTGCAAATGGTATTGGTATTGGATGAAACCTTGTATCTGATCCTGCCACCAGCTCTTTAACACTGGCTTTTGAAACACTATCTCTAATCCTTAACCTACCATTGATCCGAATCCCATCCATAGCCTGCCCTCTTAACACTCACTGCATTAATGATTGTCGTTATTTTACAATTCGTCCATTTCACACACACAGCCATGTATATACCTAGACAGTGGCGGCTCCTGCAAAATTTCTCAGGGGGGGCAAATGTCTGGATGATTGATAAGGATAAGATCCACCCATGCAATGGATAAATTAACAGCTTAAGCATGTAAAGGCAACTTCACTTCTTTAACATTAATGAAAAATAAAGTGACTCTTACAATACATCTTGTTTGTTTCTATACTCACTATTACAATCCACTCAGTTTCTTTTATTAAAGATTCCACTAGGTGGCGAGAAATAATATTGTTGGATGAAACGTGCTTACGTATGATGACGTAAGCACGTATGATGACGTAACCACGTTAGTGCGAGCCCTCCCGGAAGCCATAGAGAATGCATTGGAGCGCCCCCCGGTCGAAAAAAAACATCTTTGAATGTAAGTCTATGGGAACACTCTGGGCGATTCTCAGCCGGAGTGAAATAGCCCAAAAAGAGGCGGTACTCCACAGAACGTGACATGACGCCGATTGGACTATATCCAGAGGCACAGAGACGGCTAGCGTGAACTCTGTGGTTGAATGACATTGGTGGTGCGTCGCCCAATCGCCCTAATGAAGAAACCGCCCCTGTTAACCTAGAGTTGTATGAAGATAATGATCTCCCCCTTCGGCAATGTGGACTGCATCACCAAATACCCGCCACGTACAGACCAGAAAATCCAGACCGACAGCCACGCAAAGACCCGTAACACACGCGCCCACAGCGTACAGACAACTAACCTATACACACTTGCACACGAACACAAATCTACACATCACACAGAAACCGTCCTATTGGTATAGCATATGCACAAACTGTTGGGGCAAGGGCTGTTCGCGAGCATCTATGAAGACCGGCACCGCACACGAGGGGGTGGGTGGTCAGCACCACCACGCCCGGCCGCCTTTGTCTCTCCCAGTGGCGATGTTTACTACACACCGCACCAGGTACTTGTTTGAGGCCGAGTCGACCTAGGGGGAGGCCTCAGAACCGATTCAGACAATCGCTGTCGGGGCCGAACTGAGTGTTTTGGGAGGATGAGGGGTCGCAGCGCAGCGCGCCCACCGCTCCCCCACCGACACCACACACCAATACCACACACCAACACCACACACCGACACCACACACCAATACCACACACCAACACCACACACCGACACCACACACCAATACCACACACCAACACCACACACCGCTCCCCACACCAACACCACGCAGAGGCCGCGCAGAGAAGAGCACGCACGTGGTGGCCGCGCAGAGAAGACCACGCACGTGGTGGCCGCGCGCGCCTCGCGTTCGTGAGCTGAGTGGCGATTTACTCGGATCCGTGATAACTGCGGGGAGGCGAGAGGCGGGCCACGGAAACCACCCCCATTATGTTATGCATTTTTTAATCGCAAAAAAACGTACGAGTGGGGTTTTTTTTTGGAATGTTGATTGAGAATTGGGGGGGGGGCAGGTGATGATGTTAGGGGGGCTGAGTGGCCTTCTTCACCAATAAGCGCGTGGGTTCGATCTCGATCCCGACGCCTGCTGTATATTTGCAGTTTGCATGCTCGCCCCGTGGTCGCGTGGATTTTTCTCCGGTCCGCCGGTTTTTCCCTCCACATTAAATTTCCACGCGATAAGCCACTTGGTTGAGCCGTCATTTGTGGCCAGGTCGCTTCTGGAAAAGAGCTATACAGCTCAGTGGGCCTTGCCTGGTTGAGTACAAAGAGAAGCTTCGTGTTAGATATTGGATAGGGTCTCGAGATGCGGCCGCATTACGACTATGATGGGATCATTATCATCATCACCTATCCATCGTAAATGCACGAGTGGATGAAGGCCTTCGCAAGCCGCCGCCACCGCTACCCCACATCCACGTTTTACCATCCTACGATAAAATCATCCAACGTAGCACGTTTGTGGATCAGCTGATTTCACTTGCTGCATATCTGTCGGACTTTCGGATGCGTTCCGTTCGTCGCCTGCCACTCCGTCATTATTCTTGGCCACCGTCCATCGTTCCTTCTCGTCACGTGGTCTATTTTTATTTGATTTTACCAGATAAAAGCCCACTGAGCTATGTAACTCTTTTTCAGAAGCGACCTGGCCACAAATGATTGCTCAGCGAAGTGGCTTATTGCGTGGCAATTGAAGGCAGTCAAATACTCTAAACGCACGTTGATTCTAAATGTGGAGGAAAAAGCCGGAGGACCCGGGAAAAAAAATCCACGCGACCACGTGGAGAGAGGACATGCGAGCACCAAATATACAGCAGCAGGCGTCAGATCGGGATCAAACCCACGACCTCCTGTACACCAGGCGAGGTAGCAAACATCTCGCCACCGTGGAGCCCACGTAGGTCTCTTAACAGTGTGAATTGCATCTTTAACTAGGTCGATGTTCGATAATTAATCTATGCATGTGTTTCTCTCTTGTGTCTCCCAATGCATGCATCTCTCCGTGCCACTTTGCACGCTTTTCAGGGTTTGTTCCATTATTCTTTAAATTCATGGCTATTTGTAAGAACCAAGTGATAGCAGGTAGCACACCCTCATTGTTTAAATACATTTGGGGAAAAAATATTAACAAAGCAATCAAACGTGTGTCTGTGTGGCAAATTATCGATTCCAAACTCACATATGGAGGTTTATCAATTGATTTTCTATCACGGAATTCACACGTTTAATTCCACTGATTAATGGGCTAACGCACATATGTATACATTTATCCAATGATCGATTCCAGAAGAACATTAGGACTATAGAGTGGTTTGCTCACGTTGTT